GGTACATTTTAATCGATCTTTAGGTGGCTGGATTCATCTGATCGAAGCCTCAAAGCGATAATCTGATATATGAAAATTCTTAAACTTCCATTTACGAACCATTTTTGATTGATTCATCTGATTAAAGGAGCGAAACTATATACATAATATATATAAAAAAACCTTTAAACAGCTCCCAGCTACGTACCTGAGGGAGTTCTAGGAGATTGGTCGCTATCGTTAGAGTGAAAGCGTTTGCTGGGCAGGTACTTAGGGGTCACTGGTTGCCGTGTAATTTTTCCTTTTAGGCTCATGAGGAGTGTAGTCACGGGGTTTACATCCATCCAGTGTATATGAAAAAAAAACTCATGAATGTCTTCTAGAGAGTGGCAACAGCCACGGAAATCAAAATTATCGTTTATATAATATATTATATATTAGTGTTATTATTTTCAGGTCGTCGAAAATAAATGTTATGATACGACATGAACAAGATTATAGATTCTCGTCATCCTGTATAATACGAAGGACGAAGAGTCTAAACATTCCTGATCGGGGTTACCCCTCACCTACTGTATAGAATGGTTCCGAACTATAAAGGAGCGTGAGGCTGAGACATCCCTGAAGAAGGACAACACTTTTTAGACATCGAGAATACGACAGATAGACTAAGCCTATCCACTAAGGCTGAACTATCTATAAACCGATCTACTCGTAGTTTAAGAGACAGCTCAAGGCTGTTTCATAATAATAGACATCAAGGCAGCGCCGTGGCGCAGTGGAAGCGCGCAGGGCTCATAACCCTGATGTCCCTGGATCGAAACCAGGCGGCGCTAATTTTCTTTTTTCTTTCCTTTTTTTGCTTCAAGTCATGTGATCTGAATTGTAAAATCTAGTTGCGAGGTCAGTATACTATTTCTCATCCGTATCATGAGTTGGTTTGGCGGTTCCCCATCAAAGGTCTCTGCTGTTAAGCAAGTTGAAAGATCTGACACCAACGACAATTCTCAATATCTTGATGATCTTCCTCCCAAGTTTGAAGACAGGGAACCCATACATGCAAAGCAACCAACTTATGGCGATGCATTTCGGAACCTAAAGCTCAGTGATTTCTCACTCGAAACTTATGTTGGTATGCCGTGCTTCCGGGAAGCAATGATCACAGGTTTCCAAAGCATGGGAGTACTAGGGTTTGTCACGTTTCTTATACATAAAAATCCTGGCCGTTCAGTGAACTGGGCTATTTGTGGATTTTTCTTGGGCAGTGTTGTTGGATGGGAACAATGTCGATCAATTCGGAAAAAATCGTTTCAGACGGTGGAGGCAGCACGTGTTGCTAATCAAGACAAAGTTCGTAGAAAACTTGAGGACCGTTCTGCTGATGATGAAACATTAAGTCAATTCAATAAGACTCAAACCGGTGAATGTGAATAAACAACAAGAAACTCAAACATATTTGCATTCACATCAAATAAATAGTGCCACGATACGAAAACAGAATCAAAAAAGATCAAAAAAAAGAATAACTGAACTGGCGATTAAAAAAGTAATCTTTCTGCCTCTTGTGTTGTTTTGAACACAACTCTGAATGTATGTATGAAAGTCCGGAATGAATAACAGCAGTAGTATCTCGTACTCATTTCTTCAGTTTCTGTTAATGAAATTTTTATGCGTGTGTGATCTTGAGAGTTCGCCTTGTTGCAGTCTGACCGAGCTTGAACTAAGATGACTCTCGTAAAGCAGAGTCTCATTGACTCAACCGAGGTCACCCCCGCACCGGCAACGCGCGAGGGTTCAACGCGGAAACTGATATAAAGCGCTGGAGTAACTTCCCATACTAGTTGACAAATTAATTTCCATAAAATATGGAGAACGTGTTAGCAAAGGTTGTACTCAGACAGTCATGGAACAACCTCATTGATTTGCCTTCTCAAGTTACCAGTTTATTGTATAATGCCGGTGTCTCCCCACAAGAGGTCATCGTTGAAATTGTGCTGAAGACTCACAATCAATGCTACATTGGATGGTCCGGAATGAACTCCAGATCTTCGCTGGACATGAATATTGATCCCTTATCTGCTCAGGCCTTAAATCTCTCAGAGAATGAACCGATCACTATCAACGTGAAGATTCAAAATTTCAAATCATCAAGAATCATGTTAGAACCCGAAACGTTTTCGGATTGGGAGCTCGTTGAATTACATGCTGCGTACATCGAATCCAAACTCATTGAGCAATCCAGGTGCGTAGCCGTGGGCCAACCTTTGATTATATATCCGACTAAGACCTCATCGGTCAAACTACACGTGAAAGACATTGGCGCGGAACATCGGTTTGCCATGATAGATCCTTTTGCTGAGGTGAGCATTGCCCCTAAGCGATATGAAGAGAAGTCTGCAAATGCTCGCTCTTCAAAGTCAATAAAAAACTCTCTGAGTGATAAGATGTCAACCCCTACTCTTTTGAAAAGGGGAATTTCAATGCACAATACAAGTCAGCAGGTTGGTTCTTCCGATCCAAGGTCAAATGAGTATGCTCTATATGGAAATATTCAAGAGTTCACTGGTACTTTTGGAAGCTGTGAGTTTTTCTGTGTGTCGGTTATTGCTGGTCCCGACTCAAAGCTGCATAATGATTCCCCATCCCCAGTTAGTAGCCGAGAGGCAACAAAACATCCTGAGAAAAGTAAGCAGGTGGCCATCATCCTGGAGAGTAAACAAATTGTTGCAAGTTTTATCGATCACTCTGAATCACCTAAAAATACAGTCATGTTGAGCGAAAACCTTGCAATATCCTTGAATGTCGAAAACTCTTTGGGCTATAAAGTGGTTCTCAAGCCAGCATCAAATTGTAAACCTACAAAGGCTCCGACAGTGATCATTCGCCCATACATAACCAAAGGCAAGAAAATTGATTTTGTTTCCCGATCTTCACCAAAAAAGACCCAGGTTGAGGACTCAAAACAAATTGCCGAGTCATTGTTTTTTAATTCCAAAGGCTCGACATACCCAGTATCAAATTTCTGCAAAGTCCCAATTGTTCCAAAATTACTACCATACGGTGGAATAATAACTTTCAAGAAAACTCTGGATCCACATGCGTGGTTCAGACTTTCTGGTCTGGCTAAATCCATTAAAGAGCTAAAAATCGAATTCGGAGAGCCAATCACACGCTTTCCGTGGGAAATACAGAAAAACTCATCAAGCGCTGAACTCGAAACCTTGTATGGTATCGATCCCCTTCTTAGTGACCTAACTGAACACTTGAGAGTATTCAAGAGCACGGGTCTAGTGATCCATGGAACCCAAGGAAGTGGAAAGTCTGCAATTTTGAAAGTTTTGGATAGAAGATTAAGAGACGAATGTAACATGTTCACCAAATTTGTTGCATGTGAGGTCTTGATGAATGAAAGTACTGAGCAAATACGCCCCAAATTCACGAGATGGATCAACGAAGCTGTTTGGAATCAGCCCTCTGTTCTCATTTTCGACAATTTGGACAAGGTATTATCAGCTGAAGTTGAGAACACCGATTCCTCGATATCTGATCAATTGACCGAGCATCTTATCTCTCTAATGCGAAATGTTTCTTCGCAAAAAGGAACAAATGTCTCCATTCTAATTTCTGGAAAATCTAAAGAATCATTCAACAAGTTGTTTTTTCAGTCTCATTTAATCGAAAAATATTGCAATATTGGAGTTCCGGATAAGGCTACAAGAGCTGCAATTCTTGAGAATTATCTATCCCGAAATCTTAATTGCACACTTTCTTTTGATTTAATGGATGTTGTTCTGGAGACTGAAGGATACTTACCTAATGATTTAAAGGTTTTGAGTGACAGAATGTATTATGAAAGTCTTCGTTGGTGTAAGAAAAACCACACAATGATTGAGGCTGAAAAAGAGATCAATATTCATTCGAGAGATTTGGAAGCATCGCTTTGTGGATTTCAACCATCAAGTTTAAGAGGAGTCAAATTAGAAAAGTCAGGAACACAATGGAAGGATATTGGTGGAATGGAAGAGGCGAAGCGTGTACTTTTGGAAACTCTCGAATGGCCAACGAAGTATGCCCCAATTTTTGCCAGCTGTCCATTGAGATTGAGGTCTGGACTCCTTTTGTATGGATATCCAGGTTGTGGTAAGACCTTGCTCGCGAGTGCCATAGCCAGTCAGTGTGGTTTGAACTTTATCTCCATTAAAGGCCCTGAAATTCTCAATAAATATATTGGCGCTTCAGAGCAATCAGTGAGAGAGCTTTTTGAAAGAGCTCAGTCTGCTAAACCCTGCATTTTGTTCTTTGATGAATTCGACTCTATTGCTCCGAAAAGAGGGCACGACTCCACTGGCGTTACTGACAGAGTCGTGAATCAAATTTTGACTCAAATGGATGGTGCAGAGGGCTTGGATGGGGTTTACGTTCTAGCAGCTACTAGCAGGCCGGACTTAATAGATTCTGCCCTATTGCGTCCAGGTCGTTTAGACAAAAGCATTCTATGTGATTTACCGGATTTTCGTGACAGATTAAACATTTTAGCATGCATCTGCAATAAAATGAATATTCTGGTAAATTTGGAACTCGAAGACATTGCCTCCAAAACCGAGGGATTCAGTGGTGCGGATTTGCAAGGTTTAGCCTATAATGCGTATCTAAAGGCGGTCCATGAAAAGCTCAGCAACGATGAGAAGATTGCGAATGGCGAAATAAATGGCCCCGAAGAAAGCCATGAGTTTTTTCTTATCAACTCTCAAAAGGAGAGAAATAAGATAAGAACCGCCGAGAATGTCGCTATACTGCAGCAACTTATGGCAGTTTTTGGAACTAAGGATAAACAAGCGGATTCAGTGCAACCAGAAATTGAATCGAGTAGATCTCAGGTTATAATCAAGAGATCACATTTCCTCGAAAGTTTGAAAGAAAGCAAACTGTCCATCTCTGCATCTGAAAAGACTAAGTTACTCAAAATCTACACCGAATTCCAAAGTGGCAGAGATGGAAATATGCCAGATGGAAGCACGAGTAATGAAATTGGCGGTCGCACCACACTCATGTAAATTAAATGTGAATTACTGTGGATTCTAACTGCACCCTTCGCGCCACGGTCCTTTGGCGAGCTATCCTGTTCTTTCGACTGCAAAAAATGCGGCCCAATTAATGAAGCTTACATTCTTATTTATCATGTATCCTGTTTAGGTCAAATTGGGTCATAATGAAAACGATATTTTCAGGGCTCTTAATATCGTGTGTTGCCTAAGGGCTTCAAGATGGTAGTCTTTAAAATATTGAGTCGCAAAAAACAAAAATTTTGCTATAAACTGAAAATTTGGAAAACGCCTCTAATAAATCTACAAACAAAGAGCGAGTTGATTAATCATTTGATCTAACATGTCTTTTTTTTTTTGAAGGACAAACATATGTATGTATCTTAAGAAACAGAAAATCACCGCCAGATCTAGATGTCATGTAAAATGAAATTGCCCTTACTCGAAATCCTTATTCTTCTTCGTTTAAGCCAAAGCACACCCAGCTAGGCCAGCAAACTTCATCTCGAATAATGTTTCTCAACTGCTCGACGAGAAATTTTTCAACCTTCCCAACATTTCTGAGTACATTATGTTCGTTTTCACCAATTTCTGTATCGATCTTCACGTTGCGGATAACATCTATTCTTTCTTTATTGTTTGCAGCAGCATAATCTACAAAATTGCCTTCCTGAAATGAAATTCCAGAGGCTCTTGCACCATTGACTGCGTTGTACCTCTGATCGTTAGGTATCGAAAAATAATCTGCTTTTGCTGTATGTAGATCACACAAAAACGAGACAAAGACATTCTTATTGATATAAGCAAGTGCAGCCAAACTATGGATCTCCAAATCAGTTATTTTCAATTTAATTGGAAGTGTAATAAACTGGGCTGACGGGTAGTTTACCAACAAATTAACTGAGATCTCAATCATGATGTCGCCACGATAATCAATTTCTAATACAAATTGAATATCATTAGATGTATCTACATTAGTTTCGCTTTTTGAACTAGAATGTGAAGAAATATTGAGAGCACTGGGTTTGAAAAAGGTAGTTGGTGTTTCTCTTTCTTGAGGGCCCAATCCCAAATTGTTCATGCTGTAATTATGTAACCTTTTGGATGTCTCTTGGCCTCTCATTGAACCATCTGTGTCATTATATGAAAATTCAAAATCATTCATTGAATTGTTAGTGCCAGCTTTTATCTGCGCATGTCTTGAGTCGTCGTCATCATCTTCACTCGATGATGATTCGTTACTTTCATCCAGCAGACCAGTCTTAGTGACAGGCTCTCGTCGACACTCGTCATCAGAAATTGACTCAGTATAAAACTCTTCAAACGGAGTGCCAATATGTCTTATGGTTATCTCTGGTGGAGCTGACCCCATGGAAAAGTCAGATACACATAACTTATCAATAAACGAAGGAAGAGTGATAGAGTTGAATTGCTCATCTAGAAAGTTTTTCAAGTTATCATTAAGGGAGCTGTCAGAAGTCAATGCCTCCCAGTTAATTTCAAAAGACATAACTAGAACACTTCGTTAATTCTTGGTACAGCTGCGTACTGGGGTCTCAAGACTCTCACAGGTCAAGATGGCATATGATCAGCGCGCGCTGGCCTCCGGTTTACTCTCTGAGCTCACCCACAACGTGAAGTATACCTACAGTTTGCCTGAAAAATGTATGGCGACTTAGCTACTAAGCTAATACTTGAGGCTAAAAGGACTAAAAATTTGACAGAACTACCAATATATGAGCATGAATTGGTTAAGAATATCTTGCAAGAGACCTCAGATTTGCATAAGGATGTTGAGTTTTTAAATGAACAACAGTTGACACAGACAAGTATGGAAAATGATGCTAGAAGGATAAATCAGTGTCAACTCTTTGTCACTCACTTGTGTCTTCGAAGGAACAAACGATGTATGTTAGCGTATGAGAAACTTCGCGCCGGGAAGATTGATGAATTTTCATGGTTGAACATTGACCCAGTTCTCAGTGGGAGTAAGACTTCGACAAGTCTTGGAAATCTGGCAGCTGATTCTATTCGATCTAAAGCATGCACTAAAAATCTAGCCATCGAAAACTTAAGCCATCAGGAGCAAGAGTACTTCAAAAAGTATCAAGACATATTACTAGACTTCAAATCAAGCTTTGCAGATATAGATCTCTCAGGAGATTTAGAGCCCCCGAAAGAGATCTTTATCGATGTGAGAGTCCTAAAAAATGGGGGTGAGGTTCAAACAGAGTATGGTGTTTTCAACCTTATAAAGGACTCCCAATTCTACGTGAGGAAATCGGATGTTGATAGGTTAATACAGCAAGGGTTTTTAGAGGAAATATAGATGTGTAAATTTTTTTTTTTCAATTGAAATCCAAATACAAAGCTCAGGCTACATACCTCATTCCAAGTTTTTTAATTCTGCTTCGAGCTTGATTTCACCGAGGGCAGTATTCTTCTTCTCCACACTCACTGGCAACACCATCACCAGGTCTTTGTTCAGTTGAGAGGTTCCCGTGTTGTCATCTAAGAGTTTGACTTCTTTCCTCAAGCTTATGGCCACGTTGCTCAAAGAGCTGTAGAATTTTCTCACGTCGCCACTGAAGTGATCTCTAATTTGAGAAACGTCCTGGAAGTCGGATTTGCTCGGCACAGTATACGTTTCAAAAATGCATCCTAGACTTTCCAAGAGTTGAACGATGCCTTCGTCAATTTTATTCAAAGCTTCAAGTCTTTGCTCTATGAACATCTTCTCGGGCATGGTTAGTGTGACATCCAAAGCAAAAGTTCGCACTACATTCACTTTTCAATCGCCACACACTCTTTCTTCTCTACGACAATGGCGATAGAACTAGGCCTTAAGAGAATAAGAAAATTGCTTTCCTACCTAGGCAACCCACACGTGAGCTCTTATAAATCTGTTCATATTGCTGGAACAAATGGCAAAGGATCCACAATCGCGTATCTATCACTGATTCTCACACATGCTAAAATCTCCAATGGCCGGTTCACATCACCACATTTACTATCATACAACGATTGCATATCAATAAACAACCAAACTTATTCGCTTCATAAATTCGAAAAGGTCAGAAATTCAGTGCTTAGTCACAATGCACGTTATAATCTAGGGTGCACAGAGTTTGAAATCTTAACTGCAACCGCATTTAAAATATTTGAGATCGAGCAAGTGGAGTTGGCCTTGATAGAAGTGGGCCTCGGTGGCCGACTTGACGCAACAAATGTGCTCACACCATACGCCAACGGTAACACCCCAGGTGGAGTGATAGTTTGTGGTATCACAAAAATCGGAATCGACCATGAAGGGTTTTTAGGAAACACTATTACTGATATCGCAAGAGAGAAGGCAGGGATTATAAAAACATCAGTCCCAGTTGTGGTCGATCATACGAATCAACGACAGGCTTTGGATGAAATAGCAAGGAAAGCTGCAGCTGTAAACGCTCCTCTTTTCAGTACAGAGAAAAGCATGGCATGTGAAATTGACAATCCAATCCAATATTCACCAATGCTTGGCCAGTACCAAACCGAAAATCTATCTGTAGCTCTACACATTGTTGCGACGATACAGAAAACTTTGAAATCCAATGAATTGACACGGGATTGTATCATTTCAGGAATTAGAAATACTTATTGGCCTGGCCGATTGCAGAGGCTTCAAGACAAAACAACAGGAATAGAGTTTTTGTTGGATGGAGCTCATAACGAATGTGCATCGATGGAATTAGGGAATTATTTGCGAAGCATTCGCCGCAAAGGATTCATATTTGTTGTTGGTATGAGCGAGGGAAAGTCAGTCGAAGGTCTTTTGAAGCATATTGCGCTGAAAGATAACGACGTCTTGATCCCTTTTCACTTCACAGCTCCCCCTGAAATGCCATGGGTGAAATGCCACGACGTTGAAAATATCTCCATGACTGCAAAAGATTATGTTGAGGAAGTTCTTAAAATGAAGAACGCGGATAACATTGCAGATCTATTCGACTTTCTTGCCGCGAGGAAAAACAACGGTGATGTCAGGCAGGTAGTTATATGCGGAAGCTTGTACCTCTGCTCCGATATTTTGCGCCACCAAATTGATCTACATCAGGAACCTGAACAGATAATTGAACTGGAAGCTGCCACGAAGTATGAATGACCTAGAAACAATTCGAAAGAAAAATATAGAACGAAATAAGGAGTTATTGAAAAAATTGAAGCTTGACAGTATACACTCTTCTATTCTTGCTTCGGCGAAACCCAAGACCAAACCCTCGTCGCAATTGAAAGTTAAGGTGGACAAGGCTCTTCCTACAAGACGTTCCAAAAGATTGCTGAAAGATCCTCATGACGCTGCAATTAAAACACTAGAAGAAGAGCGGGTGCAGAAGGAGCTCTCAACACAAGAGAAAATGAGAGAATTAAGACTGTCAAAATTGAATGGAAATTTCCAAATCAAGGATCTTCTCGCTGATTCAAAGCTGGGTAAACTTTTCAAAGAATATCTTGTTTATGGAGAAGGTGGAACTGCAAACGTGGGCTCTGGTTCAGAAACTGAGGAGCATGAGCCTGATATGAGAAGTTCACGTGAACTTGCAGTGCTCCATCAATTGAGTCAGAATATTACAGAATTTGATGACGCAATGGAAAAACATACAAATGATCAGGATTTAAGTTTCACTGATGTACATGAAAACTTTGCTAATCTCAAGCTACATTCACTCACTGATCCCTCACAGGTTAAACTCACACCTCATCGGATCACATCGATTTTATTTCATCCTTCAACCTCTGATAGAATGGCATTCGCTGGCGACACAAATGGTTGTCTTGGGATCTGGGCAGTAGATCAGAAGACCGAGGCAGATCAACCGAATGTGGTCGTAGCCAAACCCCATGGGCGAGCCATTTCTAAGATTTTAGACATACCCCAGAAACAGACTCATATCGCAACAGCTTCATATGATGGCTCTGGTAGGATTCATGACCTAACAAAGCAAAGTGTTATTGAAAATTTTGATGTAACCGATGAACAGGGAAACCCTATTGGCATTTCTGATATAAATTGCTCATCACAACACGTTCTTTATGCCACTACTATGAATGGCCAATTTGTGCGACACGATATGAGAGAAAATTCCAAAAGCGTTATGTACCACAGTCTCGTGAGACTTCACGACAAGAAAATTGGAGGCTTTTCTATAAACCCTGCAGACGAATTTCAGATTGCGACTGCTTCACTCGATAGAACGATGAAGATCTGGGATCTCCGAAATGTATCCAAGCGTAATTCTCACTCGGACATATTAGATGGGCTTGCTGCACCTTACAATAGTGAAGGCTATACTTCGAGACTTTCAATTTCAAACGTTGATTGGAACTCTAATCAACACTTAGTTTGTAATGGGTACGATGATAGAATCAGGGTATTTGGTATCTCAAATCAGATCAAGAACAAACCTGCTACCCATACACAAAGGCGGAAGAAAGCAGCCTCGGTAAAGGGTACTTTTGCTTTGGAAAAAGAGATCAAACATAATTGTCAGACGGGAAGATGGGTCTCCATTTTGAAATCTAGATGGCAGAAGTCGCCCACGGATGGGCTTCAGAAATTTGCCATTGGGAACATGAATCGAAGCATAGACATATACGGCGAAGATGGGGATTTAATTGCTAACTTGTCTGACATGGAGGCCATGACAGCAATCCCTGCAGTAGTCGCTATACACCCTACAAACAATTGGGTGATTGGAGGAAATTCTTCCGGTAAAGTTTTCATATTTAACTAGAAACATCACTAATCTAACTTACGATTTAAGCAGAAGAGGTCATGACTTGCCAAACTCTGATGATGTTGTCAGTGTAACCGGCAAACAAGTTTTGGCCGTCAGCAGACCAGGCCAAAGAAATAGCCTCTGGCTCCTTAGCCTTGGCGCTGACAGTGAACTCAGGCTTCAACTCATCCAACAAAGTTCTCTCTTGCAAGTTGAAGATCTTGATACCAGAGGAGGTGGCAGCAGCCAACCAGTATCTGCTTGGAGAGAAAGCCAAAGCGTGGACCTCAGACGAAGCGTTCAAGGTGTACAAGGTGTTGTTGGTGTTCAAGTCCCACAAGATGATAACACCGTCCTTGCCAGCGGAAGCGTTCAACGATCCATCAGGGGAGATGGTGATACATGAAATGTAACCAGTGTGTCCAATGAAGTCGGCGTTAAGCTTGTAGTCGTTCAAGTCCCAGGACTAAATAGTTAGTAAGTTCTCAGATGTGAAATAAGAGGAGATTGAATTCAGAGATCTTGGTGTATAAGAAGTCTCATTCGGGAGCAAAGCCCCGTCTGAAGTAGCAAATATAGGTAACATCATAATCAAACAAAAAATGGAAAACATACCTTGACAGTTTTGTCCCAAGAAGCAGAGATGACAGTAGAAGTCTCCTTATCAGGTGAGAATCTGACAGCAGAAACCCAGTCCTTGTGACCGGACAAAGTAGCCATGCACTCACCAATAGTGTTCCAGACTTTAACAGTCTTGTCACGGGAGGCAGAAACAATTTGTCTCAAGTTGTTGGCAATGGAGACAGACAAAACATCACCAGTGTGTCCAACAAATCTCTTGGTGGATCTTCCGGTCTCCAAGTCCCACAATCTCAAGGTCTTGTCCCAAGAACCAGACAAAGCGTAAGCACCGTCAGCAGAGATAGTAACATCGGAAACGATGTGAGAGTGGCCGATGAAAGACTTCTTGGCAACACCGAACTCGTGGTCTTCACCACCAGTCAAGTTCCAGGCAATCAAGGTCTTGTCTCTGGAACCAGACAACAACAAGTCTGGCTTGGTTGCGTTGGTAGCCAAGGATGTGACCCATCCATTGTGGCCTTTCAAAGTACCTCTCAAAACTAAAACTTCTTGGTCAGCCATTTTGCAGATTAATCTCTAAGGAATCAAAAGAGAAAAAGAAAATTTAGATGAGGTGCTCAATCTCATAGTCGCAAAATTTTCACGATCACGTGACATTCAGATATACGATGGACTGACAATTACGCCTGCAGCGTGATCGGAAATACACATGCTGGTAGTGACTGTTTTTGCCGAGAGTGAGCACAGCTATCCTCACTATGGGAACCTCGAAATTAGGTTGGTATATGGATTTTCGATTTCGTTGATCGTTGTTGCCTTCATCCCGTATTGTGCTACCGCATACTTGTAGTTATCTTATTTTCATATTCCTATCAAATTTGCAAACTCTCTCCTTCTATATCGAATTCGAAACAAAAATTGAAGAAAAAAGCTAAACCACGTTGTGTGGATACGATCAGATGGTACAAGACAGTACAAATTTAGGAGAAAACAAAAAAAAATCCCCCACAAAAACCACACAGAAGTTTGCCAACAAATTCAGTTACATTTCCTGTAGCTGTGTCGTAGTAATCAATTATGAGTCGTCGAACTGTTGCTTGCCAGTAGAGTCTTCCTTGCGGCCCATCGAATATTAGAAACAGTCGTACACCAACTCGCACATCGGGTTTTAAACGATAATTCAGCAACGCATCCATCAAAAGAAAAAAAAATCAAATGTCGGACTCTACCTTTGATATCAAACAAACATACCTCAAATTCTTGGAGGATGACAAGGATATGACAATGCCAGTTGCGGCTATTGAGTCACTTGTCACTATGTTGAGAGTAAAACAGCCGTCAACGTCCAGTGAGCTCATCAACCTAGTAAGATCAAGTATTCAGACTTTGAAACTGTCAATTTCCAATGCAATTTCCCTATCCGCTGGCTGTGATTTATTTATGCGATTTGTTTTGAGAAATACTAAACTTTATTCAGACTGGGAGTCGTGTAAAAAAAACCTAGTTGAAAATGGAGAGTTGTTTGTGCAACGAGCAAAGGAATCAAGAGACAAGTCAGCAGCTTTCGGCGTTCCATTTATCAAAGATGATGACACAATTTTAGTGCACTCGTATTCACGGGTTGTATTTCAATTACTTTCAAAAGCTAAGATGGACAATTTGCTTCGGTTTAAGGTCATTGTTACGGAGGCTAGGCCATCAGGTAAAGGCTATTTGATGGCCAAACTCTTAAGAGACTGCGATATTCCGGTTGAGGTTATTGTTGATAATGCAGTGGGTTACATGCTACATAAAGTAGACAAGATATTAGTTGGTGCAGAGGGTGTCGTTGAAAGTGGCGGGATCATCAACCATATTGGATCCTATCAAATTGGCTGCCTCGCAAAAGCAAACAATAAACCCTTCTATGTTGTCACAGAATCCCACAAGTTTGTCAGATTATTTCCGTTGACGCCCAATGATTTGCCACGCGAGATGGCCACGATTTTGGACGATACGAATGAAAACACTGATGACGATCTTCTCAAAACGCAGTTAATTGATTACACGCCTCACGAATTCATCACTGCTTTGATCACGGATTTGGGAGTTTTGACACCATCTGCTGTATCTGAAGAATTGATCAAAATGTGGTATGACTAACTTGGTGCTCCGGTACCCGAGAGCTTCAAGAAATTCAAACTCAAGTCTTCCAAATCATATTTGTCAATTCCGTCAGTTGCTTGCTTTATGGCAACGCAAGTAATACCTATGTTTTCAAGGGCTTCAATATCGACAGGAATCTTAGAATTTTCCATGTAAAATAAGTGCGTCACAAACAGTGTCCAATCTAAAACCTGACCATGTCCGGATTTTTTAATCAGATACTGGGCCAGCTCAACAATAACTCTAATATAATCAAGTGCACCCAAGCCAGCAGTTTCGCGGTCTTCGTTTCCATTCAATAAAAGGATTCGCTTTTTGAATTTTGTGGGGTTCTCGGCAATAGCTCGTCCCACACCCTTTAATATAACAATAGGAGTGATGCTTGTCATAAGCGAACCAATGGAATACACGATTATCTCAGCATGCAAAAGTTTTGAGAGCACCCTTGACTGGGCGGTGGGGCATATTTCCTCTCCATATGGTGAGACATAAAAGATTCTCTTAATAGGAGACAGAAGTGGTTCTATCTCGCTTGTCTTGCGAAAGTGTAATTGGGACTTTTTGAGGTCAGGATGCGTGTACAGAGGCGTGTTTCCTATTTCCTCATCCGAAGGAATATTCGCATCATCAAAGTCATGAAATTCGTCTAGTCCATCAATTTGTTGATCCGGTCCAAATGTATCTGGTTCGCTTGATGATTCAATACTAGACTTCGAATTTGAGTATATTGATTTCATTGAAGGATGTGATATTTGCGACTGACCAGTAATCGTTGAGCCATCGGAGAGAAATGCACTTATGTGGTAACTGAAATTGGTATTCACGCAAGGAAGCACTTCGGAACTAGAATCAATGTCAGTTATTTTCATAAATAACTCGATTGCCGAATCCAATGAGCCAGTAAACAAGCGAATTGCCGTCAAGAGCAAATTGCCTATGTTTGCAAACTCAAACTTGAACTGTTTTCCGGGAGATGATCCAGCATATATTCTCGAACGTTTGAGAAGCTCAACGTGTATGTGGAGGAGGAATGATCGCACAATTTCCTTCGTGGAGTTCGGGATACCATGCCACAGCTCGTGAGATCCGTCAACAATTTGCTCCCACTGTGCTTTAGCAACGCTTGCATTAGCATTCAACCGTAGGCTCAAGACATCTCGAAGTCTGCGCTGATGGTGAGGAATAAGCTGTATAAGCCTAGATCTGATGTCTCCAATCGCAGGACCACCAATGACTCTTATGATTTCCGAAGATGACCCGCCAGTATCCAGGATAGGTAAAACATAGCTGACCTTGAAGTCGCTCCGACTGAATAACGGAACCAAATCATTTGTAGCCGTCCCCCCACTCAAAATAACTGTTGAAATAGTCATTGAAAGCTATGGCGTTCGGTCCCCTGCTAGACCATGTCATTAAAGACGCGCCATACCGACAACACACGGTAGACGCGCCGTCTACTGATGACTTCAATCCAATACACAGGTACAGACCTCATGTGCGCCAGTACTGCTCCTAAACTAACAAATGTATCCGATAAAACCACATACCGTTAAGAGCCAGAGAAAATTGCCTCCCTCACGATACTCCTCTTCCCTCATCAGATTCCACATGTATACCACTCACATACACGGTAATATATCCAATGCATCACGCTTAAATCAACACCACAAGTATAGTGTATATCTAAACAACAATTTGATCGTAACCTAAAATTACAGCTAAGCAGCATTGATAACAACTCCGCAGTGCCTACTTGCCATCTCCAAAAAAGTGTAGTGAACAAATTGTCAATTCCGGCTACACAACCAACCGCACACATTGAAAGACACCATCGTTTCAATTCTTCACATCTACCGTAATATGTACAATCCTTAATCAATCAGCAACCTAAAAACCAAGACAGACACACCAAGTAAAAACCAAGCGCTTTTCAAAAAACGTACAAAAATCAAAATAATAATCAAAAACCTGCTCAGAAAAACACGTCCCACGTCTTATAACACAAGCACAAACATATAATCAATACCACTTTAGGATCACCTATTCAACAAAACTGGGGCGGCAAAACATTTTAAAAGCAGCTGGCTTCGTAAAACCTGTGGCTATACTTTCCAACAACAGGGAACTTTACATACGGCAAATACTTCACCGCATGGCATGGAGAACTTCCACAAATAACTATCTTACGACGGATAAGATCTCGTACCTAAAAGCGACGCATCACAAATTAATCATGCCATGGTGATAATTCAATAAGATAACATACGCCAAGCCTGTCAAAATCGTGTAAACTTTAAAAACCCTCTCGTCATCGTAAATTACATCAATTCATCAAAACCTGATTGGAAGTCAATTTTTGCTCACACGAAATGTAACATATCAAAAATTAATTTTTGTAATAGAGGGCATAAGATCATAAACAAAATAATGCTTTTCGTGAGACATTGTGCAAACATCACTTCAGGTCTATCACCGATAAATTGGTCTAGCCCGAGAGCTCATATGCCATACATAGACTCTATACTTTCAATTGCCAAGCATACACGAATGTTGGAAGTAATTCGGGTACTACCATTATTAAGCAATACGCGTATTGAGAAACAAAACAATGAATTTTTGGATCATGATGTCAACCACAATCCTCAATCTCATACCAACCATACATTAGAACAAACTTCATGTCGCTTCACGTTGCCACCTTGGGACAGGAGTTCAATATTAATATTAAAGTCCATAATATATTCCCAAACATGACAGAAACTCTACGGACCATTCGAAACCAATCCCAAAATATTTTTGGATAAACATTTGTATATAAGATTTTTCATTCATTTCTCCGGAGCCCTTTTCAGAACAAGTACAAATTTAAAACGAAGAAGGTTGCAAATTTCAGGGGAACACAAAAACATCTTAGCGGATAAACAAAGCTGGCCCAGCCATTATCTCAGAGTATCAAGGTAATCTGGATGATTAATCTGTCTGGACCTAAATAAAAGACTGCGTGCCAACGATTGTACCCCACAATGTAAATCAGTAGTTTAGAAATTTAATGATTTTGGCACTCACAAAATGGAATCATATACTATGCAATAGGCTAATAGTACAAAATGTCTCAGAAGGCCGTTCCAGCATTTCTCTGCAATATTAAGAGTTCGAATAAAAATACATGCGTTCCTCAACTGTTCATACGATACTACAATATAACGAATTACTCAAGACTCGGGAATAATCTCTAAGGCAGGGAGGAATTCAACTGTCTCAAATAAATCAAAATCACTATAAGAGATGGGGTAATGCATGAAATGACACCTAGCAGGAAGACCATCAATTACGGCTACAATTTCACATAGGTATCTAACCATGATAAATAAAATATGAAATAATGGCCTCGGGGAATAGGAAACTCGTTGAGATCCATCATACAATATCAAAGGCGGTGATTTGAGGCATACGGCATCATTAGTAGCAAATGTATAGTTGTGCAAACCTAATGCATTTTAAACTTAGGGTCACCAGAAGACCCTTAATATTTTCAATCATTCCAGGTCTATTCTCTGATAACCCGAATTTTGAATTGAAAGGAAATCGAGATGAACATTCATAACCGCCCTGCGATAGATGTGCGAGGTAAGAGTCTAGCTCCACATATTCAATTCCTAATCCTGGGCACTTAGCAGTACCCATCAACTTTTAACGACAAGTCCGATTACTCGAAATTCTACCCTGGCTTGGGATTTGTAGCCATTAATCCATTAGTGCAATGAACAGTCCCGTCATTAGATTCGGTACCAGGTATGTATCGATCAGTGTAATTTGAAAAGATTGCAATTCTTTTGAAGTTTAGTCCTTCTAAAACCAATATGGAACACAAGAGGCCTAGAATGATGTAAATCAAAGATATGAATGCGTTGGATCAATCAATTCCCAGCTAGCACCTCCACCCCTCACTCGAGTTATCCCTTATGTCTAGCATAATCTTGATGATCCTGATGACATGAAGCGACTTGGGATCTCAAGCGAGGTGTGTTCGAAGGAGACAGCGGTGCTTGAGTCTACGTTATGACTTCATAGTGTGGGTTTATGGACCTTATCGTGCTTCAAGTCCTAGTTGTTAAAGAAGTCAATTCCATAAGCTTTAAACCTGTTGACCTTTTTGAATCTATCATTTATTACTTTACGTGCTAGGGTGAGCCGGATACATTTGATATCGTCCCGTTAGAACCTGCATGAATCCTAGGCCAGCGCTTGGTTGTGGGGTATTAATTTATGAATGCATGTATCATTTTCAGAATGAGCTACACTTCTTAGTCCGCTATACATCTGTGGTGGTAAGCGATGGGACTTTAGTCAAATACGTATGTGGTGTCAATTTATATATATGACGGGAGGGTCGTTCTAGAAACTTTATTATCTGATTATTTGACTGTTCCTGTCGTAGATTTACTATGTCAATACTTCTTCGGCTCCGCCCCGCTTGTCTTGACTGTGTTGGTATTGATTGTGACTACAGTGAGTTTTTCCATAGAGCCTGAGCAGGTATGACGTTTGTCGGTTTGTATCGGATTAATCTTTTGGCAGAGTAGTCGATTAGAAAGGGTGATTTCTTCAATTTATATTTTAAAATTTGAATGTTTAGTAATTTGTAGCTGTTAATGGATTTGTTTTCAATGCAATCGTATGTGTTTTTGAATTAGTCTGTTTTAAAATTACGGGTTGTTCGGATCATTTTCCATGGCCAAACACGAAACAGCTTTCAAAAGAAGTGAGAATTTAATTGAAGTTGTGTTTGTTGAAAGGGCAAAGAGTAGTAGACTTCAAGATTAGTGTATTTATGGTGGGAATAGTTCGTCGCTGTTAGCATTTTACGGATTTCTGGAATTGCAAAAGCTATGCCCGAGGTGCGAATGCTACCTTATGCTTTGCAGGTCAACAAAGTTTCGCTCTCGGAATTTTAAATCTAGAATTTGTGATGTGTATTGACAGTTGATAGCACGCGTAGATTCAAGAATTCTAGGATAGGCTTATCAGTCTTATCCTCCGAGCCAACGGCCTATCCCGTGTCAGGCGACCTATTCTGCCTAGACGGCTCTATTATCCAGTGGCCTCTCCCACGAGTAAGACTTAATAACCTCTGAAAGTTCCAGTTGAGACTAAGATACGGAAAGAATTTTATTACATGCGCAATCGAGTTGCAATTCTTCTGTCAATCCAATTCCCTTTTTTGACTATTGAGTGAGGAAATGAACGTTCTGTCCATTCTTTTGTGCATCGAAAGCGAACTGGATATTTGTATAAAGGCACATCCATGAAAGTAATTGCAAGTACTTGTATGAACTTAAGATGGCTGATGATCTAAAACGTGAAGAAAGTTTGGAAGGCATTTGTCTCGATAGCAACCAGCCGAAAAGTCACATTATGTAGTTTTTTTTGCCTCGGAAGCAAAGTTTAGAAAAAGTTTGGTTATCTAATTCTAAAGGCCATGACCGAGTAATTTCAACGGGTTCCTTGAAGGGTAACCCTCGGTATTTATACTAAAGAGGCTTCATTGCGGTTGAAGGGTGTTGATTGTAACAATTACCCAACTTCACTCGATACAAACATGCTTTCCGTTTTTTAAAGGCCTTGTACACTGCCAAGGCCAGTCCTTCATCAGTAAGTCATGGGGGAAAAATATAAACACGTACATGAAAGCTGCAAATGAATATTGAGAGTGACCACATGTATATGCCGCCCCATGCATGGATCTATCCTACCGTGACGAAATTCGTGCCTTCCTAACTTTCTTGAACCGCTCAAGATTCATTCACACAGCCGCTAAGTGAATCGAGCACAATGTCAATAGCCATGTGCCAGGGGCATGTCCCATGTATCAGCCTGATTTGCTCATGCACTCCTGATTTTGACTTGCCACTGAGCACGGCACATTTTTAGCTTAGTGCAACAATTACAGGCCTTGATATTAATGGGACCTTCGAGAGTGGCATACTGATTACATGCTGTATGTTTCAGAACACTGAATTTAACAAGTGAATGTGACGACCATCCCACGCGTTGATCATACGAATGTACGGGTGTGTTATGATCCGGATTTCCTTCAATAATATCAAACGATCACTAAACCACCGCCATGTGTGAATATCTAGGTTGTTTAAAAGGTTCTCTTGACGAAAGGGACTTAAAGAAATGCGCTGTCAAATTTTCAGATGACTTGATGCGTACATTTTCTTCCTCGGTCACCATCATAAACAAGGTGTTGACCCTTTTGGAGATGTACAAATACCAAATCAAAAAGCTCAAGTTATTGAGTTATTGTGATCACGAAACTGCATTCTTTTGCTTCGATACGTCGGCTCAGTTGATTGCATTCTTGAAAGCAGCTCCTGAAAGCAAGTATGGCCCTTTGATCAACGATATTTCTTCAACGCTTGAAGCACTCCGCCCCAGTTTTTTGGATGTTCAGATGATTTTGAAAGCAAAACCCAATCTACCTAATCGTTTGGAAAGTCGCTTTGTTCAGCTTAGAATTGATAAGTCAAAATCCTATACTCCAATGCATACACTCAAATTCCAAGACTATATATCACCTTCGGACTTAAATCATCATTTGAGATCCTCTCCAGACCTGACACTCGTTGTTGATTTTAGGAGCAGAAAAGAATTTGAATATAGCCGCATAAACTTTCTGAATGTCGTGAATATAGAACCCAAGAATATCACGAGTTTGTTCGACAAAAATCCCTCGCCGACAGATTCTGACCTAGAGAAGTTACTTGAGAGAACGCTAAGTAACGACGACCTTCACCTATTTCGTAAGAGGCATGACTTTGAGTTAGTGGTGATATACAATTTCAAGTTCAGTGTCCACTCAGATAATAAATTTGAGTCTTTGACTCCTATTCTAACAGAAGATCACTCTTCGCTCATAACAGATAACCCCTTCAAGCTGTTAATCGAGTTGTTCATGTACCGCAATCAATTTTTGAGTTCAAGATTAAGGAATTATCCACTTTTTCTCAATGGAGGATTGAAAAGATGGTATGAACTTTATGGTGAGGCTGGTTTGAGTCGGGAGATATCTAAGCCAGTTGATCAAGACATCAACCAAACAGAAAATACCGCTGAAGGCCAACAAGCGAGATACCTAAGAACCTTCCAGGACTACATCCTGAGCGGATCTGAAAACTCAAATATGCAAATACCCAGAAAAGGTGGGAATGAACTTATCAGAATATTTGAAGAATCTAGTCCCAGGAACTTGCCGGTCAATGTACAGAGATCACCTTCCGGATCCCCAAATTTCTCTAATTATATTTCCACACAAGAGTACCAAGAGCGTGAATCATTCTCAAGTGAGCTAAATTTTTGCACTGGTTTGTCAAATCTTGGAAATTCATGCTACATGAATTGTATTCTTCAATGTTTGGTTGCGACTCCATATTTGTCTGCCTTTTTCATACCAAACCATTCTTCAGTACAAGGCCATCAAAAGAAGACGTTCAAGGATCATATAAATTTGAAAAATTCCCTTGGACTGCAAGGCATTATCACGGTGACATTTGCCGAGCTTTTGATGGATATGTTGCGTAACAAGGGATCTTACCTAACGCCGACAAAATTCAAAGCCATAACTGGCTCTTTATCTCCGGCGAAACAGTTTGCCACAAAAGAACAACAAGACTGTATTGAGTTTCTCAATTTTATGTTGGATTCTTTACATGAAGATTTGAATCAGCGACTGGCCCAAAGTGCTGAAGAGCGCATGGGAATAATGGAGCTTTCAAAAGAACAAGAAAGTGTTAGGGAAAGTCTTCCAGTGAGACTCGCTTCAACAATTGAATGGGAAAGGTATCTTAAGTTGAACTTCTCGGTTGTTGTCGACATTTTTCAAGGACAATATGTTTCTCAATTGAGATGCTTAGAGTGTCAATTGACTTCAAGCACATATAATTCATTTTCAACTCTCTCATTACCTATTCCTGAGACTTTTGATAAGAAAGCTCGCCCAATCCTGCTTTTTGATTGCTTGGAAAAATTTGTGGAGACCGAACTTCTAGACGATGATAACAAATGGCATTGTCCCAGGTGTAAAAAGTTTTCCAGGCTGACAAAGAAGTTGGTTATTTCTCGATTGCCCAAAATTCTTATAATCCACTTTAAAAGATTCAAAATCGATTATGGGCGATTCAAAAAGCTTGAAAATTTTATTAAGTACCCCGTGAATTCGGATTTGGACTTGACAGCCTATTGGCCTACAGTTGGAACATATATTAATTCATCATCCACCCATACTATGAGTGAGCGTGAAGAACTAAGATGCTTATCGAACTTACCAGAACGCCTGCAAAGCCCACCTTTCCGATACAGACTATATGGAGTCGTCAATCATTTTGGAAATTTGACAACTGGACACTATACCTCTTATGTCAAAAAGTCGAACATTCCTGACGAATGGTGCTATTTTGATGATTCAAAGGTATTGCGTGGATGCCCAGAAGCCAAAGTGCTCAATGATAATGCATATTGCTTGTTTTACAAACGAATTTGATTATTTTCATCATTTTACAAACTATCGGATTCTTTCTTCCGTGACTTTTATGGTCGGATGACTCCCGATAACCCTTTTGCTGATACCCATCCAGAGCCAGTCAACTTTACCTTCAGGAAGGTATTTAATTTCTCCTCGAAAGCCATCCACGAAACTCCGATCATTGACAGTCATGTTCAAGGAAAAGTTTATAAATTCATTGAAAATTGCGATTGAAGACCAGAACTGTATTTTCCGTAGACATGCTACCACGAGGCTCGTCACTTGGCCTCCATTGAGACAATGGAAGTAAACAGGAGCAAACTCATCATGAATAATGTATTTAAGAGCCTCTAATATTGTGGTATAGCCCATTGGGACTCCCCTTTTTTTGCCTTTCCCGGATTGAGCACATTCTATATGTACCAATGTGATATTTGATACACGGGAAAACTCAAAGAGAGAAGGATCTGTTGCTTCGTTTATCGGCTCAGGGGTAAGAGATATAATCGTCTTCAAATTCAAACTCGCAAGGAACGGAAAGTTAATTTTTCGTGGATATCCACCGCGATATAGATTTTGTTGTATGTGACTAAATCTCAAAGGTGGAACAAGGGGTTCACTTTCTGGCATTTGGAAACTGGTTTTTCAAGTGGACCTCGTTGTTATGTCTTTGTTGTGTCGAATTATCTCATGCACGCAAATTTGGGCTCGGGCCGCAGCAGCACTCGCGCAACAAGGTAATACTTTTGGTAGATTTTCGCAATCGACATGTGTGTAATGACAAGTATGTAAATCTATTAGAATAAGACTGGGAGCTTGCAATCGCTAACATTTGTTGCAAGAACATCCTCAATGGACATCCTGGGTCTGGCTCCAGGTAATTTTGATCCACCAGCTATACCGCTACTATTTTTCAAGTATAAGGTGTCTCCAACCTCGCTGAATTTTCGGAGGACATAGTCCAAGTCCTCTTTGGTCAACGCCGAGCTAACGCACAATCTAACTCTAGCAGTTGTTATTGGAGTAGCAGGGTAACCCACAATCACAACTGCAATCTTCATTGAGTACAACATTCTTGATATCGCAGGCATCTTCGCACGCAAGTACAATAAAAGAGGGATGACTGGAGAATCATCAGCACCGTAAACAATAAAGCCCAACTTCTTGAGCCCAAGACGCAAATACCGAGAGTTGAAAGCAATTCTTTTCAATCTTTCTTCTCCTTCACCTGGATTTATTGAACCGTCAATCACACTAAGCGATGATATTATTTGCTCCAAAACAGGGGGAGGCACACCTTCGCCAAAGCTGTTGTTCAAATAACTAAGTCTGAGCTTGTCAATGATCCATTTGTCAGCCGCGATGTAACCCCCAGTTGCTCCAAAGGACTTAGTCAATGTTCCCATCAATATATCAACGTCTTTAGGATCTACCAGAAAGTAATCGCATATACCACGCCCTTGGGGACCTAAAGCACCAATAGAATGGGCCTCATCGACAAAGAGATAACACTTATATTTCTCTTTCAATTGAACCACAGCCGGAAGGTTCACCATGTTGCCTTCCATAGAATACAACCCTTCAACAGCGATTATGATCTTTTTCCATGGCCGATGTGTTTTGGGTTGACCTTGAGCAATCTGGTTCCTAATGAGCTTCTCCAAGTCCTTCATATCATTATGCTTGAAAACCTTCACAATCGCCCCTGAAAGTCTGATCCCAAAACGAGTTGATGCGTGGTTTAAGGAATCACTTATCACCAAGGACTGAGAATCAACAAGCGAAGCAAATAGACTTGCGTTGGTTCCATATCCTTGACTCACAATTAATGCATCTTCTTTTCCAACAAAATCTGCAATAACCTTTTCGCACTTTACGTGCAATGCTGTGGTTCCTATCGCATTTCTAGGCGAGCACGATGAAGTTCCAAGTTTGTTAACTTGCAATAAAACATTATCTGTGCACACTCCATGAGACTGAGCGAATCCTAAATAATTATATGACGACAAGTTTAAGCACTCCACGGATTGTCCCAGATAGGTGAAGTCTTTGTTCTTTCGTGTTCTCTCAAAACATTTGATGTATCTGCCTGGTGCTCCATGAACAGGTCGAGCAAAACAATCATCAATTCTTGTTTTTAAACGCCGAACATAAAAATTCTCGAATCCGTCATACCAAGGAGCATACCCATCCTTCTCCACCAAATCTTCGTAGTCTTGTGGCTTGAAAATCTTACCAAAAAAGTCACGTATGTGCCCAATGATTATTAGTATCAAGTAGCTCAATAAAGTTGCTAGGTGAATTAAGTACGGAGGCTCATCGTCGATAGGGGTTGGCAACGGTTCGCCTACTGGATGCTTTGAAACATACAAGTATTCCTTCGATGTAAGCGCACCATATTCTAGGTCAGCTTTGACTCCTTCTGCTCTGGGGTCATATGGAGCGTCAGGTATCAAAGTTGACATGACCGTCAGATTTGCTGCAAGATGTAGCGAAAAATATTCCTGAGAAGGCGAACGTTCAGGAGAAAAGTGTTGCGGTGCGCGAGACTAGGATCGCGCTCAAAGTACGCAGTCTTTCTATTCATGCTCAGTTTCGCGTTTTTATTTATATAATTCGCGAAAGCCGCCCATTCGCGTAGCTTACTCGTCTTCTTTAATCAAGGCAAAAAAATTGTAAGACAACTCAGAACCACCATTCAATCTCAAAACAAACTCATGAGAAGGGACCTCCCAGTCTAAGTGACCAATAACAAAGATTGTAGTTTGGCTTAGCTGTTTCTCAATAAACAGGTGACATTTTGCCACCAATTGTTCCTCCATACCAGAAAATGCCTCATCCAAAATAAGAATCTCTGGACTTTTTATTACAGCTCTCATAAAAAGCGCAAGCTTTTGGAGCGAAACGGGGAGTTCACAGAAAGGGGTATTGCCATGTTCGTCCATCTCCGGCTTGAAATAATGCAAGATTGAAGAAGCGTTTGGCGGAAGCTCTGCGTTTTTGTAAAATACTCTGAAGTTGGAGTTACCCACGTCTCTGACTAGACCATTTAAAACCAAAGAGCGAAATTTCATATTGAATGGGGCAACTGCGTGAAGCTCAGGAGATGATATGCCAATTTTGTTGTTGATATCAAAGTAGTTTACACCACTCCCCGGTTTACGGACGATTCCGTCTATGCTTAAAAACGATTTCCAAGACTGGGGATGCTCCGCCGTTATTAAGGATAAAATTGTTGTTTTTCCAGACCCATTCTCACCAAGAATTCTCCAAGTTGTCCCTCTCTCAATTTTCCAGCTAAATTTCAGCAATACCGGTACACCTTTGTAAACGACTGATGCGTCTGTAAATTCAATGAAAGCCGACTCGGGCGATGGGGAAGGTATCTCACGAAATGCAGATATATCTTTATGAATAGGCTTAGCAAATTTGGTCGTGGAACTATCTTTTTTCATCGAAAAATCTTCATCGATAGCCGATAATCCAGTCTCATTCACGAAAGCAAGCTTTTTTATCCAGATAGGAACCTCTTCCTGTGTCCTTAAGCCTAGCACTATACTGATGTTCAAATCTAATGCTAACTTCCTGATAGCATCTGAGACTAGTAAAGTTGCCTTGGGGTCGAGTCCCAAGAAAGGGTCATCAATCACAAGGAGCTGTGGCTTCGCATGAATAGCTTTTGCGATTCTAGCTCTTCTCATCTGTCCATTACTGAGAGCATTAATCCATTTGTGTTTAGACAGGCTCAAGTCAAATTCAGCGAGTAGCTTTTCAGTTAGTTCTTTATCAATATTGCCGTTCAAGTTTTGATTGTAGTTATTCGCACCAGTCACGAAGTTCAATAATGAATTCACATCTTCATCCATTTCCAACTTACCCTTGAAAGAGTAAGCCTCATATCTTGCGGCCATATGACACTTGTCGAGTCCAGAATTGTCTCTGAAATCCATAAACTGGATTGGTTTGACATGTCCTTTTTCCAGTAAGTGAGGATAAGTACGGGCCAATGGTGGGTCTGAATAGTATTTGGAAGCTAAAATCTTCAAGAAATCTGACTTGCAAGGACCGGTGACTCCCCAAAAAGTGGGCGTGTTTTCATGCGAGCAAATGTGGAATTGCTCTATGGGATTTGAGAAGACATACTTTCTCGTTTTTCCAGAGAAATTTTTGTAGAAAGACCCATTTTCAATTTTCACTAACAACTTCTGCAAGTTTTTTGACATTTCTTTGATTTGTCAACAAAAACCTCGAGGTGAAGGTAATGTGCGAAATTTACACAGCCGCAACGCAAGGAAGTCAATATACATCAACAGTGAACAGGCATGAATGGAATTCTGCATTAATTGTAAATTTAATTTCAGAATATGCTACCAGAAGACTTCCTGAGCTCCATGAAATGAAATCTGGCAGAAATCAAAGAGTGAATACACTCTTCATTAGTTTGCTTTGTGTGGAAACCCAGATCACGTGATAACGCATAGAAGAACAGTCGAACATGACCCTAGGAGCCGTTCCTAACATAATCAACATGGATTTGACGGAGCCATTGGGAACACACGAAGACAAACAAAAGAACTCATCACTCAATAATAAAGATATTTCACAACATGAATTAACTACTGTTACTCGCTTGGAGAATGACATCGAGGATGTTTACACCCTGATCGAGTCGAAGATTGCTACATTCTGGAGGAGTGCCACGCGCAATGTCCATGAATCACAAGAGAAGATCATTGGAAAATCTCAGGATAACTTGGACCAGAAACCGAATCATGGCAAAAGTACCGCGCAATATATTCCCAGTAAAGCAGAAACCTTGGGCAACACAGATTCAGATCATCCTGTGAGGAGTGTAGGCCCCAAAATAGATCTCTCATCTATTTCTGTCCTGGCAAACAGAGCTCTCGATGAATTAGATTCTAAGCTTGAAATAGTTGAGCAGAAAGCAGGAAACTTTATGAGTTCCCTTACTTCATTCTTTTCTGGCTCTGACTTGTCTGATACTCAAGATTTACATGACAGACACAAGAAAAATGCATCTGCCCTACCCATCCTTCCGGGGAATGCTTATGGATCATCTCGTTACGATATGGAATTATTCAAATTGCATACCACACCAGATGCTTTCATGAATGCAAGTTTTGAAGAAGAAGCGGAGCTATCAGATTTCTTGGTCGACGCGAAAACCCAGGAAATTAGCAGTCTTTTGTGCAAATATCTGGGAACATTAGAAAAATTGATGAATGATCTTGTTCCCACTCAACTCACATATGAAAAGTTCTGGTTTAGATACTTCAAGCAAGAATCAAAATTGAGAGCTGGTGAACAAGCGAGGAAAATGCTCCTTTCTCAAAGTTCCGTGGGAGACAGCCTGTTGGGAATGAAGGAGAATTCCGGTCACAGCGAACGCAAGGAAGAGTGTGTCGAAAGAAAAAGTAGCATGGAGAGAGTACGAAACCTGTATGATGAAGTCAACCAAGATGATGACGACGAAGACTTCACGTGGGACGATGATGAAGAAATTCAAACTTCTGATTCTTGATTTCTCCATTCATATGTTATGTAATCACAATTATATCCTGCACACACGCACATCCTTGTCAACGATTAACTCTGGGGGAGCAGACAATAATTACGACGTTTTATTGAACGCCACGTCGTGATGGGCAAGACTTTGGTCCACGAGAATCTGATAGGCTATAGCGGAGCTGGACATATATATCCCATGGCTTCTTCGGGGGCTCAAAGACGAGTTTGGGTGAAGAGGGTGAGCGGGTATCCCACATCAATCATGACGAGTAGATATGACATAGTGGATGATCTTAAGGCGGCAGCCTTTTCAAAATATCCGAATACATTGGCTAAAATGTACGACTCTTCAGAAATTCGAATTTTTGTGGTTCTTCAGAAACGAGAACAAATGCAAGGGAACAAAAACTTGAAAAGTAAGGCACTCATGAATAGATTGAAAAACGAGTCTAACGATGATCCAAACTACAGAAATTCTATGCTGAATGATATAATTAGTGATACTTCACTTGCATTACTTGAGCCTGACAAAAATGTTTGGGAAGTTTTAGATGAGTATTTCGAAAGTGACATGAGGATGTCTGATGCATTTTTAATCGACGCAACAAGAGAAAAACTCCCCCAAATTCTGAGCAAGACAAACTTCAGCGAAGAAAACCTCGATGATATTCGTCGCAAAGATTTTGAGAAGAATTTCTCTCCATCTCCCAGTCATTCGAGTCTAAAACAATCAAGTTTGGCGATGTCAACCTTGCAAACCCCAAAACTGCACAATCCTCATCAGAATTCAAAGGTCCTCGAAAAACACTCGCCAGATTTTGCTAGACAATCAATGGATGCTTCTTCATTTGGGCTGAATCATAAACGCTCCGGGTCTAGCCCCTCGCAGTCACCAATCTCGTTGACAACACAATCAAAAAACAATAACTCACGAGCTGTTCTTCTTCTTCCAAGAAACTTTTCCCTTGGTGAGCAAAGTTCACTAAAAAAATTAGGCGAAAACATGATCCACAGACCAGGCTATAAATCCAAAAGTGTTATGAGCACTCCGGAGGATACCACCGAGAAAAAATCTGCTCTGAATAGCGAAACTAATGGTTCTATAGAAGAATCGGAGGGTCCGGTTATCACATCTGGCTTAATGAGGAAAACATCGTCGCCTTTAGAAAAAAACGAAGAGTTTTTGGCTCCAACAGATGAAAAGAGCGACAAGACGGCATCAAAAAAGGTTCTCAATCAACAGGAATCCAGACGTCCAAAGGTCGATAAAACGTTGAATACTTCAACATTTGAGCAGGTGCTACCGTCGATATCAGTTTTAGTCGTGGAGGATAACTCAATCAACCAAGCAATTCTTGGTGCATTTCTCAGAAAGCATAAAATCCATTATCAAATTGCTAAAAATGGTCAAGAAGCTGTAGATAAATGGAGAAAAGGTGGATTTCATTTGGTTCTCATGGATATACAGCTACCGGTAAAGTCGGGCATAGAAGTCACAAAAGAGATACGACTACTTGAAAGAATAAATCGAATAGGTGTATTTGCTCAACACGAATTGAGCAATAGCCATGCCACAGGGAATTTGGAAATACGTGAGGATCAGAAGCTAGATCTCAATATGTTCAGGTCTCCCGTGATCATAGTGGCTCTCACTGCATCTTCAAACTCATCTGTTGATCGAAAAAATGCCCTAACTGCTGGATGCAATGATTATTTGACTAAGCCAGTCAATCTCGTTTGGTTACAAAATAAGATTACTGAATGGGGATGTATGCAAGCTTTGATAGATTTTGATGGTTGGAGATGTAAAGGCAATTCCAAAACTTTATCTTTGAGCAAAGGCGTATCTTCTACGTGAATATGTCGTCAATTAGAAACAACCTTTCATAGTACTTGGAAAATCAAGTCCTTATATATGTAGTTTGGTAGCATATTGTTTTGATTGTTTGTAATTTCCCGGTTCTTGGTGCGGAGCTCCAGTTTATATAATTTGGCTTATTCGTGTAGAAAATAAGCATAATACAGGATAAAGCATATTCTTTATCAGCTTCACATAACATTATTGTGCCTACACAGCTTCAATAAATTAGAAGACAAATGTGATTTTTGGCTCTCCTGGGATGATTAAACTCATTCAAGAGGGAATGTCAGACATTTAAAAATCATGACCGGTAATGCACAGAATGCGCACACCACTGGCACTGAAAGAAAAACTAACTCGACAACATGCGAGTAGTCTTCATATTCGAAATATGTCAGAGGGTCTTGTCAAGCCGAGCTCAGATTGTGGAAATGGAGCTGATACAAGTAATCTGAGAAATGATGCTGGCATGTTGCCATTGGAAGTCATTGATAATGCTGTCGGCACTCAAATAAAGATCTTGCTATCTAATAATAAAGAGTTCCAGGGCACCTTAATCGGGTTTGATGACTTTGTGAACGTTGTGTTGCAAAACGTCACTGAAGTTGATGCCAACGGTGAAAAGGGTAGACTTATCGAAAAAATGTTGTTGAATGGGGCTCAAATAGCCATGTTATGCCCGGCGTGAGTCGAGCCATGTGCGAAAAGAACAATTTTGAAGCTTGTGGATCGCTTCTTAAGGTCCCTTACTATGACATCGTCTTACAAGGACTAGAATGCCTTATAGGCTCGGGACTGATTTTAGTTTTGAGTTCATTTGATCAGCTGCTTTCAATGAGGGCGAATGGCCTGCATCTTGAAGACCAAGGTTAAATATCGTTGTATATCTCGTACTGACACTGTTTCTCAACACTCAAGTAAGAATGCAAATAACTATTTTATGTCAAGGGACTTCAGAAAGTTTTTTTATAGAAATTTCTGAGGAATTATCTGTGGATGATCTCAAAGCATATATTGAAGCTGAAACTGATATTCCCATTGAGGCTCAAGCATTGATTTACAATAGCAGAACACTCATAGACGGCCAAGCGACACTTGGGCAGTTGAAAATTGCCGAAAACGGGCTTATCTTGTTACAAGATGTGACAAATAATGTTCATGCTGGAAAAAAACCTTCCCATAATACAGATACAGCATCAAATGCCCAATTAAAGAAGGTTCACAAAAACTCACGTCCTGAAAGCGCTCAGCGTGATGTTGTATCCTCCAATTCAATTGGGTCGGAAAATATGGATGGTGAAACTTTCAAGTCATTACAAAAGATACATAATAATCCAGATGACCCAGAGTCTCAGATCAGAATATTGGAGATGATTCGTCAAAGTCAAGTCGAAGAGAACTTGCAGTTGGCGTTCGATATATCTCCTGAGTCATTTGTGGCAGTGAATTTACTTTATATAAAGTTGAGGATAAATAATCATGACGCATTTGCTTTGGTCGATACTGGGGCCCAAAATACTGTGATTCATCCAAAGTTGGCGGAAAAGTTCGGGATTCTGAATTTGATAGATAAGAGGTTTGCCTCAATGACGGTCGGTGTTGGAACTCAGCGTTCAGAAGGGAGAGTTCATAGTGTGCCAGTGAGTCTTGGTGATTTGGGAGTTGAGTTACCTTGCTCCTTCACGGTTTTAGACATTCACGTTGGTATTTTATTTGGCTTGGACATGCTTAGAAGACACAAATGTAATGTTGACTTGTCCAAGGATGTGTTAGCGATTGGCGACAAGGAGATTAAATTTTTGAGTGATCATGAAATTGAAAAGTATGTTTTGCCATCCCAAACACATAGCAAGTTGCCTCCGCATGTTCAGCCAAATTCACCACAAGAAGGTAAGACTTCCATGGAAAGCCTGAGTTGGGTTGAAAGAAATGACGAGTTCGAAAAAAGCAATGCAGAACATGTGTTCCAAGAAAGCTCAGTTTCAAAAATCATGTCATTAGGCTTCACGAGAAAAGAAGTGATTGAAGCATTAAGACAAGCAGATGGCAACGTCGAGCTTGCTGCCTCTTCTTTATTTTGAAAGGATCGACGTAAGAATCAAATATGATGTAAAACTATATGACATTGAAATTATGAGAATCTCTTACATAAGATTTTCCAGTTCTTCATCTGTTGGCCTCTTTTTCAAGACTAGTGGGTTACCTGTGACTCTGAAATATATGTCTTTTATGTCGTCTGTCGTAGTCTCGAAATGAGAAGATGGATCATAACTCTTGGATATGAAAATATTGCTCTCAGATCCGTCCTCCACAGGTTCGTACAACTCTGCGAGACCCATAAGTGTGTCGATGCGATTACCTAGCAATTTGAAAGCAGGCTCCAACTCAACGTGAGGAGACGAAGTTTCAACAATGGTAGACACGATTGCAAGATAGTACCCCTTTGGAACGACGCAGTGTTCATCGGAAAGTACTGCAATGTAAATATCATTTTGTCGTCCCACCTGATTTTGTGGAATGATAATCTGAACTGATTCCAAATTATTGGTGTTTGGGACGGGGTGATCAAGAATGCACATTGCCCTAATAACTTTGTGTCCAGTTTTTTTGACACGATCAGGGAAATATGTAGGATCAGCAATGACTATAGGAGCCTTGGCAGTACCCTCTTTGGTGACAACACCCTTGAATTGGTTGTTTTCGTCATACAAAACTTCGTCAATTGGAGTATCCAACATATAAGTGCCTCCGTAGATGGCAGATAAACGAGCAAATCCTTGAGGCAACTCGCCCAAGCCATATAAAGGGTAAATATATGGCGACTTACCGTATTTTGCGACTGATTGAACGTAGAGAATGATCCTTTCAATCGTTGGCCTCGCGAGTTCGGTCAAGTAGTCATCATTGGCCCATAAGGCCATCGCATGACCTATGAAATCCTTCGTACCTCTTTCCAAACCAAAGTGAGTGTAAACTTCATCCATTGAATTTTTGTCCAAATCCAAGCCCTGGTGTGTCGACAATTTATCATCGTCATACGCGGCAACGAATTCCAAGAAACGTTTCATTCTTCTTTTCTCGAAAATTCCCATTAAAGAACTCCGCAAAGCCTCCATCTCATTTGAGGGAACTTTTGAGATCTTTCCCGAGCGATAAACGTAACTCCCGCCTATTTGCTTGAATTCGATGTACTTCGTCACCTCCGTATGAACCAAAATGTTGGTCAACTCACCATTACTCATCAAAAATTTGGGAATCAAGTCTACGCACCAATCACGATCACGACCTGTGATGGAATCAGGCTTCTGAGATGATGGTTTGAATTTTTGATAAAGCTGCAGCAAGTTCAAGGACGCTGATTCCCCACCATAAAAGTCTTGTCTGTCAATATGAAGCACTTTCTTTCCTTCTACAGACAATATTCCAGAGAGAACACATTCGGTGAGCCCAGTGCCCAAAACGATCACATCATAATTCTCATCCATTTTTTATACCTGATTGTCTCGTTCTTTAAAAGACGATTTTACCATTCAGATTTTGGGGCGGGGAGTGGAAGTGAGGGCGGGAGCCATAAAAATAGCAATTATTGACCTATATATAAAATCACGTGCTTCCTGATATCGGCATATAAGCATTTTCTATGGCTATACTAAATTGTGAAATCTTTGGGCTCCTTTTTCAGAGCTGCTTTTGATAATTTCAGAAATTTCTGTAGGGTCAGAAGTGATTTTAGTCATATTTTCAAATCCGTCCTCAGTAATAATTAAATCATCCTCAATCCGAACGCCTCCCACGTACCAATACTTGTCGAGAATTTTTGTGTCAATAAATTTCAGTTTGGTAGGATCGCTCAAGATGTCATCGAGGAGAAATGGCGAGAAGTAAACGCCAGGCTCATCAGTCAATACCATGTTTTTCTGCAATTCTCTCCTCAATCTCAAATACTTCAATTTTTGGTTCGAGTCGTCGTAACGAGGATTCCCGCCCACATCATGGGTATCCATTCCTAGCAAGTGCCCAAGACCATGCGGAAAGAATCTAGCAGATATATCTGAATCAAATATTGTCTTTTCATCTGCATTAGTGAAAATACCAAGACGAATGAACTCTCTAATCAACACTCTGTGTGCCTCCAAATGGATATCGTCCCACAAAGCTCCAGGTTTGATCATTGACATTGTTACTTGCTGCATTTTCAAAACAACATTGTAAATTTCCAAGTGCTCTTTGGTCCAGTCTCCATTGATTGGGAAACATCTTGTTACATCTGATGCATAACAGCTCCATTCAGCCCCTGCGTCAATAAGGATCGACCTTTTCTCGCTGTTGATTTCATCATCATTTTTAACATAGTGTAATGTCGAGCAGTTCGGGCCTGCACAGCAAATTGGGTCATACAGTTGATACTTGGAACCCTGTCTAAGAGCATGATACATAAACTCGGCGTGTATATGAGTCTCGTTCGTTTCAATAGGGGTAGCCGACATCACAGCAAGATGACATTTATCTGTGATTGATGCAGCACGTCTCATGAGAGACAATTCAAATGAGTCTTTGATTAACCTCGATTCATCCAATGCAAACTTCAAGGTGTTCTTGTCTTCGGTCAAAAATTCTGCGAAAGGAGAACTCCATTTGTTAAATGTCATTGTAAAAACAGCAACTTCTTTCTGTTTTAAGCTTGCAAGCTCTTTCTTCAAATTTTGAGAATATTGGACATTATCCACATCGTACTTTTCCAAAGCTTCTTCCCGCAGAAGAGGGGGTCCACTCCACATAATATCTTCTGCATTGACATCAGGAAGGAATAGCGTCAATTCATCAGCATCTGCAAGGTACAAGACATGGGATCCTGGTATTTCACAGCCACTTAAGTAGTAGAAATACCGGTTTTGACGAAAAGGTTTGGTTTGGTCGCAGTAGTCATAATAGTCAAGGTTTTCCCCACTCAAAAAGAAACCGACTGGGTTATTTATTTTGATACTTTTGAAATGACTGTACACCTTTCGGGCGTGCTCCCTGGAAGGATACTTCTGGCTCGAGATAGAGCCCAGCTCAAAAGGCATTAGTGTCTGTGGATCTGAAAGTAAGTAGAGTTACGAAAAGATATATTTCCCCAGATAGTTTTACCGCAAAAATTGCAGAGTCTCAAACTCGCCTCCACAACGCCGTCCATAGGTAGGAGACAGGAGTGCGCGACCCAAGGTTCGTTGCCACTTGACCACACGGAATACACAAGAAACTTCTACCCTCCACACAAAAATGGAAAGATTACAAAGATTGTTAGGCGGAGCAAATGGATCGGTTGGGAATGGTGGATCTCAACTGAGTGACTCTGCCGCAATAGACGACTCAGAAACCGTTTACATATCATCTTTGGCGCTTTTGAAAATGCTTAAACATGGTCGGGCGGGAGTACCCATGGAAGTTATGGGTTTAATGCTTGGCGAATTTGTGGATGATTTCACCATTCATGTAAAAGACGTTTTCGCGATGCCTCAATCTGGAACAGGTGTTTCTGTTGAAGCTGTCGATGACGTGTTTCAAACAAAGATGATGGATATGTTGAGGCAAACTGGCCGTGACCAGATGGTTGTTGGATGGTACCACTCACATCCTGGTTTTGGCTGTTGGCTCTCATCAGTCGACGTCAATACGCAACAAAGTTTTGAGCAATTAAACAAAAGAGCAGTGGCTGTTGTCATTGATCCAATTCAATCGGTGAAGGGAAAAGTCGTAATTGACGCGTTTAGAACCATTGATGCAAGCACCTTAATGAGGGGCCAGGAACCTAGACAGTCTACTTCAAACGTTGGACACTTGAACAAGCCTTCCATTCAAGCGTTGATACATGGCCTTAACAGGCAATATTATTCTTTGAATATTGACTACCACAAAACCCTGTACGAAACGAACATGCTTTTGAATCTTCATAAAAATTCTTGGCAAAGTGGGTTGAAGATGATTGATTACAGCAAGTCTGAACATGAAAACTTATCCAACATACAAAGTTTAGTGAAGACCGCGAAGTCTTACAATGAAAGGGTCACTGAGGAGAAAGAGTTGCTGGAAGATCAGTTGAAAACAAGATATGTTGGTAAGCAAGATCCAAAGAAGCATTTATCTGAAAAATCTGAGAGGATCATAGAGGACAACGTGACATCATTGTTAACGAGTAATATTAACTCTATCGCAATTCAATAGTCTAATAGAACCCAATTCCAACAAGTTTCGGGTTTATTGTGTAATTAAAATTGCATCAAAATTCGCTTACTGTATTCAAAAGCATCATCAAAGTCATCCTTGCGCGAGAACGGTAAATTTACACCAGATGCTATAAGATACTCAACACAGATAACAAACGACACAAATCTGAACTGAATCATCTTTTTGCTTCTGGTCTCTGATTGGTCACCTGATGACAAGTAGCACAAAAATTGGGGAATCAGATTTTCAAACTCAACCAACTTGCTTGCGCATACTTTTTCTAGAGCCGTATGGGTTTTTGGAGAACCTAACATCCATTCTTGCACTGTATTCACAGTCATTGCGAAATTTGACGAAACATTGGGATATCTAACCGAAAAAGCATCCGAAGACCGTATGTCGCTTAAAAGCTTATCGATGATCTGCTTGGAAAGCTCGTTCTCGCCCTGGAATTCAGGGTCCATGTGAAATAAGTTTCTGAATGAGCTTGGGTATCCACGTGAAACTTTTGTGAGCAAGATAAGAATCCACAAATCATTCAAACTTTTTAAAAACTCATCAAATATAGCATCAAGAATCCCTTCTCCCACGAAATAATCTGTAATCATTAACTCAGCCCCAGAGACAACTTTCGAATTGCTTTTCGTATCTCCACTTGTCTCAATAAGCATCGGTAGCTCGCCGTTAGGCGATGCTAGATATGACAACGAAACAATTGCGTGACCTGGCTTGTCTGCCATGTTTTCACTTGGCAACAGAAATTTATATTTGTAACATAGCAACAATGAGGCAGCAAGGCTAGTAGGATCGGTTGGAATAAATTTTACCACATCTGCATTCAAAGATATTTCACGAATGTTATGAACAGCTAATGTGAGCTGTCTTCCACTAACTTCAAAACTTTCCTGATGGATAAATCTATATCTACCTTCTTTGGTGACTGATTTATCTTCTTCTTCATTTTTGTACGATCTCAATGGAAAGGCATTGAAAACCAGGCGAAGTAATGGTGGAATTTGCATGATATATTGTTGTCAGCAATCTGTTTCGAGCACGCAAGAAATGAAGAGCAGCCGACAAAGCGACGCATGCGAAGACATGCGAAAGTTCAAAATTCTGGAAGCAGAAAAAGATATCGATCAATATAACGACGAATAAAAAACCATATTGACTTAACACAAATGTGACATGCTATGTATGTATATATTTATTCCGCGGCAAATCATGATCCCTATCCTTCGGTCTTTTAAGTTCTAAATTCGGAATCTCATTCTTCTTGAGAAATCAAGTCGATGCTCAAGTCGTACCAACACTCATTGGCAAATTTGCATTGACTTTCGCCATGGTTCACAAAACCAATCTTTTCATAAAACGGAACAAGCCCTTCATGTGCAATTATAACAACTCTGCTTCCCAAGTCTTGATTTGATAATTTTTGAATGTAGTCGTGCATCAACAAAGTGCCTAGATTTTTTCTCTGCCAATCTGGATCGATTACCAAACCATGGACACCAATAGTTCTAGATTGCTCTATGTGCCCTCTAGAACGGTCCTCGCCCAGAGGGAGTTCCATAGAAGAGCTTGTAATTTTATCGGAAAATATCTTTGTAGCAATGATGTGCCCGATCAAGGTTTCCTTCACAACGGACAGTCTGATCGGCAACTTTTCCTCTCCATCATCTCCATTCTCAGAATCAGAGAGGGAAGATGTTGCCTTTAACTCGCCTTCTAGTTTCTTTGCAGTCTCTGGTAAGTTGATGGCATTATATTTATACCCATACTCTCTCACAAATAAACCCGAGCAAAGCTCTGGACAAACTGTCAACCTGTACTTAAGCTTTTCTTCTGAAGCTCTCTCTGCCTCAGGAAAGCCCTTGCATTCCAAGGACACACACAGATTCAAATCCTGAATCGTCAAGGGTCGAATGGATAAGTTTGGAGGAAAGTCTGTCATATTTGATGTTTATGTTTACACCTTTTGCGCAGGGAGTTGAAAAGTCGGGGTCAGTACGATTGCGCGCGCTCAACTTCCGAATTCGAAATGCCCCAGTAAGGCCAGGCTGTAACAACAAAACGCACTCACACATTTGAACGGGCCGCGTTGACTTGAGCAAAAAAAAAACATAAAAATAAAATATATCAATTATGTCAGGAATGAGTCTATCACTCTAATCGGGGAACTTCAAATTCACCAGTTTCATATTTTGTCAACAGATCACTTACTTTCCACAAATGAAGAATATTATCATCTGCTGTTGAGGCAAGTGTCCAATCCTGAAATGGACACCAGCTCAAATCTGTCACTGCACTAGTATGGCCTGCGTGCATCATGAATATTTCTGGAGCACCATCTTCTGCGTCCTCCTGTGTCTGTTCTTCTCCAATTCTGCACAAGTCCCAGAGTATGACCCTTCTGTCTTGTGAACCCGAGGCTAGAATACCATCTCTGTGTGGAGAAAATTCCATGCTCGTAATACCATCTCCGTGTCCCATCATGGTATGAAGTGCATCACCCTTGGATGATTTCAGATCAAGGACTCGGAGGTCCAAGAAGCTGATATTTGAGTTTTGATTTCCCACAGCAAGCAAGTTCGTAGAAAATGGAGAAAACGCGAGACTGTTGATCCCTTCCGACGCTTCGTCATGAAACATTTGCACGGGCTTATTGTGAGCCCGAGTATCAAATAAGTAAACATTTCTGTCGTCTGAAACGGAACCAAATACATTCGTATCGAATGTATGCCATCTCGCATCATTCACAATATCGGTATGGCTCAGATATCTTTCGAGAAATTGCTCTGAATTACTCCTGTTGACGTCGCTTATGACGCAGGTTTTGTCATCTGAACCTGTGAGCAAAATCCCACGCTGAAAATGATTCCACGAAAGTCCATAACCATTCTCACTGTGGGATGCGAGCGTTAATTCTTTGATTCCTTTCGCCAAATTAAATATTTCACATCCACCAGCCCCATTTATAGCAGCTACCAAGTTGGGATCTTGTGGCATGTAACGAGCCCTATTTATTTCACTGGATGTCTTGATCTTTTTCGAAATTTTAATTTTTGAGGAGGTCCGAGCTGTTTTGTCAATGTCGCTATTACTTTTAACAGGCAACTTTGTCGACGCCAACTTAAGGTAATTATCGTCCATTCCAGAAGTGTGAGTTCCAAGTAGCAATTTAGCATTATTTTCTTCATGTTGTGGGAGCCATTGTATTGTTAATGAGGGCCATGTGAGAGCCGTCTCGCTCACAAAATCATACATGAAGCGACAGTTCTTTCGCCACAACTCGTACTCTTCTTTAAGCTGAAGGTGATTTTGAGAGTCATCCATCTTGCGAATATATTATTGTACTGCTTTTCCTTGGATATTCTTGACACTCCTTTGACGCGACGCCATTCCAACTTCGAAAAAACATAGGTGTACTGGTCTGTAGTGACACGCGTTTCACAGGGATATTCTACCATTAGCACGCATGCATAGTAATTGCTAAGCTCTTTTCCTTTTGAACGCTAGCCTTTTTATTCATCGTATCCATGAGTTAATAGGTCACACCTCAAATGCCGAAAGTCTGCATTATTTATTGATATAATTATTATGTTAACTGATTTTTGGAATACTCTGAGACTGATGAGAAAGAATGTTCTCTCACGAACATCAACTCAGGCTCAACAATTTTATGATAAGCACATCGATAAAGATTACTTGTATAAGTCAATCTGTCTAATTGCATAAATCAGCCCTAATCATGCTGTCAGCTCATAGCCCGGACAACAATGGTTCTCGTAATAATCAATAAGATGAAGAGCGCTTCGAATGTGCTCAAAAAAGGGACCGGCTTCAATCCCGTTGACATCAGATTTGGTAACACTATCAAAAGTTTTAGAAGTGTCTGTAAGACCATCTCTTGAATTGCTCATACGCTGAGATGCATCCGAAGGACCTGTTCCACTGGCCACTTCATCTATGCTCATAGATCTGCAATCTGCTGCCAATATATCTGTAATGCCGGTGTCTCTCAATCTCTTACGCAAGTTATTGCTCTTGCTGACTCGAACAAAAAAAGATTTGATATTGCGCTTGTTGTAGAGCGATAGAGATTGGTACAATATATGAGCTGCAGAAGAGTCAATATAAGACATACCTTCCAAATCAAATATCATGTATTTTGACATTGATGTATCCCGACTCCTCTTTAGGGCGGGATGGGCTTTTGCTGATCCATACATCTCCAACCTTTTGAGTCTAGATCTTAGATCACTGGCATTTGTAAATGTGAGAGGTTCTGGGATCTTAATAATAAGACAACCTTCAATTTCTTCTAAGGCTTGAAAATTAAGCGGTCGAAACCGATCTGTGAAAAGGTTTAACTGAGAGGGACGTTTCTCATAATTCTGTTGCTCTGAAATCGATTGGCCAAGGGCAGTTGTAAGGTCTGCATCTAGGAACGTATTAGTTCCTGGAACCCGTCCAAGAATCTGTATATTCGACTCTGCAGAATTCTTTACAACTCTTATCAACAGATATACTAATCCAACTGCTATTCCGGCCTCTATGGAAAAGAATATTGTTGTGACGATTGTCATGAAAAATGTGATCAATTCGTTAAAACCATGTGATCGCCAGTGAAACATCACTTCCTGTGGCCCTTCACAGATTAACAGGACCCCAATGACAGAAGTTATAACACTCAAAACACATTTAGGAATATAGTAAACGAGTCTCGAAACAAAGCTCGCGGTGATCAAAGAGAATAATCCCATTATAACACCCGAAAAGGTTGTTTTTGCCGAAATAGCATTAATCTTTGATCTTCCATATCCCCCAAAAGAAGGTAGCCCTCCAAAGATGGAACAAACCAAATTTATCGCTCCGAGCGCCACAAGTTCTCGATTGGATGATATTGGCAAATCGTATCTAGAACCCAAAGACTTCAGAGCCGTAGTTGACTCAAAAAAGCCAAGCATAGCGCATAAAAAACCTGAGGTGCTGAGCTTTTTCGCAAGTTGTAAGTGACTTGTAGGCAATGGATTGAAAAGGGGAATTTTTGCTGACATGTCTGAAACCTCACCAACAACACTCAACCCTTGATCATTCCAATGAAATTTTTGACATAGAATTGTTGTTGTGGCAACTAAAATCAAAATTTCGGGAACATAAACAATATATGTTAGCCAGCGCTTCTGTGAGTTCACTGCCCGTCTTTTAAAGAACCGCATAGTCATAATACTTATAAAAGATATTGCACTAACTTTTAGCGTGAGCGAATGAGCAGCATGATAGTTTTCAATGACAAATCGAAGCTTGTCGAATGGAGAATGTACATCTCGCTTGTTCCCTTCATTCGGTACTTGACTCAAGAGATTCTCAATTCCAAACAGGGGAATAAGCGAGTTAATAATCATGACCATACCTACTCCACAAATGAATCCTTTCAACAACGAGTCGCATAGAACATTATCAAGAAAACCAAATCTTCCCAAGCCGAAGCCAAACAATGTTGCGCCACTCGTGAAAGTGATTGCGACCACGTACTCGGAGGCTGATGTCCCATTCTCTTTCGCATGGTGAAGAAGAGGCTCGACAGCTTGACCAACAATGAGCGATATTGGAGCCTCTGGTCCAGTTATCATTTGAGGAACCGATCCCAAAATCATATATATCAAAGGAGCAATGCCCAAAGAATAAAGTCCACAAGTGATCGGGACTTTTGCTAGAGAGTTTGCATATGAAATAGCCAATGGTATTTGGAAAGTAGCCAAGGAGACACCTCCAACTAAATCTCCCAAGAAATACTCAACACAGTACTCATTCACCCATGAAAAAAAGGGCAAATAATACGGGAGTAGTTCACGTAAAGTAAGCGAGCTAGTACCGGGGAGATATTCTGTGACCGATTCAAAATTTTGCATCTGATGCTGATTTATAGCCAGATATGAATCATGGAGCTGCTGATTCATCGGTCTTGAAAGAAGAAATGACTCCTCGTCCGAACTCTTCCCACCTTCTTCTGAAAATTCAGGAATAGGCTTTCTCTTCATCAAACCATTTGATCTTATAGATTGCGAACAGCTCTCGTCGTTAACTCTCCTGCTCGAGATAAGTCGAGAATGAGCGCTGGGACTTTTCTCATTTCTGGTGGATCTGCCTTTGTTCGTAAGGGGCATCTTGATGAGTGTCTTAACTGGTTTCGTTAATTCTAGCACATTCAACCCTATAAAATTATCATATCACACAGAATTTACTCTTTTGGCAGTGAACTTATGTTAGGTTGTGAAGATTTAAATAGTAGTGCGGGGTTATTTGGCCGACGAGGCAAGCACGAATACGATAGTCGTGATTCAGGTCCTTCATACGGGTGTGTCTACAATTTTTTTTTACTTTTGCATATATTCAGCTTGTTCTCAATGATTTGATCCAAAAAATCAATGGGTTTTGTATACTATTTTTTCCAGTTCACATACTGTGGGCGTTTTACCTCTTTTGCTTATTATATTTTTTTCACATGACTTCCCAAACGTCCAGAAAAATAAATCTGTTCTTTGCGGTGCATTGTTTCTGCGTTTGGGCGAGCCATTTGATTGGGATAAACAAATAACTTGCACACGTGTTCATCATGGTTCTTTTGATATCATGTGACTTTTTCAACTTTATTAGCCCTTGTAAGGAATCTCACGCAATACTTCAACAAAAAACTTTAGATAATCCAGAGTACCGGGGTGAAAGAAGGAGGTTTCCTTTTCCTCGGTTGAGCAATGGATTGACAAAAAAGTCGCAAGTATTGGTTGATATAAAAATCTCAATCATTTCATTGATATACTGAGGGCATGTTGTGAAATATGACAACTTGTAAATTTAAGAAATGACGATGAGAATTAATGCTCGTAGCTGACAGCTGAAAATGGTAAAATTCACGGGTTTATTGTTTCTGGCAGACATCATATTTCAATCTACATACGAATGGCAGATATGTGGTGTTCGGATGTTGTCCACGCAGACAAGCACTGCAGGCAAATAATTTTTATTTGACTCACTCAGTACAACCCTGTCGAAATCATACCTACTAAAAGTTGACACAAAATGTTACGTTCTTTGATTTATAAAAGATCTTTTTCTACCACAAAAATTAGTCGTCAAACACTAGCATTTATTGAAGTATCTAATGGAAGTATAACCTCTCTGTCTTTGTCAGCTATCACCGCTGCTCAAAACCTCGGAAAGCCGATAACAGCCATTCTAGCAGGCACACAAGCTGAAAAAGTTGCCTCTTCAACTTCGAAAATTGACGGAATTTCTAAGGTTTTATCAGCAGGGAATGGTCAGTATGATCACTACCTTGCAGAGGAATTGGTTCCTTTGTTGAAGGAAGTCATAGAAACTAGGAAGTTCACGCATATGATCACACCGGCTAGCGCTGTAGGGAAGTCCTTTTTACCGAGATTAGGGGCTTTGCTTGATGTGCAGCCAATCTCAGACGTGGTTGAAGTTTTGTCCGAAGATACCTTCGTTCGCCCTATTTACGCCGGAAATGCTTTGGCAACCGTGAAGAGCAATGACTTGACTAAGTTGGTCTCCATCAGAGCTTCAGCCTTTCAACCTGCTAAATTTAACACCGAAAGCGTGTCTATTGAAGAAATTGACTCACTGGAAAAATCTGATAACCGCACAAAGTTTTTGTCTGAGCAATTGATAGAGTCCGACAGACCAGAGTTGGGTTCCGCTACGAAGGTTGTGGCAGGTGGACGTGGACTCAAGAACAGAGAAACTTTTGAATCTCTCATAGAGCCATTGGCCTCCAAATTAAATGCGGCCATTGGAGCATCCAGAGCGGCTGTAGATTCTGGCTTCTGCGACAACTCTTTGCAAGTAGGCCAGACTGGAAAGATTGTTGCGCCCGACTTGTATATCGCAGTTGGTGTTTCTGGTGCAATTCAGCATTTGGCTGGAATGAAGGATTCAAAAACCATTGTTGCAATTAACAAGGATCCTGAGGCTCCTATCTTCAACATTGCCGACATTGGTTTAGTTTCTGATCTCCATGAAGCTGTGCCTGAGCTTTCAAATAAGTTGTAGTTTTTGACGCGTATAGTCTTTTGATCACAAATCATTGATGGTCTGAAATTAGTTTTCATGTCCCTAGTATTAGAATTAAATCCCGTATTCTGAACGTGTAAGGCCAGATCAACTTACTCAAGATTTCGCGGCACGACTGCAGGAGGGAACAGCGGAATTTACCCAGAGCTGAACGAACAGCTTTCGAACTTGCGGTACTGACCACACTTTCAAGCTCTTGGTTGTGGATGAAATATCACGTTTTCATCGCTCTCCCACCATCCAATATCGACATCGAGGTTTATACATCGTGACCTCAGATTAGTGTAAACCTGGCAAGATAAAGCCAGTATTTGAAAAACAAAGATTGTGTCGAAGGTAATGAGCATGCCAGAGGGAGGTAGATTCGAAATAGATCAAAATCGTGTGACGGTGTTGCTTTTGATTAACTCACTCCTCATCAAGAAAGCCCACAATATATACGTTACCGTTCTCAGTAACCGATTAGCAATACAGCAAATGCCACCCCAATCGCGTCAAAGCATACTTGAGCAATATAATAATATCAACCGACGTTTGCAATGCAACTTGAGTGTTCTTTCATTTTTGGACAACTCATACAATAACAAGGCCATGGTCCAACTGTCTCCCAAAATAGAATTCCCTGTTATTCTTTCCCCTCCTCCAGAGATGCCTGAGTTACGACTGTTATATAAACGACTTCAAGAGTTGTACCCCGAGGCTATAGAGTTTTTAAAACTCAAAATGCACCAGTTGAAACTGCAGCAAGAGTCCCAACTCAAATCTCCACATATTTCACATATTCCTCAGAACACACAAATCTCCCAAATGCCTCATTCACAGCAACAGGGTATTCAACAGCCCCCTCAACGGTCTGGCTCTCAAATAGATCATAATGTTTCCCAACAACAAGGTCCAATACAAGCGAACCAAAGGCAACAGTTTCTACAACAATCATTTCCTCCTTATAATACACAGGGCGAAACATCTCCACATTACCATTCGCCACAAGTGAATGTTGCTCAATCACAAATGGGTATTAATCAATCGAGAAAAAACGGTCTGGCAAGCATGACGTCCAAAATTCCAGTGCAACATCATCTTCCGCAGCACCACTCTAAACATCTAGATATGTCATTTCCTGGTGGAATATCTCCTCAAATGATGTCCAAAGAACCTGAAATATCGCTTTACAATGACTCATCCAATTTGATGAATGGTAGCGCAACAAAAAATATGCCCCATATGCTGTCCATTTCACCTCAGCAGATTCTCCAGCAGCAGATGCCACCTAACGATATTTCAATGGAATTTTTATAGCTTAGTACGAACAATCAACATCATTGGATTAAACTAGAAGCAATTCCAGAACAGGACTAGAAGGCGTCATGATGAAACTCCAGGTTAATTATATCGCTGTAAGCACCAACGATGTTACTCATTGAATAGCTTTGTTGCGCATGATTTTCCTTCAATGGCTCTTTATGATGACTGGAAGAATCATTTTGTATGCCACTTTTTTGATCGATGCCCAATGAATTAACTCCACTCATCCCTGAGGGTTGCAACCACCCTGCATCATTAGTGATTTCATTCCACATCTTTTGTTCTTCATCAACATAAGTAACTCCTTCAATACCTGCTAAATCTGAATTTGAATAGAAATCGCCTCCTATATTTGATCCCATAGCTGAGCCAAAAGTATTCTCATTAGTGAGATTTTCTGATGCAGCGATAGTTGGTGTGTGTCGATTAGAAGTTGGCCGTGTGGCAGATGGAACAGGGCCATTAAACTGAATGAAGTCCAAATCTGAGCGAAGTGGTTCTGGCACAACAGGCGGGTTAGAATATTCGGGACTAGGCTGTTTGAATACAGAGTCAGAAACATGATTTGAGAAATTTTCTTCGAAGTCCATCTTAGCTTCATCCATGGATGGAAAATTAGATCCATCATCGTGCTTCTGCAAAAGATCGTACATGACTCCATTGAAATCAAGCACTTTGATCAATTTAAGCAACTGAGCTCGTCTGAGAGCAGCTGGATAATTTCCTAATTTTTTCATCCGGGTGAAAAGGGTCAATGCATGATCTAAGTGATCCCTCGTTGCATCGTGTACTCCAAAAGAAGCGTTGAATAAAATCAATGTGGAGGCTGACGTAAACAAGTATTCGCGATCCATCCAGCCAAACAATGCTACCATGTTCTGCGGTAATAGTGCCCAAATACATTTGATTGTGTTAATCGAGGCCTGAAATGATGCGTTTAATAGAGTGAGAACATTCTTGGAGTATTTCGATAAATCAATGAATTTCGACTCATGATTTCCCGACTGCAATTCTTTCAATTTTTTTGTAGCAAAATGAAATAATAATGGTCTCACAGCTAGATTCATTCCTTGGAAATATTCCGTCATAAGGTTTACAATCAAGCGAGAGATATTTGGGTTGCTCACAGAAAAGTCCACTTTCAAAAAATCCGGTAGAGAATTCATCCATTTAAACAAACGTTGGACTAAGTCCGAGACGACAGGTAGGATGTTAGCTGTGGGTTGCTTGGTGTAAAGCGACGATAGAATAATAGCGTTGATTTGTGTAATGGTAACGCAATTGTTGATGTATTCAGAAGACGGAAAAATGTAAGAGCTTCTCACATCATTCTCGTCTTTAGAAGTGTTGCTCAAGTTGATGTTGAAATCAAAGGGTAATTCAGTGGAGACGCTATCATCAGCAAAACTTAACGGTAAACCTGCTTTAGATGAGAGCATACGCTCATACATATAAACAGTCCACCATATGCGTCTTCTGTGTTCCAATTCAAACCTGTTTAGATTATCTTTGTCGGCATCTACATGCCACCCAAGGATCAAGGTAGAGCGTAACGCCAAGCCAAAATAGAAATAAGAAGCTATTGTACAATCAGCAACTTGAAGGTAAAAAGCGTAAAGTAACATCACTTCGATACCTCCATCTTTTGTGATGTTATCAATTGCTCCGGATGCAAAAAGACCAGTGAATAGCTCGGACGCCTGATAGAAAAAACCAGAACCCGGCAAAGTATTTCGTTCCCCGTCTGCCTTCTTCTTGCTTTTTTTTTTTGCAAAAGTGTTTATGGTATCTTGCTTCAGGTTCCTTATGTGCGTATCTGATTCAGTACCAAGATACATCTCGCCAATAGCAAAAATTAACAAGATTTTGCAAAACCAGATTGTTTCTAAAATCGTGTCGTCATCCGTATCTTTTTTAATCAGATTTTCATAATCAGATGGGTTAATTTTGCCCGAGATATTTCGTTTTATAATTTTTTTGTTTTCCTCGTTGTTACCAGAATACAAGTTCATAAGGTATTTTTTCACTAAACCTTCGTTGAAAAAGTAGAAGCATCCGTCATTATAATTTATGAATGTGTCTACCAAAAGAATGGCGTAAGAATATGACGGAAGCGTGAAGTTGACCGAAAGACCAGGGCGGGTATTGGTTTTTGCCAATGTAATATTGTAAGCGTTTCCCTCTTTTTCAAGAATTCTGGTCTCTCGCTTTTTATCAGCATGTCCTTCCATTTGTGACAGCGATCCCGCATTTAATTGACTACTGGGAACATCAGCGGGGGAAGGAACCGAGGAATGAAGATGAAGTAAGTTAGACGACGGGAGAGCGGGTGCCATATTCTGTATCTCGAGTCCGAACAAAGTCATGGAGGAGGACCCAACGTAAAGTTTTTCTCCTGTTTGGGATTGAATCAATCTTCCATACTTTTCAAGAGAGGGGTCTATTACCTCATTATTGGGATCAAAATTCTCTGGATCGAATCGAGGGTTGGGCCCCGCAGAAGAGAAAGACGTCTGCTCGAATAGCTCGGCTGGGCGATTTCCAGAAGATAAGCTGTCAGACGGGCTAGTGTGAGGAAGATCATGTGTGTTTTTGAGCTGTTCTTCCTTAAGTCTGTTTCTGAGACATGAATTTTCCTTTTTGAGCTTAGCGATGTCTTCCTGAAGCTTGTATATGTACTTCCGAGAAACTACTAATCGCTTTTCGTACTCAACATACTCACACTTGGTCTTTGCCATCTGACATTTCAGACAAGGTTGTCCCCCAGGGCACCTTGTGTGCCTGAAGCGACACCTGATGCATGCACGGGCAGTTTTTTTGAGTTGGTTCGAAGGTATCAAATGTGCATCCGATGAATCATCGATGATTTTCTCATCGTCGAAAGACATGGAGTCAAGAGACGTTTCCTTTTCCGGAATATTTTCAACTAAAAATGACGAAAGTTGTCCGCTAAATGCAGATCCATTAGGTGTGGGATCTTCTCGACTTTTATGATTCATAAATATTGACTTGATAAGATTTGAGTGTAATGAACTTAGACGCTTCGATAGCAGACAGGTCACTGAATATGAGATAATATACAGTTCTACGCGGTGACCAGGTCAAAGATATAATTTCATAACTCGCCCCGAATGTCTCCAAGAAGTCATATTTCTATTTCTTTTGTTTTTCAATTTTCGTCTGTAACGATCAGCTTGTTAAACAGATAAATAAACAAACAAACAAAAACAAAACCAGAATGTAAACCGGGTTTACAATGCAGATTGACCTGTTTCCTTCATCTCAGTAGATCCCTAAAGTTATTTAAAACTAACCTTCATTTTACTATTTTTACTTAAAAAAACTCGTTCAACCAAGTTACATCAGTCCGCAGAAAGATTTTCTAATCCTTCACCGACGTAATTGCCTGCTGGGTTATACGAGCAAATTACGTATAGCCCCCCACTGCAAGACTTGTAGGCACATCCTAACTCTGTGGTACTTTGCCATATAACTTGTGTGAAATGGTCAAGAACGGTAGAGGTGCTGTAGTCATAACCGGTGCCCTCAGAATACCAAGCTTCAAGAGCAGCCACACCAGTTGAGTATCCATAGGCTAAGTTCTCTCCATAAGAATCCCCGCTATGGACCAAAGAGCCCCCGCAAGTATACGAATCAGCATAATTCTGGGCGTAAGTAAAAAGATTTGCTGACCAGGATAAACCAGAAGCTGAATGTGCCTCTCTCTTTTCATTATGCGCATCTAAAATAGCCTTCGCAAATTCCGCGTCTACTCCAGATGAGGAAATTTCACTGTAAATGCTGGATTCAGAATCACCTGTTGATACCGAAGCGGACGTAGCTTGACTTGTTTTCGTAGCTTGCTGATTTGTTTCTATGGCGGCATCCGAATTGGTTTGGCTTGTTGCAATTGTAGATACAGTGGGAGACGTAACAATTGTTGTTTCTTCGAGGTCAAACCCAAGATTGACGAGAGATGGTGAGTATGTTTCAACAGTTGTGGCGGTGGTGGCTCCTACAGCAGCCACATCATCAAAAGCAGATACAGTAACAGGAGCAGTGCTCTGGCTTTGCTGAGAGAGGACAATAGAAGATCCAATAATATTCCCGCTCATATCAACCGTCACATAATGATATCTGGTAATGGATACTGTTTTAGCCGCAGCCATTGTTAAAAGACTCAAATGGCCTGCAGTTGAAAGGAATTTCATTGTGAGTATATCTTCGAAGGATGGGCCAAAGAGAAATGTATTATTTGTTTAATAGAAAAGGATGGTTTGTGATTGATGCTGAATATTCGTGTTCTTTTAAACTGACATATATGTTTTGCTTCAAAATGGAATGGTTTTAAATGCCTACAAGCCGCCACTCTAGGTCTGACCCGCGTTATGAGCGATGCCACATTTGTTTTGACAAGAAATGAGAAAAGCGCGCTGGATCTGCAGCCGCGATTTGAACCTCCTTATGCTTTAGCCATTGTGTTGATATTATTCCTTCGAAATGATGGACAAGCGCACTTTTTTTGTTGATTAATCCAGAGTGCCAAGGTCAAGAATATTGAGCATTTAGCTCTCTCACACCGCGACTGCCTGATATTGATAGAATAATGCTCCTTTTAAAGAAAGGTAAACTATACTTTCATTCCGGAAGTCGCGAACGCGACTGACCTCGGGTTCTCGCATGAGGTCTTGCATGAAAGATACAAAGGTTGACAAAATTTGGCGTAGTTTACTGAAGGCACATTGACCGTTATGCAGATCAGATACAGACTTCTAGCCTACGGTTTGAAAAAGGAAGAAGCCGAGGCGAATAGGGGTGTTAACTCAATCCAATTTCTGTGCAGGGAGTAAAAAAACAAGCGTTTCAAAAAGTATCATAATGGAATAATGACAAAAAATAAACTGCATGAACTCTGATCTAGATTCATGCTTTGAAAGCTAGGCATATGGCACATAAATAACTCAATTCAAAAATTCATTATGTCTGGATACCTGACATCAAAAACTTCGTCCGCATGGGTTACCCAATCGCGGAGAAACTGCACCCCACTTTTTTCGAGAAGTTCCATGTCTCCAATCACACAGAGGTGTCTCTTGGGACGGGTCATCGCAACATTTAGTCTTCTGAAATCCTTTAGAAATCCAACTTCGCCAAAATCATTGGATCGCACTAAGGATACTATTATTGCCTCTTTTTCTCTTCCTTGGAATCCATCTATTGTTGAAACCTCGATTTCATCCAGGTCCTCTTGGATCAACAGCTTTTTCATTGCAGCGACTTGAGCGCTATAGGGAGAAATAATTCCGATGTCACTCGGACAAACTCCAGCTGTAATCAATTGGTTGATGTGGTTTCTTACCACGAGTACTTCCATATCGTTAAATTTGGAACCATTTGAAGCGTTCTGACTGAGAAAAGCATTATCCTCCTCCATTTGTTCGGGAAAGTCGCCGCCTTGTGTGTCATACCATATACATGGAACGGTTGTTTCATCCGTCGACGCTACTCCATCTAGGTCACAAAGTAAGATTGATCTCACAGTTTTGTCAGCGGTGAGGCCCCCGCCATATAGCTTATCAGATGGAAATCTCATGATATCATTATTCATTCTGTATTGAACATTTAGCATTTTCTTAAATTCATGCCCTGCATGATCAGAAACGAGACGATCGAAAAGAGTTTTTTGCAAGTCTGCAATAGCTTCGCCCAGACTTCTCAAAGCAGATGCTTCCTCTCTTGATTCAACTGAAGGCGGTAATTGTTGATTATCCCCTGCTATCACCAATCTTCGACATCCTAAATGATTCACTAATGGAATCCAACATTGAGGCTCCAACGATTGGGACACTTCGTCAATAATTATAGTGTCGAACAAAGGCTTATCAATACCATACTCCATATTTTTGTAAACATTGAATAGCTCATTTGAGCCCGATCCATGAAGTGTAGAAAGAACGACATCGGCATGTGTAATAAGATCAAGTGTTATTTGTTTCTCCCTTTCTCTCATCTCACGTTTCAACTGTTTTAGTTCAGTCCATAGTGCCTTACGCTCGTTGAAACTTTTTGATTTTTTCAACGATGTGAGAACATTTTTTATGTCATTTTGAATGTCCCTCAATACAAGCTGATTGTCACCACCCTCTGCGAGTGAACCTGACTTTGAGAGTACATCGAGAGAATGCTGAAGATTGGATGATAGGAGCCGAGCTGGATGCCCCACTCGAATGAGGTTTTCTGGGAGGGCTTGGGTTTTCCTTTGATTTTTTTTTCTTGATCTTTTGTGTGCTACTTCCTCACAAACTGGCGCAAAAGACGGAGATAATCTTTCCAATAAATTGTCTACCGAAATGTTCGATGCACCGCAGACGAGTATTCTTTCGCCATGAACGAATCGAAGTTGTTTGATGAGTTCAACTAATGTATGTGTCTTACCAGTTCCTGGTGGTCCATGTATGATTGCGATTGGGGACTTGAAGATCGAAAATTGTATTGCATCTTTTTGGGACTCGTTCAAACTAGCATCCCAAAATTGAAGCTGGGATACAGCTGCTTGTCTTGGCTGAAACTCTTGCTCACCTAGAAGAATCCGTATCACATCGGTCTTTTCATGGGTAGATAGATCCCTCATTTTCTTCATGGCTTGTACCATTCTTTTATAAGTAATCGAGTTGGTGAGCTTCACTATCCACATGCGATTATTTTCATGAGCGGTATTGTTATAAATAGCTAAGAAGGTATCATTCATGGAATCTTCTTTCAAACTCACATTTATGATTTTTCCGTTCAAGCGTGTTACAACCCCTTCCAAAGACGTTTCATGTTCAGAGCAGTATGAGCTCATGCGATCTAACTTAACAATATCTCCCACTTTCAAAGATCCTGTCTGAATTTCATCATTTTGTTGGCAAAGAGCCGGGTCTAGGGAAAGCTCGATTGAGGTCTTGCCAGTCAAGGCTGTTTTGAAATTGGATACGTTCAAATTTATAACTGCCAAACCAAATGCAGCCAATGTTTTCGGGCTGTAGGACAGCAAATACTGGGTTGTTGTGAGCAGGTCACAACTTTGTTCAAGTTCGATAGCCTTGATCAATTCATCCGCAAGGTGCTTTTGAAGTGACATTTGTATCTTCTACGGGAATGTTAGTATCAGTTTTTCACGGACCGGCCAGAGTTTCTACGGCTGATTCGATGCATCTTCGATACGTTTCTTTATTTGTGATCGGGTTTCAAAAAAAGTATTAGGAGAATTTTCTTTCTTGCTTTCGATCAACATACCAGAAAAAAGAAAGGTTGTACTTCAGCTTGCTGGGAACGATTGAGTCACGAGGGTAACAGCGATCTTTTTTTTCCCCTCATTTTCTCAACTCAGGGAGGGCGTGACAAGCTGTAGTTCCAAAGATGTAAATATCGGTACCCACATCGATTGAACACAATTGAAAAGCCAGATGTTTATTCATGTTTTCCTTCAATAAATTGATCGTATATAAATTATTAACATAGTACTCCTATTGCGCACTTCCCAAACCAATTTTGAACGGTCTGGCTGGTATACGAAATGATGCAAATGCCGAAAAGCGAAAATACCCATCAGCCATGTGTTAAGTCAGAGTTCCAGGAAAGAAGCTGAGACATAGCAAAATCAAAGACGCTTTACCCCATCGAGTTATCAATGTCTGCACAAGTTTTCTGGTGGGCAGACTCTGACGTTATATTTTTTTGCTTGAAGTACCCGGAGAACCTCAAAAGAGACACGGTTCTATCAAAGCAGCGCTCCCCAAAAGCTAGATACTGACCAAACCATTTCCTAAAGTCAACGGATGAGAAGTGGGATGTATCGAATACCAACCCAGTGTTTCGATGTATACCAGCGAGAATAATTGATACTAAAACCAAGTCAAAACCGTAGTGTGCAAGCTTCCCTACCTAAACTGTCAGATAAAATGCTTTGTCGCAAGAATGGCACGAACTCCGGGTTAATTGATACATACGGTCATTCTTGACAATGTGGTTCACATGGTGAGCAAGGTTTCGGTGTCGCACTCGCGCACTAGATTTACACGCAGTAAAATATTCATCAATCCTATAAAACATGAAAACTTGTAAATATCGCTACTGTCATTCTCATTTAGCGAGATGAACTCTCTTCACAGAGCTTCCAAGGTTGCCTAGAGTCCAATTAGCTAGTCTTTTCTGGCGATTTTGTAATCCCATGCGCAAAGTTAGTTGATCCACATTGAGTCTCTCCTGCAAACCATAAAAGCGATTGGCGTGAGCTGATCTCTTAATAACTTCTAGAGTTGATAAGCCAGCAAATTTTGTCGTTACCATATCAGTGCCATCAGGTCCAACCCGCTGAATTGAATAGAGGAAATTCAAAATATTAGCTCTAAGGCGATTCGAGGCATATTTTGAATTGTAAAGATTGAACATCCACTCAAGAACATCCCTTGATTTCAATAGTTTTATATCCTCAGAGGTCTTGATACCTTCTGCCATTTGGACGACAAGCCAAGTTACGGACTTATAGTAGTCATCTTCCTCTACCAAATCATCAGTTTTGGCATTGGAAGCCAATAAATTGAAGAGTGGAATTGAATTTGGTTTAAAGGCGGGCGTTGACAAAACATAGCGATGAACTTGTTCATACAAATAGTGCCCAGGCGTTGTTAATATCGAGCACAAAGACCCAGCAATATACCACACTAGGGGCACCGCATGATCAAGTATTTTTGTTGAGTGCAATATCGAGGATACGAAAACTTTCATAATGCTTTTATCCCTGTAAGTGACCGTCTCATCACACAAAGTTTTTAACACGCCCATCAAAACAATTTTCGCAATTTCTCGGACTCTATTGAATGAAAGAGATGTAATGACGAAGCGCAAGAGCCCAGAGTCGACAAGCTTGGTCAAGTTGAAGCGAAATCCCTCCTCAGTCTCCTTTACCAACTCCTCATTGTTGATAATTAATAGCATTAGGAATTCTGGGTCATAAGTAGTTTCTTGATGGGTTCCTGAGGGACATTTGTGAAAAAAAGCTTCAAAATTTTGGTAATTCTTTTCCTGTGGGATTTGCTGGTCACTGAAGTTGGATTCGGTGGTGCGTTTGACAAAGGTCTTATTTAAGGCAACCACAAAAGACGAAGAATCTCTTATAAAAAGTCTCTCTTCACCAACGATATCTAGCTCCTCTTGACTCATTTCATTCTGATAATCCCAGTTTGTTATTTGACTAACCCAAGTTTGTGTAATGTTTTTTTCGATTTTTTGGAGGACGTCCTTAAGTAACAAGTCATCAGCTCTTTGAGAGCCCAAGTATAAAGCAAGAATGTTCTCCTGTAGAGTCATTGTTGATGAAGCGTTCTCGTTCAAATTAAACAAAGAATAAATGACGAGAGAAGCCTGAAATCGCGTGCTAGAGTTTTTGCTATTGGGAAGATTGCGAAGGGGATTTTTATCATTGTTGATAAAAAGTTGAAGAAGCTTTTCTGAATCGATCGTTTTGGGATCAACTGAAATAATCACATGGTTAACATATTCGAGAACCTTGGATTGACTTGACCACAAATGGCTAGCTAATAGCACTTGAAGTTGTGCATCGAGTATTTTGACGGGAACTAACCTCGAGAGACGCTTTTGACTAACAAAAAGGTTTTGTAAAGAGTGCAAAAACTTTTCGAAAGAGTCAGAGAGAGTATCAGACTCCGCGAAACGTTTCGTCACATAAAGCATCGCCCTATGAAGCCACAAATTTATTTGATCAGGAACACTGGTCAGAGATTTGATGATGGATTCCACGAGGCCAATAAACACTGAGTTCATGGCTTTTTTAGTTTGACTTTCTTGTCTTCTGAAAACTAAATCAACCACATGATCTTGATCAAATAAAGAATTGTAAGCTGTGAAAATTTTTAATGAATTGACCCATTCATCCATCGAGAGTGCCAATCTGATAATTCTGCTTTGAAATTTCTCGGCGATTTCAGGATAAGCAGCGCTGATTTGATAGAGCAAACGGTCTGGCAAGTTCTCGGCTTTCAAAAGACATTCTCTCAGCACGGAAGACGGGATTTCGAGTAGATAAAAGAAGTTTGGATTATTTATCACCATTTCAACATGTTCTGCATTTAACGTTAAACGAGGTAAAACTTCATGAACCGTTGGAGAATTAATACTCATAAGGAAAGTAATATTTGCATCGAAGTCGATATCTTTCTCCAATAATAATTTGCATGCTTCCAAAACAACCATTTCATTTATCAGACCCATCGCAAGTTCTTTCAATTGACCAACACTAAGAAACGGTATAAACTTTCGTAAAAGTGCTTGGTTCTTCTTCGAAAGCGCCGTCGCCGCTTGTTTTAAAATGAAATGACGAATTTCTGAGCCCTCTAAATCAATTTTAATTGTTCTGAGAAGCTCACAATAGAGGCAAATGGCTAGGATTTCATGGTCAGTGATCGACTGTTCACCCAAACGAGTGAGAAATCTCCATCTGCTAGGAGAAGTAACATATGAAATGAACGACCTTCTGGAAATATCCGCACTCGCCAAGAAATCTCCCATATTGGTCATGAGATTGAATATTTCGGATGTTGCTTTCTTCATATCGATCAAAGCATTAAGCACGGAAAGAGCTCGAGCAAAGTCATAATTGGATATGATTTGACCCACTTCTTGAAACTTGCTGTAGTTCAACGATATCTTAATACCTGAATCTGCTGCTGCTTTGGTAATTCCGTTTGAACATTCACCGATAGTCAGCATTCCAATTGCTAACTGATTCAACCACCCGAAAAGACTGGTCTCGGAAGCTAATCCGGGGACATAATTCATCTGCTCGAAGAGCACAACCAAAAATATGCTAATATCATTATATCTTTTGTGGGATTTATCCAAGTATTTGTATGGCGAGCTGACGGCACGGGAAATTGTTTCATCAAGACATGCCCAAATTTTGTTAAACTGTGGACTGTCGTGAAACAAAGCGGTCGTTTCAATTAATACCAGAAGTGGAGATTCAATCAAATTGTCTTCATTGAACACCAAGGTTGACTTCGTGAGTTTTTGCAAAATTTTTAGAATTTTGTGACGAAGAAGAGGCAAGTTGGAAAACTTTAGCAATGACGTGAAGAAAGAATTCTCTCCAGGAAGTTTATTCCACCATTTGAGTTCATTGCTAGACTGAATCGAGAGATACAGGTCGAGCAATATCAAATCAAAGCTGTCGCTATTTTTAGAATTTAAGTTCAAGACGCTGAGCTCTTTGGTGACAACGCACACAGTAGCAGAGGAAGAAGATTTGGGAGCTAGCTCTTCTTGTGCAGCAACAATTAAAGTTGCGGTGAGCTTCAACAATTTATTTTCGTGAGTCAATAACGGAAGTATTGCTGTATGTGAGGGCAAATTACTCAAAACAAAATCCTTGAGGGACTGATCGACACTCTTTGCATTCAAAAGCTTTTGTAGCTGTAATAATATCAACTGTAAACCCAATTGTTTGACCAAATCACTTGGAAAGGCGATACATTCACTCAAAGCACCTTTGGAAAGTGGTGACAACGAAACAAATTCTGCTTTAAGAGGAAGATGTCTCGACTTCAAAATCTCACAATAGAGAAGTGTATGGCCTATCCAGTACGACGAAAGGGTAGGCTCATGATAACCCCCTGAATTGGAAACTATCCAATGCATATAGGGCAGAAGCAATTCATGATTGTTGTTGAGAATTTGCATCACAAACTGTAATTGAGTATAAGAGTCCCATGGCTTCATAGCAGTAAGAAGTGTATATATCAATTTGTTGTTGATGTTGAATGAAACACTATTCACTACCAAGGGAGACCCAAATTCATTTTCAGGGTAAGTGATTCCTTTTTCTGTGTCAGACACCAAAACATTCATAAATTTCAAAAATGTTGTTTTGAAGTCAGTAAAATCGAACACATCATCGTTGTCACTCTGCCGATCATTTTCTGACTTGACAAGGGAGAAAAGAGAACGAACATTGTACAAAAAGTTTTCATTGAGAATACGACATTTTGTGGCTCTCTTGAAAGTGGATTCAGAGCAAACGTATTGATCAAGAAAATTTAAGATCCTAGTGATAGATTCGAACTTTTCCATCTCCATGTACTTCCAAAAATTGTTCATTATCTTGAAATTTGTCAAAAGAGTCTTCCGAAGCGTTGGATTGCTTGCAGAACACAAGGAAATCCAAAATTCAACAAAAGCCCAACGCATGGATTTTTCATCAATGATTTTTTTCTCAAAATCATCTCTTGTGGGTACCAAAATATTATGAACAGCAGTGTGGTCAAAATCGAAGGACTCCGTGAACTGAGAAAAGATGTTCGAGTTATTATATTCCACGAGACACTGTAAGATTTTCGTGATTGAAACTACTACAGCTGGCTTTCTCATACCATATATCTTGTAAACAACTTTTAAGTTTGATATTACCATGACATAGGCATCATTGAGATGTGTCACTTCCTCAAGAAGCGCAAGCTTGATTGGCAAGTTAGCAGAAGGTGATTTGTCCCCTAAAACATAGTTGATAACATCAAAGACCACCGAAAGTTGCTGAGAAGTTCTAGTTAACTGACCTAAGTCGTTTGCTGCGCTGAAATAAAGAATGTTGCTGAAAGACTTGGTTAAGCCATTATTCTGTACAAAACTAACAACCGGCGACAAATCCTCGTAAATTCCTATCACCGAAGCAGACTGAAGATCTGCAATTGTTCCAGTATCAAGGCCTAACGACGAATAGTTTTTCGTTCTGGTTTTATTCATTGGGTTCTTATGATTTGTGTTTACGAAATTACACCCGCTGAAAATTAACCGATGCGATGCACCTGTGAATAGGTCACGTGACTAAATTGGACCAACGCGCTTTTCGCTGGTTGACCTATGATTAGAGCATCTGAGAAGGCCCGTATACTGGTATGGGTATCATGAACGATAAAAATCTTGAAATTAAGAGTAAGTGAGTTTTTATGGGCTGTAAGAACATTGATTTATCTCTGTCACGCGGAATGTACCCCAATCATCCTGTTTCAACATGGATTGCTGATCGCGCAGTATGCTCTTGGGAGGAATGTGTTCAGCTTTACTACGCACATTTAAACTCGTTTCGTCTAGCAGAGTATCTATGAATGTGATATATGGCTGTGTTTCAGATGGTGGAATCAACACATGTCACAGTTAAATTTGCTGCACTTGCACTTAATGTATGTCGCGACCAAACATTTTATGCAATCGGTTTTGTCTCAGACATGTCCGATGTATGTTTCGCTTTCTTTAACAGTAGGATTTTTTGATTTTTGAAAAATTCATTGATATTGAGCCTGCTCTTACATTAAATGGCTGTGTATAGCTTTACCAGCTTAAACTTGGTCGGAGACTTGGAGAATTATATGTCATATTCCGCGGATGAACACCAAACTCCTCTTTCGGGTTGAGCTCTGACGTCATATTTGCAGGATAATGAGGGGACGACACTATTGTTTCCTGTACATTGAGGACACAAACGGAAATGTCAAGCCGAAACACATTTATCAAGCGATTTTGTTTGAATTGAGCACTATTCCAAAAGTATGCTAGGCAATTGGTGTTTGTTTGAATTTGAATTTACTCTTTCCGCCTTCGGCAATGAAACTACACCTTCCCCCGGTTTAGCGCGCGTAAACTTAAGAAAACGCGGGAAAGCTAAACTGCGAACTTCACAATACCTCTCCTGATCCCAGTTTTCGGCCCTTTTCGATTGAAGATCACATTCATTGAGCTGTTAACTGATCCTACCGACTCATTTTTCCAAGCAGAATTAGCTTATCGAACACGTTTGACTTGACTGTGTGGTCCACTTGATCTTGAAGTGTCTCCTTACCCCTGCGTCCCGCAAATCATCCTTTAAATCATTAAAAATATCTTCTGAATTGAATTCGGGTTCTGTTAGTTCAAGAGGACTCTCAATCAAATTGGGGATACGTATACTTTAGCCGAAATTGATTCGTGTCACTACCTTGCACCATTTCGATTTCGTCTGATCTCGGCATAGAATTATCAGAAGACTAGCAAAATGAGCCAGCAAGGACATAGAAGGGAGAGTTTTTCTATGTTCAATCTAGATAAATTCCCTGATTTGCCTCCGCATTACAGGATTTCCACTCTTTTGGGCGAAGGGGCTTTTTCTCTTGTTTACAGAGGTATGGACTGCCGCAAAGGAAACGATGTAGCGATAAAGATCATCAACAAAACAAACCTATCCAAAAAGCAGATTGCAAACATCAACAATGAAATTTATGTGATGAATACTTTAAATAATGCCGGAAATCACCCGAACATACTTAGACTTATCGAATCTTTTGAATCTGAGCAAAGCAGTTACCTCATATTAGAGTATTGCGATGGAGGAGAAATCTTCGATAAGATTATTGAGCATACGTATCTTTCAGAAGATCTAGCCAGGCATGTTTTTTTGCAGCTCCTTGATGCCGTAAGCTTTATGAATGAAAACCATATAGTTCACAGGGACATCAAACCGGAAAATCTTCTTTTCGAAAGTATCCCCAAAATTGATAGGCCGGATACTGAGTTTAGAAAGGCCCTTCGCTCATCTGATGATGAATCTAAAGTTGACGAAGGGATCTTTCAGCCTGGAATTGGTGGCGGGGGTATCGGAACTATAAAACTTGCTGATTTTGGCCTAGCCAAACAGCTCAAGTATGACTCCTCATCAAATCTTGGCCAAGCGAGAAGCAACCTCAAGACTCCTTGCGGAACAGCTGGCTACACAGCCCCAGAAGTGATTCACTGTGGGGTTGAGAGAAAGCGCCGCTTCAGGAGCGCCCACTCAAGGAGTAATTTTTACTCTAAAAGTGTCGATATTTGGTCCCTCGGTTGTTTTTTGTACACTTTACTCTGCGGGTTTCCTCCTTTTTATGACGATGACAATGAGGTTCTCACACAAAAAATTCTTCACGGGGAATTTGTCTTTTTGGCTCCTTGGTGGGACGAGATCAGCTCAGATGCAAAAGACTTGATTTCCAAAATGTTAGTCGTCAATGCGAAATCTCGAATCACTCTTGAAGGAATCTACAAGCATCCATGGATGAAGAACAGCGTATCTTTGAAACAGAGCAGCTACTTTCCTGAGCAAAACATCAGCAAATATACAGGGGAATCCGTACCACAGGAAAAAACCAAACATATCAAGAGTCCGGCTGGTATGGTAGGAGGCTTGATATCTCCAAAAATTGCCATTAAGCAAGTTTTTGACAATCCTGCGATGTCATATGTCAGCTTGCATCTGTTGGCACAATCAAAGAAGGAAAAACCGAAAGTCTCTCCAGAATTTAAGGAAGTAAAATTTGACTCCAGAGCCCGCAGGGATTCCAAGTCAATCAGCAGCTTACCAAAAAGTCCTAATCCAATGAACCGTGTGAACTTTAGCGATGTCTTCAAAACAGATGCACTCATGTCGGCCCTCAATGACGACAACACTGACCTTGATAGCGAAGATGCTTTTGATGGCTCCAATGGGGATAGTCTGAACGAATTTGCTGATAGTCAATCTGCCAGTTCGGATGAAGAAAGCATAAGAGAACCCATGGACATAGAAACTTTTGAGTTTGATGAAAACGGCCCCCTTTCTCGCTTCCATGTGCGTGAGGAGATTCTGGAACATGTGGATTTGAAGAATCTGTCATTATCTTCAACAACATCAGTGGACTCCCTGAAGCTGAGTGATGATGCATATGCGACACGCTCTTCTTCTGTCATCAGTGGTGCCAATGGAGAGTTCGAGTTTACACTCAATCTAAATGATCTGAGCTTGTTAAGAAGACGCTCCTCGACTAAAAGAAACTAGATTTGGGTTTGAATTTTGCAAAGGAATGTCCTGCTTCGATCGGGAATCATCTTCCTCTTCAACGAAAAAACAAAATAAGTCGGGAGAAGAGTGCTTCTATTATGTACTATGTAAAGAATTTTATTTTATCAAAGAAGACTTCTATCTTTCGCTTGGTTTGATATCAGCTTGTTGAGGGGATTCATCTTCCTCAGCAACAAGACAGTCATTAGACTCCAACAACTCCAGCAAGTCGCCGCTTTGAGCCATAGACTGAACAATATCACAACCTCCAATGAACTCTTTGTTAACGTAAAGCTGAGGAATAGTAGGCCACTGACTATATTCTTTGATTCCCTCTCTCAATTCCGGGTCGTCTAGAACATTGTATGCGGCGAACTTATTTGGATCAACTCCTTGTTGGCCCAATATTTGAATGGTGGCTCTGGAAAACCCACATTGAGGAAACTCTGGAGTGCCTTTCATAAAAAGGACAACCGGCGCAGACCGGACGGCACCATCAAGGGCATTTTTGACCTCCGTAGAAAGCGATCTGAAAAATAAAGGCTGTCTGAAAAGGCGCGACTGTAAAGTTAGTAAGAACCTTGTAGTTTTAGATTGGTGGACAAGATGGGGCAAAGGAAATAAATCCTTTGCCCCCCATCTTTCAAAGTAAGAAAGTATATATATGGACTTGATCCATCATGTGCCTTAGGGGCGTCTTCTAATGACTTGAAAAATCAACATACAGAGGCTTGACCGATCGATCTTGAGAACATTTTCGAATTGCACACGAGTGATGTCGATTACTAAGAAAGAGCTTTCCATTTGAACATTGAGCGCTAAAGTTCTGCACATAGTACCGAACTTAGGATCCTGCGGATGCGACGCTAAACAAAAAATTCTTAGGTACTAAAATAGTTTTACAAGAGGAATATCCCGTCCCTCGAGATGATTTCTGTCTTCATTTCTTTTTGCCAAGCATGAATTACTGCTCCTTATTTATCTGTCATCCTCATTTATACCCTATTCTTGTCTTTTTGGGACAGTCATGTTATTTACCCGAGTTCACATGAGTAGTATTCCGATTCGTGCGACTTTGAATGATGAGTCCTTGATCAAACGGTACCTCTCGTTATTCTTCGACGCTTTGGGTTTGCCTTAACATAAATCATTGTTGGATTTCACAACGCCCAAAATTTTGTTCCATAAAGTGAGCCATAGTAGTCTGCGGATTCTCTGAAGAGTTAGAGTGCCAATGTAAAAATGTATACGCTTTGCATGACATGAGTCTGTGTAATCTGGCAAGACGTAACACAAACTCAGATTGTGCGCAAGCCTCTGTAAACAGCGTTTGATTTTGTCCCCATGTTTTTCATATTCTCAGTTATCGCAAATATCAGAAGAAAGAAAGATCCAACAGCTTCCTACCAAAATAAGAAGCGAAAAAGAATAGTAACACCTTAGAGGAACCCATCTCGAGAAATGCAACTCAATAAATACATCATCGCTCAGGCCATTTTCTTCATAGCCATTCAAGGCGAAAATACTAATTCGCAAAGTCAGTTCACATCTTTGCCTTTTAGTTTCGGGCTTGTGCTTAGTGCATATAAATTTGAAGACTCTCAAGAAAGTTCTGTATTACCAGAGAGCAACATTCTGCTTTCCTCCAAGCCAAATTCGTTGAGTCCTGATGATCAAAGTTTGCAAGCAATTTCTGTTGCGGAAGTTTTTCGGGATCCCGAAATGAAAAAAAAATCGCGAGCAGGACCGTCAATAATTCCCTTGGCATGCTTGAGTGAATCTGTACTCGAATTAGATCTAAGCGATGGCTTACTCACAAGTCGTCAACATAATGTAGCATCTGTGGATGATACTCATCAATTTCAATTTGAAGAGCTTTATGATAGCGCCAAATATACTCCCAGGGCTTGGCTGGTATCCGCAAAGGGGCAGTTAAAATACCAAGATACTGAGTTGTTTTACCAGTGCCACTCCGGAGAATCATACAAAATTTATGATGCCCCTGTTCATTCACGCTGTGCACCTGTTTTGTTGGATGTTGTGGAACTTGTATCTTGTCAATAGTTTTAGGGTCTGAAGATAACACAGGATTGAAATACTTCTCCATTAAGCAATATCTGGGGAGGTCACAGCTGATAGTTCCAGTCACCACCAAACAAACATATGAATACAGTGGAAAGAACTGACTATCTCGAATTCTTAACCCAGATATAACATTTAAGTATGAAATCATTTGCTGTACAAAAATTCAGGCGGTAGTCGAGGCTAGATTTGCTCTGAGCATATGGTATAGAACAGGATTGAAAAGAGCTACCTGGGCTTTTTACCGCGGTGTCTTCTACTTTTACCATTTAGGTGGATTCTGTAATGTTGTGTACAATTGTCTTGACGAGCAAAGCGAGCTGTACATCTTGGAAATGGACACTTATGGTTTCGTTCCCCTGTATGTATGCGATTGTGACGAGCCAAATGACCCAGGGTGGTGAATGACCTTCCACATGACTTGCATGTATGACTTCTTTTTATTTCCACTTGTAGTATGTCTTGATCTTTTTTGGAATTTGTTGGAGTGCCATTATATTGATTTCTAGACATATTTGAGGGTCCCGGAAAAGCAACTGGTGTGAGGGAAGACGAGGATACGAAGGCAGGCTTGGGGATTGGAGGGCTGAAATGTTCTTGGGAATTTGGTTTCGTGGCTGTATGTAGGTATAGTGGATAGTTTTGCTGATTATCGGGTGTTGAGATTGTGCATAGCCGATGAGGTAGCCGAAGTAACAGTGACTGCCCAGTGTGTTGAATACACAAAGGATAGGACGTACCCGCTCTCGGGTGTATATTTCTCTTAGTCACTTGTATACAATGGTGGGCAACATCAGTAGATGTCTCTGGCGAACCCTGATTGATGATAGAGAGCATTAATTCTTCGAAGGAAGGTAAGCGTTTCATTTCATACTGTCTTGAGGCAAACATCCCCTAGCGATATGATTGTCACAGGGGAATAAGAATAACTTTTTCAGTGCAAATGAGGTATGTGGGCCTATCGAAAAACGGAATATTGACCGTTGAGGAAAAGGGGACCAGAGTAACCAAAAAACACTTTTTCTCAAAAAATACAATACAATTTTAGAGCGAAGCTTTATCAGATATAAAGCGTGGACGATCCAGCGACAAGGAAAGAACGCACGCGGTTGTACGGCGTCTCTACATATAATAATTATTGAGACAATACGGATTATGAGCACGTCTCCTGTGACCGCATCCTGCAGAATTCTCTCTGCGTCTTCTCCCCCGCCTTTGTCCTGCAATCACATGCTGGAGCGTTTTTTATAAAGCAGAGCGTGAATCTCATTTGTTAGATGTGGCCCAAGGATATGCAATTTCGAAACAAATGTATTTTTCTTTCAATTTAGCTAGTTTGAAAAAAAATTGCGTGAGGACGAAGACCAGTAAACTGGCGTCAGCACTTTTACACTAGGATTCTGCATAGTGTATGCGAGACTTCCTGGTTGCCACCCGTTGTGCGGCAGGCATGCAAGCACAGGGTCTCCTTGCATTTAGAGTAATATGCAAGAAGTGCAAAACTTGGGAGTAGAAATAAAAATGGGTAAGTCACTTGCAAGGAATTCAGGGAAATCAAACGAGTATGAGTATTCCACTTGGAAGCGAAAAGTTTACTGTTTGTTTATGAAATCTGGTCATACAGTAGATGTATTCAGCGAGAATTTCGCTAGGAATTTATATCGTATATTTTTATATGTTTATAAAACTGGGTTTTGTTCCTCGGCCCCTCTCGAAACCAAAAGAGTACTGGCCTTATTTTCAAATATATCGACATGGTTTTTAAAGTGCTTAGTTCTGGCATGAGGGAATTGAGAAATTCTAGCGCGGCCTAGAACCCATGAATAATCACGTGACCGTCACGTTTTCTTACGACATACTCATTCGGCCCACTCATAACTGGAAACCGAATGAGAAATTCTAAAGTAAGCACGAAAATGATGAAAGCTGGCATCAGGTCAACTTTGAGACAAAACATTGCTGTGGGAGTTAGGTCTATCAAAATCTCGGCAGCTGAATCAGAGTTCAAACCTCCTTTTGTTCCACTTGTTGCCGATGGATTTTCAGATGCAATCGGAAATACTCCTCTCATAAGACTTCCCAAAATTTCGAAGTCTGTCGGAAGGAACATTTACGCCAAGGCAGAGTATATGAATCCTGGAGGCTCAATCAAAGATCGTGCAGCTAAATTTATTCTTGATGACGCCGAAGCGAAGAATTTGATCCAACCGGGTGGCACTGTCGTGGAAGGTACTGCCGGAAACACCGGAATAGGGTTAGCTCATGTCTGCCGGCTGCGTGGCTATAAGTGTGTGATTTATATGCCAAACACTCAATCTCAGTCGAAGATTGAGACCTTACGTCTTCTCGGGGCGGAAGTGCATCCTGTTCCTGCCGTTGCATTCGACAATCCACAGAACTATAATCATCAGGCTAAGAGACACGCTGATCTGCTCGAAAATGCTGTTTGGACCAATCAGTTTGATAATATCGCTAACAGACAAGCGCACATTGAATCCACGGGACCTGAAATCTGGGCTCAATTAAATGGGAAAGTTGATGCTTGGACTTGCTCAACTGGCACAGGGGGAACGTTCGCCGGAGTAACAAGATACTTGAAGCACATGGACTCCAAGGTAAAATGTGTTTTAGCAGACCCTCCAGGCTCTGTGTTATATTCCTTCGTGAAGAGTGGGGGTAAGGATATTGTGAGAGGTGGTTCATCATTTACTGAAGGAATTGGACAAGGACGCGTCACCAAAAATTTGAAGCCAGAGATTGATCTTATTGATGATGCGATCAAAATTTCAGATGAGGAGTCCATCATTATGGTTTATCGTTTGTTGGACGAAGAGGGAATCTACGTCGGTGGCACGAGTGCTTTAAATGTTGTTGCAGCATTGAAGATTGCCGAGACCCTACCAGAAAATGCTAATATTGTTACAATCCTTTGCGATTCAGCCCATAAGTACAGTGCAAGAATCTTCTCTAAAAAGTGGTTACATGAGAAAAATTTGTGGCATGTTTTGCCAGAGCATTTACAGAAGTACGCCACTCTAGAATAGGATATATGGGGCTCGAAATCTATGATTACGTATGCCAGTTTAATTTTTTTTTTGGTAGATTCATCCGATTAAAGGGGCAAAACTACATAAATAATATATTTAAACAGCTCCCAGCTACGTACCGAGTGTCTTAGCTCGGCCCGTCCCCTTCCGTTAGTCACGGCCTGGACGGCCCTCATGGCCCATATCTGTTTGCGTATTGTATATTACGTCATTAAGCAAGTCAGATGAATTTTCTTTGACGAATATACCGTACATTGTTACATTTTCTTTACCTTATTATGCGAGGAATTATTTATGCCGGCAATTTATGTCCAAGTAACGATTTTCACCGTCAAGATCCAGGGGCGGTTTCTCGGTGTGCGACCTTACAAAGAAAAGTCAAACTATACGGCGACAAAGCACGGCGAAGTTGGCAGAGTCATCACCTGTAGGAGACCAATGAGACCAGAATGTAAATTGATTGAATGAAACCGTTATGCACGCGTCGTGTCCGTGCAAGTTGCTTTTCCGGCACAAGCAGGATTTCGTTTATTACGGAGTCAAATTTTTCTGGCAGGATGAACTTGCGCGCAAAGCCACAAGCACAACAGGGCGTACAAAGTTTATAAAGCCGCGATGCAATATGACTCTATATGCAGATGCATACTTAACAATTGTCTGTATTTGTAGACGCTACTTGAATAAGAAAAAGTCAATTGTTTGTTTTCACGACCACATAATGCTTTTGGTTGATCATACGTTTGTTGCATTTTAGGATTTGGTACGTGGTGAATCAGCATGAATGTGTAGTCTAGTTACATATGTCAGACAATAGCTTTCACCAGCAATTCCTTCATACGTAGACTTAATCTTAATGGTAATCAAAGAGCGAAAATTAGAGATATGCACGAATCTTTTCGAATATGGGTGGTACTCGCTGGGGTCAAGAAGAAGAAGATCTTGACTGCGGGAATTTTGCCCGAGATGTCCTACACAGCCAAGAATATGCATCCATGCTTGCGAATAAAAAATATTTAATTAAGTACAGTACCCACATAAATATACAGAGGCGTTTTCACATGTTCTCTTTCCATGTTGAAATTCCTATACAGCCGAATAAGCCTTCAAGCTAATATGGCGAAAAGACATAAAAAAAATTGTATTGATTCGGCTACCACTTGTACTTCTGAAGGAAGAATCAGAAGCCGTCACGAAATCAGTCGGGAGTATTTTGGTTCGCGAGTACGAAAAAAAGGTCTTGATAAACTCGATAATTCCCCTTATTTCACGCTCCAACATACAAATTGACGATGCAATTTTGGGCAAGCGTTAGATTTTCAAGCAATCACTTAGTTCAAAGTTCGGCAAAACGCTGATATCTTATATATTGGGAACGTTGATGGGCATCAGGTGGTAGGTTTACAATTCACTTTAAAGTTCATGTCTTGATAAAGTTGAGGCGCATTTTTTAAACATACACGCCTTTTTTCCGATTTGATAGTGCCACAGCCTCAGTTCAAAAATTTGTATAGCTGCAAGCAATTTCTAAAGCGTAAGAGACCGATCTCGTCAGAAATCGTTAATCAGATATCAAATTGGAGCTACAGAGATTCTCATGTTCTCCCATCCTGTTTTGGTTCGCCGAGCTCATCAAAATCGGAACTCCGTTCGATATAGTCTGATATTCGAGCGAATATACCCTCTTTTTGGCGGCCCTGGCTTTTTTAATCTCCCGCATTATCCATGAAAAACAGTTTCAGGATCCAACCGAGACTTCAAAGCAAGCAGACACCATACATAGCAAGAGAGAAAGAGTTCTGTTTCAGCCAGAGCTGGAAGGTCGCCGGCAAAGTACTCGAGGTTTAATCTGACTTTCATTTGAGAGAAAAAACCGTGTTCGCGAAATCGATCTTAAAAAATTGAATAGGCTGATCGGCACATTGGTATTATGTTCTGAGATGATTTCAAGTTTTAAGACTGAGCGAAGCGTGAAACAAAAAGACCTCGACCCAGAACAAGGAAACGGTGAGGGGTACTTCATCGTCACACATTGTAACTGAACCTGTTGTCCTTGAGATCAGGACTCGCCAGCGGCATCAATGGAATAAGATTGACGTATCAGCCCGAAAGCTCGATAGTTCACATTCTTCTGACAAGTCTTATCGCAATGGATCGCTCGAGTCAGCATAATCGGGGATGCGTCATTGAGAGAAATACTCGCAAAATATTCACCACGTAACAAATTAAGCGTCATCAGTTTGATTCATCTTTCTAGTGAAATTGAGCTGTCGGTGTCGTTCTGAGATTTGCAGGGAATTTGCGCCGGAGATGGAGATGTTTTAGAAGTATGATGACAGTGATCATAACACGCAATACAGCCCTATCCTTCTCGCAGAACACAAAATTAAATTTGTCAAAAAAGCTTGTTGTTGGCGTTTCTCGCAGAAGAATGTGAGCGCTAACCTTACGCATTGTTAATCGATATTCATACTATATGAAAGGATATATTTCTTAATATTTGGTAGCTTAAATTTGAATGAGTCAGAAATCAGGTTCTTTATACTCATGGCTGCCATAGGTTTTTCTGTGTGAAAGAAAATGATAAGACCCCCCCAATGAACATAACAACAAGAACTCAGAAAAAAACAATAAAGGAGTTGAAAATAAGACACACTGTAGTGCTCTCAACTAGCAGGATTCTACCAATACATTTGTTAATTCTCTTTGACGATTGTCCGTGGTTCTCCTCGAATAGTGCTACGTAATGAATAATATGAGACTTTAGGCCTGATGTGTCTGGCACGTTAGTGAGAACGAGACCTAGGCTTGGGCGAGAAAGCGTTCAAAAAAATTCAGTTCTCTGGATAAAAATAGGTAAGCACTGCTGGGAATTCTACAGCGCTACATCACCCTGGTACAATGCACTCAGGATATGAGGTTCGAGGAGGTATGCACCCTTGAGAATATGAACATGTCAATGCGCGGATTTGAGGTGGTGTTGGTCGTGAACATAGCGTCTTGATCTATATCACGTGACACTCGTCATACGAAAAGTTTCTGCTTAAATTTTCCGAGTTAGGGTCTCACAGACACTGAGCAAAAAGTCACCATCACAGAAGCTAGTTGTGCATTTTCTGACATAAAATCCAATATCCAGCAAAGTTTTTCTACAAACTTCACCCTCCAGAATTTTACTGCTATCTTGTGGTTTTGGTTGTTAACCCCTAGATTGACCTGCGAATCAAGAGTCATCTCGTTCCTCAGAACATCCGAGTTGAATATCTTGCTCTGCAAACCTAATTCCATCAGATTTGTCTATAGTCTTCTTGTTCCAGACTAGCAAAAGCTCAACTGACAACGTAATAAGTCAAACAGTGATCTGGATCAATGGATCAACAAATCCAGCAGGCTGTGGAAATCGCTTTAAGCGGAACCTCTGATCCTCAGTTGAAGAACCAAGCCTTACAATTCATTAATGAGATCAAGTCTACGGAAGAAGGTTTCAAGTCGTGTGTCGATATTCTCCTTGAGTCATCGGCCAAGGGAGGCACATTAAACAATGGTCTTAAATTTTTTATCTTTCAAGTCATAGACGAAAATACAGACAAGTTGAGCCAGGAACAGTTGTATGCTTTGAATACAAACTTGTTCAAGTATCTAAATGATGTTATCGCAGCAAATTTGAATGATGAAGTTTATTTGAAAAACAAACTAAGCGACTTGTTTGGTCGCATGTTCTGCTACGTTTACCCCCTGATTAATGTGGATTTTTTGAAAACCTTCTTGATACTCATTCAATCACAAAACTTGATGAGCATTGATTATTATATGCGTACATTGATCTCCATTCATTTTGAAATTGGGGATAAACTCATCTCTAGGGCCAAGGATTCACAAGAACGCAACAACTTTTTGAAAGATCTTATTCGAGACCGCGATATGTCTGCCTTGGTTTCGAGCTGGAAATCGGCCCTCACCGAAATCAAGGACACCGTCATTCTTGACAATACGTTAAAAGTGGTTGGATATTATATTGATTGGATGGATTTTTCGTTGTTCATGCAAGATGGCTTCTTGAGTATAATCTACGAATTCTTGAAGAACCACGAATTGCGCAACCAGGCCTGTCTCACTCTTTTGGAGATGATATCCAAGAAGATGAAGCCCATCAACAAGCTCCAATTGATAAACATGTTAGAGTTGACATCTGTCATTGGGTCTTTGAAAGACGACGATTTGGACTTCATTGAGAATTTATCCAGACTTTCGAACCAAATTGGAATGGAGCTCTGCATTGCTTTAGAAAATGATCCGTCGCTCGTGTCAGAGATAAGTCTTCAATTGGCGAAGTTATGGCCCATAACGCTCGAATTCTTGATTCATGAATACGACGACGTCTCTCAACAAGTTTTTCCATTTATTCAACAATACTTGTTGATTGCCAAGAAATTCCCTGCCGTTACTTCCAACGAATTACTGTCTGCTCTTCTCAAAAACATAATTGAGAAGATGAGATATGAGGCTGACAATGATGGCTTCGATGATGATGATCAATTCATGGATATTCGTCAAAAATTAAAAACATTTCAAGATACCATTGCCGGCTTAAATCCCTCCTTGTACTTAGACGTCGTTCCGCTTATGATTGAAAGTTCCATTTTCGGTGGTCAGTCGGCCTCTGAGAGTCAAAGCTGGAATGTTGTGGAATTAGGCTTGTATGAACTAAGCAACTTTGCCGATTCGTTGAAAAACAACTTGATCAATCTCCCAAAATCGGAAATTTCGACCTCCAAGCCCTATCGGGCTGTACAAGACTTATTGATCAAGATCATTAACAACGTTCATATACTTAGCCACCCAAAGAATCAACTTGCCTTTTTTGAGTTGATAATTCGTCATTTTAGCACAAAAAATTTTCTGAACACCACTCAAACGAGCATGGATGAGCTTTCTTCGAAGATTCTAGAATTGTTTTCGGAATACGGATTGTTCAACGGAGTCGAAAGCGTGAGATTGAGATGTTGGTACCTTTTCTTTCGATTCGTGAGCGCTACAAAACCAGGTCTCAACTCTTTCTTTTTGGAAAATTTGTTGATCAAACTTCAACCTCTTCTAGTTATCAAAGCTGAATTACCCACGCGGGATGAAGATAATGATCTTGTCGAGCATGGCAATTTTAATAGCCAGCTTTATTTATTCGAAGCACTTGGTATGTTGGTCACATTAACCAATTCTCCGCAAACATGTGCAACGTCCGTTGACGTTCTCTTACAGCCATTGTTTGGAAACTTGGAGGCTTGCATATCGAGAGACGACAAAGACATCAATCCTTTAATACCTTTGCAAACTCATCATCTGTTATTTGCAATTGCCACCATTGTAAAGGGTCTTGATACGCTGGCCCCAGGAAAATCCGACTCATTGAAAAGCAATGCGGAACTTGCGATCAAGATAGGAAATGCTGCACAAGTTGTGTTAATTTCTTTGGAAAATTTCAACAAATTTGAATCGGTTAGAGACGCAGCTCGCTTTGCCTTTGCTCGTCTTGTGCCCATTATGGAGACCCGAAGCAGTGCCTATTTAAGCAAACTCATATCCCTCATCTTGGCATCTCCCAACCTCAAAATTCAGGAATTGGGGGATTTTGCGGGCTTTGTTGGTCAACTCGTGCATCAATTCAGAAACAACGAATCCGTGTTCCAGTTGTTGAATGATTTGATGACCCCCATGATTCAAAAAATCTACGAGACGCTCACAATTGAAGATGAGAATTATCCCAACTTGGTGAGAGAGAAATACGATTTGAAAAAGTCTTTTCTTTCGTTCATAAGCATTTTGGTGATAAACAACCAATTCTCTCTTTTATTGACCGAAACTAATAAGGCCATTCTTCCCAAGATTTTGAGCTCGATGGTAGAATTCTCTTGCGATTTGTTCGATTCCATGACCGCAAAATCAGCTATTACTCAATTTGGGAATGTGATAACTGTTTTGGGCTGTAATGGGGGTAAGCTAAATGACAATTCAGATATGTTTGCATCTACTCTTGCTCCCATCGAGGGAATTGACGAATATTTGATGGATAGCACTGTTAAATTGTGTTTTGAATTACCGTTTCGTGAGAAGGATTTCAATTTGAAAGACGCGCAAATCCGCAATATTGCGATGGAGTTATCGATTCTCTTGACCACATACCAAAAGCGCCTGTCGCAGCAAGAGTTCGTACACTTTCTCGCAAATTATTTGACTAAGATGGGGCTCGATGAGGAAATCGCAAAAGACTTTTGCACGAACTTGGTTCAATTGAGTGGCAAAGACTTTAAAAAGTATTACGTGACGTTCTTGGGGGAGTTAAAAAAATAGCATATGTCTATGACAAACACAATCAGCATGAAAACACTACGTCTCGAAATCATGATCCATATATAATAAATATTTCCCGAACAATCAGAAACAAGATGTCTCTATTTTCAATATGCAGGTCGCGAAACTGGGCATCGCTTCTCACCTGAAATTTCAATACTCGTCCTCTGTGTACCAGAAGCAACTCAGATATACATCAATACCGAGTCTGAGATAGTCTTTGAATATTCAGTCAGATAACGAATGTCAACTGAAGATATTGTGGTTCCCCCAAAAGATGAAGAGGAGTTGAACCTCGAAAAACTCGTCTTTGGGGATCAATCAGGGTTCGAGGCCAATTTGCGCAAAATTGAAAATCTATATGATTATTCCGATGGAGATGATGATTTTCTCGACAAGATATCCGAGGACGAGGGGTCACTCATCGACGAAAATGAAGATGATATGTTTTTCATCGACGAGGGAGCCAACTCTGCAGTCACTTTTGAGACGGATAACGACTCGATGGACGTGGAAAATGATCAACACATTGAGGAGGAATTTGCTTGGATGGACTCTGATGATGAGAAAATAGCAGTCTCCGTTACGTCAACACGTTTGAAGAAATTGCGGGAGACGCAAGAAGAGCAGTCTCTTTCAGGGTTAGCCTACCAGGCCAGATTGCGGGCTCAATACGAAAAGATCTATCCTAGACCTACTTGGGCCGACAATTGGGGCAACGAACGGGAGGATAATGATGAATATCTTCTGGAAGCTGAAGAAGATGCACAGGTGGGACTTAATATCGCCACTTTGACCGCGATTCTCAAATCAACGGACAACTTCCTTCAAGCTTCCACCAAGCTACTCCCTGCGCACAAGATTGAAATTCTGCGGCTCAAGGACGCTAACATAGTGAGGCGATCTAGGGGTGCTATACAAAGCATGGATTTTCACCCACTGCATCCACTCTTAATAACTGGTGGCTTTGACCGCACTCTTCGCATCTATCACATTGATGGAAAGACTAATCAGTTTGTTTCTCTGATTCATTTACGCGACCTGCCCATTCAGACATGTCAATTTCTGACACTCGAAAACTCAAGTTTAGTTTACATGGCAGGTCGTAGAAGATACATGAATCGTTGGGATCTCACAACCGGCGAAGTGGAAAAAATTCTGAGAATGTACGGGCAGGAAAAATTCCAAAAATCTTACGAATACTTCAAGATTTCACCATTCGGAACTTACATTGCATTGCTCGGTTCCTCTGGTTGGGTCAACTTGGTTAGTGGGAAGACCGGCCAATTTGTAAGAGGCTTTAAAATCAATGGCTTCGTGTCAGATTTTGTCTTTACGCGTGACGAAAAGACTCTTATTGTCTCTAATGAGTCTGGCGAGTTCTGGGAATTTAGCATGGACACTTCAAGTAACAAACCCTCTTGCCGCTGGACTGATTCCAGTGCGGTGAATGTCACCAAAATTAAACTTGGCGGACCTAGTGATCGTTGGTTGGCCGTAGGTACAAAATCTGGTGTTGTCAACATCTTTGATCGGTCAACGTTTGAGGGCTTGCAACATGGCATGAATCCCAAACCTTTCAAGGAGGTCACAAATTTGGTCACTTCAATTTCTCATCTTGCATTTTCTCCCGATGGCCAAGTTATGTGCGTCTCGTCTAAGCAAAAGAAAGACGCACTCAAGCTTGTGCACTTGCCTCTGGGAACAGTCTTCTCGAACTGGCCCACCAGTGGCACACCATTGGGCCGTGTAACTGTTGCTGAATTCTCACCAAACAGTCAAATGTTGGCCATTGGAAACGATACCGGAAAAGTAACTTTGTGGCGTTTGAATCATTACTGAGAAGTACTGTATGATCATTGAAGATTACATGCATTGATTTTAAATACAATTCTTAGATAAATGCACTCGCAGATAGTATTTAAATGAGCCGATAGTCGAACCCTATTATCCACTTTTGTAAAAGAAACATCGGGCATACAACATTAGTGTCAGGATTGTAATCATTGCGGTTCGAAATGTGTTGCAAGGATTAATTTTGGACCCTGTTTAACTTGATTTCCTTTTTTAAAGGGGTTTCTTCCTAAGCTTCTCCAGTTGTCGCACAAATTTCTCACATTTTCAATTCTTTGAAGGGTGTGGCAATGATACATTCATTGCCGGTTTCTAGAAGAAAGAATTCTAGCACGTTGCAAATTTTCACAGAAATGATGCTCGAAGACAATTTCTTTGCACAATTCTTGGGAAGTATTCATGACTCAAGAATCGCCTCATACTTGGGTCTACTTGCATTTTTCCCGCGCGCACGACCTACCTTGAACATCATTCTTCCCGTTCTCAAACACCTGGAAACCATTCATACACCACCAACCATGCCTGTTATTGGTGCCCCGTATGTATCCATCAATGATTTAATCAATAATTGGTGGCTGAATGTCATCAGCAGGACTAAAGAAAATGAAATGTTTAACAACTGGTTTCTGTAATTTGGTTCTCCTTTCCAAAGTAGCACGTATATTAACATTCAAGAAAGGGCCATAATCGTTACAGAGACCCCAAAACGTTTCAGATGACACCTGATTTGTACAGAGTGAGGCAGCCATTTTTCTGGAGGAACTTTGCAGCATTCTTTATAGTCGGAGCAGTACCCTTGAGTGTGTACATGTACACTTGGAATGTGCTTAGCAAAGACGACTTCAGTGATATCCCCATCCCTCCAATCTCCAACGAGGAGTTAGCTAAGTTAAGGGAGGAGTATGACTCGAAAAAGTAAGTCCACATGAAAGAGAATGGCCGGATTATCCAAGTATTCTTCTTGTAATTTACTGTTGATTGCAGTTGACAGAAGTATGACTTGAGATAGTGAACATATTGTATATAGGGAATGGACGGGTTATCCAATGATTCTTGTCATTTACGTTTGACTGTAGATGAATGAAACTACCATACGAGATACCTTTCGGGTACATATCACATACACTATGCAAGTAAGGCAGTCTTTGATCCGAGCCAGTCATCGAGTGAATTCACGCTTGAATTTGGCAGTATTGTCGTCAAACATCATTTTTGTCAAAATATTGCGAAACTCCTCGAACTGGGTAGGGCGTATTGTCGTCTTCTACCTTAGAAACATCGAGGTAACCTTCCTCAGATATTTCACGGCGGAATCTATCTGATGTATCATTGTTGTACTGAGGCGTCCCGCAGCTTTGATTATCCGACAAGTCCTCGGATATTCCAGAACTCCTTTGCATTGAGGATGCCAATGGAGGCAGTGCTCCCTGTAGCAAGCGTGTATCTGAAGAAGCTTCATTTCCGAAAGTCCCCAAAGAATTGCTGCTTTCATTGCGAAGTGAAGCCAAATCAGAAATTTGCAACCTGGGATCACTTCCGACTATGTCATCGGATCTCATGCCCAGGCTTACTTTAGCAGTGCGCAAGGATAGTAGGGACTCCGAAGTTTGGCTACGGATTGGGGGCAATATTCTCACAGGTGCTGCAGCATTTTTTACAAAATTGTCTGCAAAGGGATTTTCTTGCGTTTTTCCCGAGAGGTCGCTCAGATCAGAAACGCCTGGGGCCTCGGAGTCTTCAAATGGATTTTCGCGTAAGCTGAGCATAGCGTATGACTCTTGTGGTAAAGTATGGGAAACAGCAAGCGATTCCTTCAGAGGATAGTACCTAAAGCTTCCATCTCCCAAGGATTGATCGTAAAATTCCGCTGTACTGGAGTTTGTTGTATCAAAAAAGTCCAGGTCAAAAGTGTGAGCACCGAGTGGCTTCAGCCAGGATCTTGAATCGAATGTGGAGTTTGAAGCTAGGAGCAGATTTGCTTGGATTTCTTTGATGTCCATTAGTCCTTCATTGAGGATCTGTGTGCGTGGTTTATGGTTCCGCTTCACCAAAAAGCGAACATTTTCATTCACAGATTTATAGCAAAATGCTTTCAACAGACGAAAGCCTCGATGAGCAACTTTCACTTTGATTGGAATGTAAAGAACTATTGCAAGAAGAAACTTGAAGAAAAAGAAAAGAAAGAGAACCATGGTGCAAAGCTGGAATGATAGGATGATCGAAAGTCTCAAGTTTGTGGTGGCGATCGACTTGATGTTGGTCAATATCGCATTGTTCAGGTCCCCGTCTGTAGCGTAGTAACGAAGCGTCATAAAATTGATAACTTGACGCGGTAAATCTGCTACCAATACCTCTAATGCATTATCAAGTTCCGTGTACACATGGAAGCAGGCCCATTCAAAAAAGCCCTCCTGGTCAATCTCATGGAACAAACATTGATAGTTGTAGCTTCGAATGGCGTACATCAACCGAGCATAGTGATTCAAGTATGCCAATGCAATATTTCGAGTGCGATATACATGGATTCCCCAGGCAATTTGGTAGGCGAGCAAGAGGAAGCGGAAGAATATACACCCTGTAAAAATCCATTTCGCCACTTTATACTCATACACGTCATAGTCCAGAGTGCCCCATCTATTGAACACCAAAATGCTTACGCACGTATACGTGTCACCTCCCAATATTGCTATCTTTAATATGAGAACAATCCATACCCACACGAACGATAGAACGGTCCAAAATCGTGTATTGTGGAAGGAATCAATTTTTACAATGTCGAATGTAGAAGTATCAAGGCCTTCTGCCTTTTTCTCTGAATCAAACATGTTTCTTCTGGGGTATCTTGATAGCGCTAAAGCACATAAAAATGAACTTATAAGGAATTTGTGTCAAATATATTGGATGTATTGTTTTTCTTTTTAGTTGGCTCGAACTGACTTTGATACTGATACTCAAGTTTACCGAGAGCAAGAGGGACATAAAAATAAGGTGACTCGAAAGATGAATCAGATTTAAGACAGCTGTATAGGTTTAGAAGTTGAGGCTGTCACTCCCTATGTATAGCGTTTTACAAATCTCATTGAACAGGGTGTCTAAATTTGGATCGAGTATCTTGTATATAACATGATGCACAAGACGTGAAGGCGCGTCTCGAACGTTTGGACGCTAGATGAATTGTTGCAGGAGTACAACTCATATTTAGGGAAAAAGTAGTGACGGCCAATATGTAAGAGAACCAGGATGAATTTGAGTCGATAATTTTCAATCCAGTGGTATTATTAAAAAGCAGTACAATTCTTCTCTTCTTTCAATGTCACTGAAGGATTTTGACTCTATGACACGCGCGAAGTAATGTGCTGACATGAAACGTGCGCGTTTCATGTGGGGCCCAGGCACACATACATACGTTGTCAATGATATCAGGCAATTCATTAAAATATTTGTGCAAGTCTGAAAACTACATCGCAATTTGCTCTAGTTGTGTAGGAATCAATCAATTTTTTTATTTCAGAGTTATTTAGTTTCGTAAGCAGAAGTGCCGATTGTATTCTGTTCTTTTGTTTCTTGAAGTTTGAGAACTTTAAGAGTGTGTGTGAATGGCTGGAGTAATCTTACATTACCATCGGTATCTATGTCAGCAGCTATACAAAGAAGAAGATCTACTTATATTTATCAAGCAAAGTTTGAGCCTCAGCTTTCAAGTCTTCTTGGTCACCCTCAGTCAAGTCTTTAAGCACATCCAAACAGGCCTTTTTGGCAGGGGGACGATACATGATCAAGAACTGTAAAGCTAAGAATCCAAGCTTAGACCGAGCAGGATCCGCACACAATGACTTTATACCCTCAATCATTGTCTTATTAAGACTAGGTAAATCACTCAAAAGACGAAGAAAAACTTTTCTGTCAGTCGGTTCTAAGAACGGAATCATGGCATACAAAACTTGCTGACCCCATTTATCGTAAATGGGAGTTTCAACTTCTGTTTCGTTGACTGCATCACGAATCAGCTGCTCCAAATCTGTCACCAGCAGCGGATTATCTTCGTACTGTTTCGTAAGCATCTCAGTTTTTTCATCCCTCAATTTCTGCTCATTGACGACTTTTTCGTTATACCACTCCTCATTTAGCCACTCTATTACTGGATCAATCCTCTCGTGTATATTTTCCAAGAAATAGTCGAACAATGCTTTTCGAATGATATCGCTTAATTGCTCTGATTCTGTACTCTCCGGTGAATTTGCCGACTTTGAGTCCACAGTGTGCATACCTCTTGTAGCCAATCTCGTTAGAAGAACCAACCACGAGTCTTCCTTCCAAGTATTAAAGACCACCTTTGTCAATGCTTCACTTCCGTTTCCATTGACCTGCGTACCGAGATTATTTCCCGATGGATTCTTCTTCTTAGCGAGCTCAAAGAAATTTTTCACGATCAAACTTATATGCTCCTTCTTTTGCTGAAATGAAAGGGTTTTGGGTGGGGGTAGCGAATAATTTGTTTCAGGCCCATAATCTTCTTCGCGCTTAGCTTCTTTTTCGTCCTCATCTTGTTCGAGTTCCCTTTTGACTGAGGGATCGATCTCTGCAAGATCTTTAATAGCATTAGTGTACCGCGCACCAATGATCTCCAAAGCCTTTGCGAGCTTTGGCGTGGATGCACGATTTAACGCAGTGAGTGCCATGGTAACGAGTATGTTTTGTGGGATGGTAGAAAGATCAAAGTTATTGAGATCATGACTTATATCTGTTAAACAGTAAAGGTTTTTGTAGTCCACAGATTTTAATTTCTTGGACAGGTTCTGGAATCCCTCAAATTTTCTTTTTTTGATGGAAGCATCTGTGGGCTTCTCCATGATAATGTTCTTTTTTCTTATTTCATCTCCTCTTGCAGTAAGTATAGCAAGTTTTCTACCAATAGCGCCCTGGTACTTAGATGGAATCAATTGGAGTTTAGACATGTAGTTGAAGAGAATCCGTAAGGTGCGATCAACATACTTTCTAGATAATTTGAACGACTCTAGTGACTCGTAATTTGATTGCAATTTTTTTGTGGAGTCAAAAGCTTCTAGGACTGGAATAATATGATCCATATACTGGCGCTTTCTGCGTACCAACACGGACAAATGGTTGAAGGTAGCGGTTACCAAAGGGGTGACGAGAATGTCGTTCTTGAGAGTCTTTAAGACAACATCCAACAATGTCGTTGCTTCACTTTCCATCAACGCAGTTTTGATAAGAGTATGATGTGGATTAACACGGGCTAAAGAATAAAATTTGTTCGAATTAGACCGCAGCTGATAGTCTATGACAGTCATCACAAACTTTAACAATTCGAGCTTGCAATCGACATTGCGAAAAGCATCGTGTTCGCGGTCAAAAGACAGTTCAAAAGGAAACTGAGTGTCATATTTTGCTACTAAGTTGTTTTTAAGCTCATTAACTCCCGCCCAGACATTACTGCTGCCATCATTCTCTGCAACAAATCTGAAGGTAAGCTTGAACACTATCACACTGACATCAATAACATTTTTGAACACCTCGAGATTCCGAATGCTGGCTAAAAAATTCAAATGAGGCAACGTGTCAATCGCCAAATCAACCTTCACTGCGGGAGACACAAGGGCGTCATTTTTGGTAAAAGCATCCTTCAAAAATTTGGCGCACCATGCTTGTATGTCTGGATTGGGATTATTGACAAGGTTTAAGATTTGCTTTACGACCTGAGGAAACAAAACTGGGTCTGAAAAGCCCAAATCACGTGCCTGGTCTAACTGTTCAATCACAGTTTTTGCTTCGTCATTCATGATATCTCGATGAGAGAAGTACTTGTTGAACGCTGAGGAGCTTTGTGAGTAAAATACGCGCACGTGACCAAAGGAGTCGTGCCTGACGGCTTCATCAAAGCAGCTCAGATTATGAAGAGCTGCAAAACACGGCAATTACAATCGAGGGTTTAGCAAGTAAAGAGATAGTACGTAGGGTTGCCACGTAATGACTTTTGAGAATACTTAAAATCGCTAGAAGTCCTGAAAACGTAATAAATCACCCAGAGGTAGTTTTGTCCAGCAGAAGAATGCCTGACGATTTTTAGCTAATGTGAATCTTTGAGGATTCACTCGAGTTTTGTTTCAATACAGAGGTCGATCTTGAGTAGAGCCGATCTCAGTAAATTATGAAAACCGCCTGTTGCTTTAGAATTTGTTGCTTTTATGTAATAAGCCATCTGATCAAGGTGCGAGTTGGGCACTCGACACGTGATCACATCTCACTCATTTGGCATTCTCTCAGGTCTTATCTTATCTTGGTGCCATCCCTTTTGAATAGAGTTGATCGAAATTCAGTACACTCCTTCAACTGAGACACTTAGCCTTTACCAATTCACACAAGAGAAATATTTTTGAATTAGTGCTTGGAGGCAAGTTCGCAGAGCACAAACAAAATATTCTATATATACGTCTTTGTGGATCTTGGAGTCTTGGACTGGAGCTCACGTTCGATAAACCAATAAGACACTAGAGAACTGCAATATTTTCAGCCCAATCAGGAGTTTCGAGGTTCCGGGTCGAGAAGTACATGAGGCACAAAAGAGATTCCAAGAGGCTTCATACTATTTCTGGCACAAAGTGTTCATGAAATGGCTACAACTGAAAGATCCTTTTCAAACAGCCCCGAGGATCTCTCTGATGATTCTCTTATTAGCAGTAAACTGAAAGAGCAATACTTACCTGGCATTGTTCCGCTCACAGAGGGTTCGTCAATCCAAGTTCCTGTACACTCTATGATAAGAGCTTCTCATTCCGGCCACGAAGAAATCAAAGATACTTTTGATGGCCCTAGTTGCAATCACCAAAATGCCTCAGTCTCAGACAGCTTATCACCTAGCAGAGCCGAGGCAAGCTCCATTCCAAGCACTTCTGGTGAAATGATCAACACATCTCCATTAAACTTGACTTGTGTCAAATCAAAAAGATCTTCTTCAACCTCCAATGACCTGTCTCATGAACGTGACCGATTCCGCGCTCGATTTGAATCCTTTAATACCCCTAAGTGGGCGACAATAGAGGATCAGGATGCCAATGTTGAGTCGGGATGCCAAGAATGCGAAGATATTTCAACAAAAACAAAAAAGCTCAATATCAAACATCCTACAGAATGCTGTTTGGCAAAAAGTGCCATGAAATTGACAATAAAATATTCTTCTGATAACAAAACTTCGCCTTTGGACCGAAAATCTACTCAATTCAGGAAGTACAAGCAATGCCCTGGGTCCCAGGCCACTCAAATTCTTGACTTACGCTTCATAACCCCAGAGCAGCTTTCAGTCGCACTTTCTTGGTACTTTAACACCCCACTCCCGCCTACCGATCACATGTTTCCATGGCTACATGGGTTGCATCCTGAAAACTTTGCACAACGTTCTTTCTTTGGCTCCCAGACCGAATCTTCTGTGAATCTGATTTCAAGCAAAGTTCACGGCGAAAGCAGGAAACCAGACTTGGCTAGATTTATTATGTGCGTGGATACGACGGGACATTCTACTGAGGCCAGAGTGAAAACACTTCGAAATACCGTGGCCGTAGACGAAATCCTTCAGCGAATTGAAGTTGCTCGATCGGAGGCCCGGTGTCTCGTCAAAGATTTGATTGATCGGCTGTTTCTTGCGAATGATTACTTCAATCTTGATGTTTCGAGCTTCACAGAAGCTATTATACTGGACTGCTTAGAAACGGGTTTCATGCCCAATTTCGTGGACTCGGACCCTAGAAGAGGAATATCTCTCCGGAACTTCCAAATTCAGGTAAATAAGGCGGCAGCATGTGCCGACTTTATTGTTTATTGCTACAAACTGACACATGAAAAGAACAGTTGCAAGTGCATGTCTTTCGCTAGACTTCTTAAAGTGGCGCAGATCGTTGAGGACATGAAACAACCATTTAAGTATGACGTGTTCGTATTTGGCCAACACAAGATAAATTTAGCTGGTTTTCCTGAAATTTGGAGTCTAAGAGATAATTCTAATGTTCTCGCGGGTACGGACGTCCGAAAGAAGACCCAGCTTCATTTTCCTGGTTTGGAAAAACTTAAACTAGAAATTTTTGACTCGTGGGATGCTGACTTCCAGGTGAAGGAAAAGCTAGAAACTACTGTGATGTCAGCTGCCTCCAAATTGCATCTTAACGTCTGGCTGGGAAATTTGTGGGATCATCAAGTTATGATGCTGTTTTTGAAAGGTGAGCCAGAATCCTACAGCGAAGAGTGTTTACAGATCATACCTCTTGACGAAAGCAAAGATAATTATTGCGACTCTCGACTCTCTTTGTTGACAAGATGCTCTACTATGCCCCCCGACTCAAACATTATTTCACTTCTTCCACCTCCGCGAAGCCATTGGCAGTTATTTGTCCATTGCCACAACGATGCTTTGTTTCCATCTCAGAGTTTACTAAACGATTTGCTATTTAAGTATACCATTTCGTCTCGCAAAGCCTCTGAGGTGTCCGAAATATATCAGCTTGACTTCCCCTCTTCTGGATCAATAGGATTTGGCGATTGCAGACAAGAAAATTTGATAAGCATTGTCAATACCTGCAAACTACTCTACCTATACTCGTCTTCCGTGTCAGAAGACAGCATCGCATCTCTAATATATTGCTCAGACGGCTACACAGAGCTGACGCTCTTGATTTTTTGCTTTCTTATGTACGCTGAGGATATTCCACTCGAGACAGCCATGCTTAAGCTCCATTTGGAGTACGGTAGGCCATATTATGCATTCAATTCAGATGTTCAGGTTCTTCGCAAGCTAGAAACAATTCTTCGAAAATACAGCCCTAAGAAGTTAAGCGATAACATCATTTGGTCTCAAGGTGAGACAATTTCACAAAATGAAATTAACGAGATTTTCTTGAAAACAAAGCAACGGAGTACCCAGGATCAAAATTCAATTCCACGGAAATTCCGATTGGGATACATTGCATCGGACTCATCATCAGATACAGATGACTCCGATTCGGAATGTGAAAGTGAAGAAACTGAACGCACCTCAGTTCTTGAAAGAAGTTGGGTTGAAGATTTAGAAGGATCCCTTCCCTCCAGAATCTTACCTTACATATATTTGGGGTCATTAAAGCACGCTAATAATCTTACAATACTCTCCAAACTTGACATCACAAAAATCATTTCAGTGGGAGAGCCTCTCGAGTGGCTCTCTAAACCTGGGTTCCAGAGTGATCATGATGTTGAAGTGGAATCTGTTGGTGATGGAAAGGTCGAAATCTTTCACATTAGACGCAAGCGCTTGAGACACCAGACACTCGAACCGCAATGCAACGTGACTAGCGTGATCAAATTGAACAACCTTCTGGATGATGGGATTGATGATCTCAGCAGATCTTTACCTCAGGTTCTTGAGTATATCGACCAAGAGTATAAACAATCAGAAGGTTCGACAAAATTTTTGATACACTGCCGTGTTGGTGTTTCACGATCTGCAACAGTCGTCATTGCAGAGGTCATGAGACGCTTGAAGCTTAATCTTCCCCAGGCGTATCTTTACGTACGAGTACGCCGGCTCAACATCGTTATACAGCCAAACTTACGCTTCATGTACGAATTGTTCAAGTGGGAAGAAAAGGAACGTGAAAGGTCTGTTATCAGCCACCAAGAATACATCCAGTCCCCAAATTATGATTTACGGGTGACTGATTGGTTTGTAATGTGCCGAGAAATCAATAGGCTAAATATGCCATTCATTCTTCCTTAATACAGCTTGAGCCCATATCATGAATCATAAGATGGACAGTGAAGAAGTATGGAAATACACGAGGATTTATAAAATCTACCGCTGTCAATTGGTTTTGCGAAGGCACAAATTATTTTAAAATTGACAATATCAGGTGCACTGAGTCAACTATTTAGATACTAGAAAATGACACATGCTTTTTTGGGAAGATCCGCACCAAATAATTTAACCGTGTCCACGGTAATTTGTCATATTAATTAGACATTTCATGAAATACCTTTCGAGTATTTCGATGAGTATATCGCCCTAAAATACTCGGTGCCAAAAAACCGAACCTGCAAACCTAAAACCAATTGATCTCACAACTATAATGCCCTCGGCCGTTTTGCAATTAAATCCCATATACACAATGTAATCAAAAAGTGAACACTCGGAATGCAATTTCTATCCATGAATAAATACGTATCCTAATATTTTTGCTCCCATCATTACTTGAGATATATAAGTTTTCATGCAAAAGAGCCGATTAATACTATAATCATGCTCTGTTGCCAAGGAGGACAGAATAGAACACGATTATTGAGCTCCAAGTGGACGCCGCCCGTGTTTCATGAGTCGCGCACTACCCCAAAAACGTTCAGGTTGCTCAGGGTGTTCTCGCCTCTATTGGAGCACGTAGAGTCACACGTGGATATTCAGAAAGACCATTCTCTACAATTGACCTCTTTAAAGTTGTTTGTGCACTCAGACGCCTAGTACACTTTTATATTACACACTTGATCCGAAGCACAATAAAATTGTCATTTCCCAGAGATTGAGGCCACGCATTGCTTGTTTAAGAGATCACGAAAAGCTGTATATCTCCACTCATTCAAAAGGCTTTGTTCTATAAGACATCAAAATCGTCCTGAAACCGAAGCTTTGCAAAAATGAGCGACAGTGGGTTTTTAAGCGATCCTGCTATAATTGGGTTGTCTTCTCCAACTGAAATTCCAAGAGCAGACACGAACCCCAAGAACCTTGGGTTTGAGCCGGGTAGTGCACTTTCGAAATTGCTAGATTCGGCTGTGGCCAACGCTGCAAAGGAAGTCACACCAGAGCCGGAGTCTGATGGGAACCTGAAACATGGCGGGCAACAACAGCCGAGATCAAAGCGATCCTCGATCCAAAATTTCGTACCAACAGAAAAAACGGACCATTCAAGAATCTACTCGATAAACTATTTACTAGACTTGAGGTCGAGCCCTGCTGTTTTGGACTTTGACGCCACTCGGCTTCCCGAATTCTCGTTCTGGCGGTATAAATCCAAGGATGGCACGAAAAACCACAACCAGGATAACAGTCATAATAATCATAGTAACAACGCGCCGAGTGGAACTGGTAAGCGTAATCGGCGAAATAAAGATTCGGCGAACACGGGTGCATCGGACACTCTTAACTGGGGCCGCAAGCCGGCTGGATTTTTGAAAGAATCTGACATCGACAAGATGTCCAAGGAAAAAATATCGCAGCTTTTAGGAGAGCCCCATGAAGAAGAAACTCCTGACTGGGACTTGCCAGGCTCAAATGTCGAATTGGAAATGGGCATGGGCAGTACAGTGGAAGATTTCGAGCGCTGGAAGTTGCACATGCGCCAAGAAGAAAGACGTAGAAACGGAGGGCCTGAAGCCGTTGGAGAAATCGCTGATCTTGCACCTTCCAATGAGGTGGATAGCTTCTTTTCTTTCGCTAGACCGAAAGAACCGGTCACCGAAAATTCATCGTCATCTGTCAAGAAACAAGCCGAGAACCAAAGCTCGAGATTCTCGTCTTTCTTTGGTGGGCCTGCTCCAGCCCCAGAAGGCAGAACTCACTCGACAGGCGAGTCAGAGAATTCTAACAGTTCTCGAAAGTCGTTGAAAGACGACCACAGTGGTGGAAGCCTGCGGTTTTTCAAAGGCAATTTTCATGCCCAAAGCGCATCGCACCCTCAAAGCCCCGAGGAATTACAGAGACTGCAAGAAAGGATGTCGCATGGCCCACCTCCTGGAATACACTCCAAGTTTCAAACTCACAATGGAGTGCCACACCCACCCTCTCTGGGGGCTACCAACAGTATGCCCCCACACCCCAATCCTCCCCCAGGATTTCACATGAATGCCGGCCCACCACTTGGGCTGGGAATGATGATGGGCCCAGGCCCCAGAGGGCTTCCCAATAATGACTCGTTTTTCCTTTCTTTGCTAAATAAAAGAGAGATCGGACCGGCTCCTGAGGGCTCTGCCCCAATAGCTATGGGAACATATCCACCGCAAGCCACAAAATCCGCGGAGAGTAAGCAATTTGAGAGACCACCATCGTTTGGCATTCATGTGAGCGGTCAAGATGCCTATAGAGAACCTAGCTTTTCAGGGCCAAGCACACCGAATGCCCAGCAGGTCAAACCTCCCCAGTATATTCCATACCAAGATATGGCCAGGGGCATGAGTCAACCCCAGGTTGGCATGAAGCCACCTCCAGGAATGAAGCCATTTCCGGGGACACAGTTACCACAGGGAATGTTCCCACCTGGAATGTTTCCACCAGGCGCTCAGGCGCCAAATCAAAGAGCTCCTACCAGCCTTCAGACCCTTTCCTTACAAGCCCAACAAAATCCAATGCACCAGAATGGACAAGGCGTTCCAAAGCCGCCAATGCGTGGTGAAATGCCTCCCCCATGGATGGGATTTGGACCAAACGTCCCTGAAGGCATGGTCCCGCCAGGATTCAATCACATGCCGCATGGCTTTCCACCAGGATTTCCACACCCTCCTCCACCCAACAACCACCAGCAGACACAGGAGCAGTCGCAACAGAAGTAGGGCAGAAGCCACAGCTAAAAGAAAAGGATGGGAAGCTTGAATTTTGGCAGAAAAGGTTTCTAGGCGTAGTAATTCTATTTTTGTTCTCATTATACATCGACTATCTAGTGCTCGCTACTGTAAGGTACCCCATTGCCGGATTTTCCTCTCATTATCACATAGCCTTGGATATCAGCAACATCAAGTTCAACAATTGTATGTGCTCGTCCGTCCCGTTATTTAAGCGCCTATCGGTGTCGAACAAGGCAGTTGCCACCTCATTCTTCTGTGCAGAAGACAAGGTATCGTCCAAAATCAAAATGTCGTGCAACTGGTCAGACACCTGCTGGGCGCTCCAGCCCAGGAGCACAACCTGGTGGACCGCTGAAGCAAGTTTGGCAGTATCTTTCAGTTTGATCACCGTCACCAAAGAGGACATGAGGCTTTGATCCACCACGCCCGCAATCTCCCTCACTGAATCAACCGTGATTCCGTTAGACAGGCCAAAATTTTCCGACTGCAATGACGAGTCTAGACGCGCGGCCGACTGCAAGTATGTAATAGCTTTACGTAAATCACCATTGGATACGGAAATGAGCTCGTCGTAGACTTCGGCCAGCGCCACGCGCACGTGTTCTAAGTCTGCTACATGGCTCAATCTTGCCAATGCATTGACACTGTCGAGCAGCCGAATTCTAAACTTCAGGCACCTCAGCGCCAAGGGGTCAATTATCCGAGTAATATAGTTACAGATCAAGCAGAAACGCGTCACCCCCGAATAATTTTCCATGGTTCTTCTCAACGCAGCCTGGGCGTCGTTGGTCATCGAGTCCGCCTCATCTAGAACAATAATCTTATACGGTGGACACGGGTAGTTTGCCAAGTCTTCTGTCGTGGGGTTGGACACAGAGAGCCTGGCGAAGTTCTTGATTTTCAGCCTTACGATCGAGATTCCTCGCTCGTCAGACGCATTGAGCTCCAAAACACGCAGCTTATAGAGCCGAGGGCCATACAACTGCTTGGCCAATGCCAATACCGTTGAAGTTTTACCAGTGCCTGGAGGCCCGTAGAAAAGCATATGCGGCAAGTTCGCCAGTTGCAAAGTCTTCTTCAATACCTTGACCGCGTGGTCTTGCGAGGCGACATCGTCTAGGTTTTTTGGACGGTACTTTTCGACCCATGGCGTATGGTCGAGTTTCTCCTGTTTGTATTGTGATGTCATTATGCTGTGTTTATTGTGAACGGCGATTTCGAAACGGGTCTTGAAGATGGAACTGATGGAGCACTGGCGATCTGAGCGTAGGACGCGTGCGCGCACTGATCGTAGGGCCAGGCATGCATGATGATCCGAGTGTTCTGCGCTAGTATTGTATTTACCATCTCGGAACGGTCTTCTAATCTGATCTCTCTTCATTTTTTTTTTTTTATCTTCTGGCACCGTTTACATCTAGAACAATTACCACTCTCCCCTCCATGGGGTAAAGAAGAATTGACTGTCTCCACGGGCTGCCGGATGAGTAAATTCGCATCTGTCGGAATCACTGATTTTGAAGCACTTGCATTAAATAGAGGACACCACGATTGCAGATCCTCAAAAGAGCCCCTACGATTTAGCTCTACAGAAGCGTGATCAAAGTTGCGTTTAAACGCTTGCACTTAATATATACCCGACATGATAAATTAAGCTTCTAGCATTAAATGACGGGAAAGACACCAAGAGCACGTTAAGATTATATGCAATGCCTTCCTTTACCTGCCTTTGATCATTATTACTTGTTTTTCAAGGTGATCTGCTTGACGAGCGCAACATTCATAGTGGTAAAGTCAAATAGCCTTTAACACTCCAACACTCTGACATGCACGCTTGGATGATCTCGCTTTGCGCGAACATAAAAGACGAGTACCTTCGGTTCTCAGGCCGTATAGGATGGAAAAGCGCAAGATATAGCACCTGATCACTGAACTCCAATCACAGACAACTCTAACGTCCACACCCGTCTGATGTGAACTTTGACTTTGACATTATCGCCAAGCTTGCTGAGACCTGTTGCGGCTACCTGGACCTCTATTTCCTCATTCGACCACCAGCACTTTCTAGCAGGCTTTTTCCAAAATAACAAAAGTTTGGAATGATTTATTTCCGTGTTTTTCCTGGCTCTCGACATCGATCTAGATGCAGCACGACTTGCGGAACTCGCCAACGTGGCTATTCTAGACCTCGATCTCGACCGAGTGGACGCATGGGAGCTTACAGGATTGAGAGATGGCGAATCCGGGGGTGTAACCAGGGGATTTGCCAAACGAATCAACAGCAAAGACTGTAAAACACACTTACTGGGCTCCAAAGACCTGCTACCCCAAGACTCCCTTCGTTCGAAACCAGAGGAGCACAACATATCAAGAAGATGTTGTTCTGCCGGCCCAAGCTTTTGCGTGATACTGCTGGGTAAAGAGGTGTCATACCCAAGGCCAGAAAAGATCATCTTGTTCTCCATGAGCTTGTTTGCGACCTCAAGCTTGAGATGCTTAATATCCTCGCTGGAACATCCCGCAGAAGGGGGAATGACATAATAGTCCAAATCTTCCCTCAAGACTATTATTGCTGGCTTTGTTTGCAACACTGAAGGGGAAGAGTCAAGATGGCTGTTTTCCGAGATCTGAGGTGAGAGATTTGTCATTCCTTGAAGATCGGCATGTGCATCTCCAAAAGTTCGCAAAATATACTCAAAGCTGGCTGGGTCGAAATTGACGAAAACGACGTCTTCTTCCGTCAATTTAGAAATCACTTGTCCGTTGAAGTCCAAGAAGACGCCATTAGGAAATAGACTCAACAATATACTCTCAGGTAAGCTCATGAGCTCATCCCGTGTGATACTAAATGCTTTTCCCCTGATGTTTAAATGGATTTTCGAGTTGTAATCGATATTCATGTTTTCTTCTTCGTGGGTCAATGCCGCCGCAGCATCACCACCGACATCTTGCGTTACCTGAGTCACGAGATTTTCAGCCATTTTAGGAATTACCGATTGAGTGGAGAGCCCAAAAGAGCGAATCAAACCAACGTGGAGGTCGCGTTGAGACGTGTATTGGAAACAGATGAAAACTCAAATGTCTGTGTTGACAAAACGAAGTTTCTAGGATGGGGTCACTAATTTCCTCGAAAGTTCACAAGGTTTCCGGCACCTTTAAAGAATTATGAAGAATTAGGCACTAACGAATGTGGCGAAGTCAGATAGTAATAAAGGCGCTTTCGCTGTTAAAGGATGAAAAAGAGGGCCTGAGATTCGAAGCACGGCTACATGTCATTTTTGCTGGACAACGCCTGTCACGTGACGCGTCGCGCTGGCTTGTAGCTTTGTGAGTTATTAGCCCAACAGAAGTGTGCCATCGCATATCAGCCTTCACACCATCGTTGTCAGTAGTAGTGCTAGCCTGTTCAAGTAGTGCTGGTCAACATCAGTAATTCACCGCCTGACTAGTCACATGAGTACATCTTGGGATTTGCGATGGTTTGGCCGATCGAGCGTAGCCCGCGGTATAATCTGCAGTACCGCCACCCTGTACATGCTTGGAGTTCTCTGTTGATTCCTCAGACAGCCAAATATGTCTTGTACGGGAAAGTGCCACTGCAAGGCTAAAAAAAGTGAAAAGACATCAGACAAAGACTTGCAACTGACAGATGATGTCTGGGGAAGTGATGAGGAATCTATATCCATACACGCCGATTTGCAACGTGCGCACGTGAACCAAGGGTATCTAGATGGGATTACTAAGGCCCAAGAACTGGGGTTACAAGATGGGTTTGACAAAGGTTTCCCCACCGGTGCGTCCTTAGGAATTCGTGTGGGCAAAGTTTTGGCAACACTTCATGGCAAGTCCCAGTTCAAAGAGGCCCAGGGTGCCCTCAATATCACCCAGGTCTTGGATAAGAAATACTTTGATAATCAACTAGATCTACACAATTCACAGCATCTGCTTCTTCAACGGTGGGAAGAAAAAGCAGGGTTAAAGTAACTCCATATTCGACAGAAATGACCATTAACAGACTAATTTTATCTTCTCAAAGGCATGTCGGACACAACCTCATCCTGCAAAGCTTCGTAAAGACCAAAACATTTGTCCTGGAACTTGAATCGCCCGCGACACCAATCGCACCATGCTTCTGAAATCAAAAACTGCGTTTCTTGGAACATAACAAACTCCTCAAAACAGCATTTTTTGATCAACCAATCTTTATTAAGCTGCTGAAACATTTCTTGTTTATCGTTAATAATGGTTTGTCTCAACTTCACAAGCTCACTGCCTTTGATGTCGACATCACTCTTTGAGAGCCTTTCATGTTTTTCCTCATTTTCCTGAATGCGTTGTTTGAGCTGCGGAATTGTGTTAATCGAGAGTCTCTTAGATCTGTCAAATAGTTCCTGGAGTGAATACAAACAGTCCAAAAAGTTTTTGAACTTCTCCAAAATGTCGGTATTTATAATGTAACTCTCGTCGATGAGAAGTGTAGAAGCCTTGTCAAAGAATGCAGAAATACTGGACAAAGACTCGTTGATAGAGCTTGTATCGTGAGTATTTGACGTCGAAATCACTTTGTTTTCAGTAACTTTATGCGGAAATAGGGTCTCGTCAAGATCTGAGAATTTCGTAATCATTTCCACGAATTTTCCGTTGTCAAATGCTATCTGTTGTTGCCTCTTCTCATGTCTCTCTACCAACATCACTATTTTTGTCCAGTATTCAATTAATTTGGGTAAGCCCAGTTCTGCATTCTTCCAATTGTGCAAGAATTCGTCGCCCACGGCTGGCCAGATAGAATTCATGAAGCTCGTCAGGATTTTCTCTCCCTTGAATTCTAAAGAGTAGTCAATTCTAGCTTGTTTTTTCCAGGAAACCAAATCAGTGGGAACGGTCAAGAAAGTGACGACGATTGGTTCCTGTTTTAGTACTGGATGCTTAACAACTTGGTTCAAGAACCTGTGCAAGCCTCGGCGCCTGCGCTGCAAGAATTGGGAATCTGGAGACGCTCCTACTAGGTTAGTTAGTAAACTTATAACGAATATCCCCAAGATGTGAATATCTCAGAGAAGGAAATGCAGTGATGAATCACGAGATTGCATGAAAAGAAAGAATAAAACATACCGGTGAATTTCTTTGGAGGCAATCCAGGAATAACTCTGAAGGGGTACTTCTTTAGTAAGAATTCAAGGAGCCAAACGAAATCCGAATACCTTCTGATGACTTTCTTGACTCCAGCGGGGCCAGTAATACCTAAAGAGATTTCGTGAGTAATGGCGTAATTGATATGTTTGAACAATAGACCTTCTTTCTCCGGTACCTCCTTGATTTTGATTTTATTTTCGCCATCTATCAACGGTTTGAATCTGTCACGAATCTCTGATATATGTTTGGACAAGTGCTCGTAATCGTCGGCATGAATTGATTCGGGAGCTGTGACATTGGGGTCAAACAGAAGTGCAGTGTGGTCGTGAACGGTAGGATCCGAGGTAGGAGCCGCAAAAGATCCCCTATTGGCGTCTGCGGTATCCCAGTGGGTCATGTTTTGGTGACCTTCCTCCAACAAATCGGAGTTTGCCAATTGCGATGTCAAAGGATCAATCACATCGCTTTGCTCTGCGTCTCGAAGAATGTCAAGATCTTCGTTTGAATCTTCCATAAGTAAAGCCGCAGCAGCGGGCGGCAAAGGAGGAAGGCCTGAATTTAATTTGAATTGCAAGGTCACAAAATCGCCCGTGCCAGCACTGTTGATCTCGAGCGCAATGAGGCCCAAGACGTGGAAGAAGTTGTTTTCAGAATTGGGTGGCATTATGTTGTGGTCATACAAAATATCGATGATTTTCGACGCTTGGTATGACGTGAGAAGGCTTTCGGTAATGAGCGGAGAAAATACATAGGCCTGCAATCCACTGAAAGACGCCACTTGGCTGCTCAATTTCTGGAAGATCTCGTGGTACTGCGAAGGAACTTTGATGGAAATGTCTGATGGGGTTGCCGATGCTGAGAAACTCTGATCCAGGGCTGGGAACTGCTGGGAAGCTGCTGGAGGAGTGGAGGCGGCCCAGCCATTTTCAAACGGGTCTTCAGACCCGTACATGCTGTTCATTCCTGTGGTGCACTACGCCTTAGTTTGTGCTTTGGAAGACTAAATGGTACTATGTTATTTTGTCTTGGGGCGTATTACCGAGGAGTTGTAGAAGGCTATGCCGGTATAGACAATGCGGAAATCTGGCGGCGGGGGTGCAGGTAGTGAGCATGATGGGACACGGTGGGTAGAAGGGCGTCAAACAAAGGTACGGGATACGAGAGATAAGAGACGAGGAGCTGGATGATTTATTCCCTGGTGATTTTGGTAGCGTTTTTTACCAATATGATGTTTTTGTTAGCTGAAACATTGTGACAGAGATTGTCTTGCTGGCTGTGCTGTGGTGTTATCTCAGTCAACAGACAACGCGCATTTCGCAACTCTCCCTGGATGAATATGAATCGATCAAGGGGAAGATTTATGAGGGTTCTCTGTACTCAAGAGCCGAGGCCAAACACGAATAAAGCAAAAATACAGCAAGCACAGGTAAGTTTTTGAACATCCCGATACGCCCTGAAACTTTCAGCGGGAGTTTCTTCAGATAATAAGACTTGGCCAATACTTCGCAATATTGGGAACGGAGATCGTCCGTTCGCCAGATATGTTTCCTCATTTTTCTTGGTTCATCCCTAATGCCCAAAAACTAGAACGTTTTGTAGACTGCCCACAAAATTTTATTTGGCTGTCATTTGGTTACGGCTCTAAAAAGAGGCGATCATCGAACCTCTACTTTGTACTTTTGCTTACACCCGAGGCTGTTCTTTGAAGATTCCCCAGGTCTGGTTTGAGTGGCTGATTGGTTTTCATTTCTATGTCTAGCTATCTTCGAGATTAACTAATACTTGGTATAGTGTGTCTCGCGAGCCACTTAGTCTTTTATGCAAAGCGGTAAATGGTAGCCGAACTACAGATTTAAGAAACGGTGACAGTTGTCAGTCTAATAACAGTGGCGCGTCTCTCTGAGTCGCCGGGATAATGGTATGTCATGCCAGCGTTTTTGGCTCAATGCATTCTCTTCAATTATACTTTCTTGCGTTTGATTTGATTTCAAGTTACGTGGAAAACACAGACGCCCTAATAACTTTTTGAATACCTAATTACGAGAGCATGTTAAAACTCACCATCTCATTTGATCCCCGTTCGATTTGGCTACATTAGGTACATATACTTCCGATTTGGCCTACGTGCCAACAATTAGCTGAGTGTGCTCCTGATATGTTTCCATATGAAATGAGAGTAAGCGAAACTTAAATAAAAGGCACTATTTGATAAATTTCGAGAATACTGTTCGGCTGCATGATTGTTGCCCTAATTTTCCTAATCAAACTCAACTAATACGGAAACAGGGCAGCTTGGTGTCTAGAATAGTGCGACAAGCCAAAATGAACTCCATCTGGATCCCACTGTGTCAGCCGAGCGCATAACCACATGTGAACATCACGTGACAGAACACATCTTCTGGCCTCGCAGTTTCACCCTTGACCAAGACTCCTCGTTCTTTCTTTCGAGTTTCTAAAATCCTCCGCAATATGTTTGATAGGGTGACGTTCGGTGTTCAGAACTTGACAGGCGGCCCAATTTTCATCCGGTGGCGGATGTCGGATTTGATCTACGTGGTGATTCTACTTATACTTTATCCCACATTGTATCGGATAGACCCGTTCGAGAGACAGTTTTACATCAATGATCTCACCATTCTGCACCCTTTTGCAGAGACAGAACGAGTTTCCAACACAATGCTTTTTGTGTACTCGACGTGGGTGCCCCTTGTGGTGATTTTCGTGATGTCGCTTGCAATCACCAGTCGTGCCAGTAAGTTGTATGTAACATACGTGTCGGTTCTCGGGTTGATAATCTCGGTCTTCACCACCAGCATCATGACGGATGTCTTGAAAAACAGCTTCGGCAGACACAGGCCCGATTTCTTGGCTCGCTGCGTGCCGCGGCCTGACACCCCGAAAGATGTGTTGGTCTACGCAAAAGACGTCTGCACCACGGATAACGCGGCTCGGTTGATGGACGGGTTCCGCACCACGCCCCTGGGGCACTCCAGCATCTCGTTTGCCGGCCTTTTTTTCCTCTCTTTGTGGCTCTCGGGCCAGCTTGCCGTGACAAGGCCCCAGGTGGGCGCTCTCCGGTGGGTGGCAGTGTTCTTGCCCACTTTCGGAGCGGCGCTTATTGCGTTGAGCCGGACCGAGGACTACAGACACCATTTTGTGGATGTTTTTGTGGGCCTGTGCATCGGGTTGGCCGTGGCCACGTGGCTGTACATGCGGGTGTTTCCAAGCCCGTGGGCTCCGGACTGCTATGAGCCAAAACTACTTGATGTGGACCAGCCCGGGATCAATTACACCACCGTGGCTGAAGTATAGAAGACTCAGCGTTGGTGGTGTTTGACGTATATTTTTTTTTTTTAGAAAATCACAACAAGTGATCCAACATGGTACGGCCCGCGTGGCCGGGACGATTGCAGCGCCAGCGTTGCCTTTGTTTCCCCGACGGCGAGTGTAGACACGTAGGGCCAATTCGGCTAAACTGAGACCCCAAACCCTCGCGCCTGAGCCGCACGCGGCTAGCTTGCACGGGCGCCGTTTCTGCATTGGGACACGCATGTGATAATGGCACGGGGCGTATCTGCCAATGCGAAAACAGCACCCTGGCTTGGCGATTGGCCTCTGCTTGGACAATAGCAATGGAGCAGCATTTTTCGCGCCTCCCAGCATCAGGGCCTCGATCTTGCACTGGCTCCCTACAATGTAATTGGCCGCGCTAAGCATTTCTGGAACAATAAGAAAACGATACAACATCAAAAAAGTGGCCCCACCAGCAGTGACGGCCGTGCAAATTTATGACTTTTCGAGATTTGATACCCCTGCTTGCCTCGTGCTTTTGAGCATCGTGAACGAAGGCAGCCGGTGTCTGCTGAATTGTACAGTGTTAGCTCGTTTCGTCCTGTCTTTCGGAAAGTGGTCTGGCCCGCCGCGCATGGGGCCTCACTCGCTGGATGGCCCCAAATCTGCCCAAGTACATACAGGTGATCACCTCGACCCAAGCCCTGAGTTATTCCCACCTTACTTCTGCACCACCACCGTACGCTTAAGTGGATCGTGCTTGACGCCTCCGGCCAGTATCCGCTACAGTCTTTTTCTCTATCCGTCTTTTTAACCACTGGCCAGCGTCTCTAGCTTGCTTTTGGTACAGGCACTTTATCTAGCTTTACTTCACGTCAATTAGCTACACCGCGAACGCCGACCACACCATCGCTTTTCAAAAACCCAAATACCAGTGTTGGCTTTCTTATTTCGCCTGCAAGCTGTCTAAGAATTGCCTCCGGCCCCAGCAATAAGCCCACAACTAGCATGTCTGGCCCGGTCTACTGCATTTTAGCAGGGGGCACTGTGCACTGTGTCCCGGTCACTGCCTTCAGTAGTACCAACGAAGAAACACCCAAAGAGTTATCCCACAGTCCGCAAATCAACCCATTGCCCGATCGCGCACAACTGCCGATTCTGCGGTCGCCCGTGAATCTTGCAATCAAAAGAAAAAATCTCCTTTACACATTGAACAACCCGTCGTTGTCGGACTTGGAGTCTGACGTGAGCCGCAGATTGTCTGTCGGATCACATTCCCAAGACGACGATGACGCTGTTTCTGGCTCGGAAAATGCCGCCTTGTTTTGTCCAGGAACAGAAACGCAGAGCGCACATTCAGCCACGGTGTTGCCTCAATGCAGCAGCTTCAAAGCGCAGAACGATGGTTCCAGGCCCAATTCCAAGGTGAAAAACGGGCACTCGGATATGCCACCCGTACATGTCAGTAACAAGCTCTCCAGACCAAAGCCGGGCATCATGAATCTAGACGCAGAGCAGGTCTCCGACAGCGACGACGAGGCTGCAGACCTCACTCTGGCTGTTTTGCAGAATTACTCGACCCATGCAGTCTATCTACCCCAATTCTCCGTTGACTTGAAGGGCAACTTGGATTCAGACTACTCGCAGATCAAAACACTCTTGTCCAAGGTGTTCCCATCGTGGTCTGCGCCAATCAAAGTAAAGCAATTGACGGGCGGGATCACCAACATGCTTTTGTCATGCTCACACGAGGCTACAAACGAGACTCTCTTGATACGGGTTTATGGCCAAGGCACCAACCTTATCATTGACCGGAACCGAGAGTTTGTGTCCCACTTGATGCTCAACTCGTTAGACCTAGCTCCCTCTATTCACGCACGTTTTGAGAACGGACTTATCTACGGGTTTTTGCCAGGTCGCTCTTTGGATCCTAATGAGCTCGCAAACAAGTATGTATATCCTCTCATAGCGCAGCAGCTTGGGAACTGGCACAACAGCATCAATTGCGAGTACATAGAGGACGGGGTCAGCACACTAAGAAAGTATACTGCAAGCCTAAAGAAAAGTGCAGAATCTTCGCTTCTCCCTAAGTCGAAAGAGGGAAAAGCAGCAAAAGTGCCTAAGTCCATCAACAATATCTGGGACCTCATAGAGGAATGGATCCGCATCGTACCCCAAATTGAAGCTCTTGCAAGCGTGTTCGGAGAGAACACCGAAAATACACATGTCACAACTGAAAATGTGAGAGAAGTTGTCCAGCAAGAGTTCGAGTGGCTCAAGAAAGCCTTGAAGCATGCAACCAGGTCGCCGATTGTGGTTTCGCATTGCGATCTCCTCTCAGGAAACATCATTGTTCCAGATTCTAAGGAATTCGCAAAACGATGTGCAGAAGGTGATGCAGAACTCCCTCCATTATCAGAAAACCCAATTCAGTTCATCGATTACGAGTACATGCTTCCTGCTCCCAGAGCGTTTGATATTGCTAACCATTTCGCGGAGTGGCAAGGATTTGATTGCAATCGCTCCGCCATTCCTGACCCGTCTCCATTGAATCCAGTGATGGTGAAATGGTGTAAAGGATACTTGAATAATTTGAAAGCTCTGAAAGATGAAGTAGGCGCTTTGATCCATGAAATTGCATGCTACTATGGGATGCCTGGGTTTTATTGGGGCATATGGGCTATAATTCAAAGTGAGCTTTCTACGATTGATTTTAACTACGCAGAATACGGCAAATCACGACTTGAAGAGTACTGGCTTTGGAAGAAGAAATTTGAATATCTGATACTCTAATTGGTGGCTCATTTGGTGAACTATATTAGCCAAATATTCTAATAAAAAGGGAAAACAAACAAACAAACAAACAAATTTGCTGCGTTATACATCATGACGACTTCATTCATCCACAGGCAGAGGTTCCGGATATATTACCATCAATCATTTATGCAAATCCACAATTGTAGTTTTGTCACTTTTTGGTGCATGTAAGACAACCCATCTCGTACCTTTCTCAGCCTCTTTTTTTAATGTCTCGTAGATGTTAACTCCGAAACTTCTTGGAAGTTGCTTGTTACTGGCGAACGCACGCTTCAACCATTCTTCCTGTTGTACAAGTAACGAAGTTGACAGAATCATGTCAAGAACTGCATCACTCAGATCAACTGTCAAGATAGGTGCCCTAGCTAGCTCCTTTAGCATGTTTGCAGATGCTAATTTCGAGTCATTTTCCAACTCCCATTTATCGCGCTTGTAACTTTTCTTGCCTTTGGCAAGATTGGGGACCACCACAACTCTCTGGTCAATATCAAAATTGAAAATAGGCTCTCCAATACGGTGGCTGACTTGACTGACGTCTTTTGAGTTATCTGGTCCACTTGATCCACTGACTTGCTGGATGGAACTTGTCAAATCGGTGTCTCTATCGGATACTTCGCTCTCAAGAAAATTCAAAACTTCGTCATAGTCCAAATCAGTGTCTTTGTTGAGCTGTACGTTCTTGACACGTACAGGTTTATACTGACCTTTTTTAGATTTGCGGCCATGATTAATGGTCTGCTTCAAATGAACAATCCAATTGCAACCGTCGGCATCAGCTTTGTTCATCATATCCTCCTGGGAAGACGCAATGTACCAATCACAACTTATGTTATGTGCCCAAATATCGCCGAGTAACTCATATCCACCATCTTTGATTATTGATTCTTGCATACTAACAACAAGCACATCACACCTGACCGGCTTCCATTTGCTTGTTGCCTTCGAAGTCCCCGTGGTGAGAAAGCTTCTCCACCGCGAATTCTTCATGATTAAAAATAAAAGAGTCATGGCCAATTGAAACCCGACAGCATGTGGTGTTTTGAGTTTAGTGGGCCCCTCATTTGATAAATGCTCAATCAAACTGTCATACCGTCCTCCAGTTGCAATTCTCGAGAACTTTTTGTTTTTCTCGACTCTATAAATCACCTGAAACATGAAAGCACCATCATAATACTTTGCATTATAATTGCTCAAGGGACAAAAGAAGATATTGGAAGATATGCCCAATTTTCTTGCGAACTCGAGTATATCTGTCAAATCATTGAGGGCTTTCTCCACCTTCTGAAGCAAGGGGGAATCCACCATGATCTTGCGGAGTTTGTGCTTCGCCTTTTCAGGCTCAACAGTGAAGTTGAACAAATCGATCAAATCCTTAACAACAGTGTGTTGAATCTTGAAATCGTTTCTCAAATAAGCTTTGATTTCTTCTGCACCACGTTCAACCCCGAGTTGAGATAAAACACCCATCAATTCATATCTTCGATTCTGCGAAAGTGAGTGTGAGGTCCCAAATGCAAAATCAATCACGCTGTTTAAAATATTCAGATGATTAATGACAATATGTGACTGTGAATTTTTCATCTTGAAGCAAGGAAGTGAACCCAAAATTTCATCCGCTGCTTTGAGACATTCTGCAGAGTCTGAAATCAAAGAATTCGGAGTATGGGAAAAAACATCGAAGGCCACAGCACTGTATTTATCAGGCTTTCCTGTTCCCCTAAGGTTTGGGCGGTATACAAATTCATGGGTGAAACACTTTTTGACTCGAGTATCTTCTCGGCTTAAGAATCTGGCAATGGGTAAGACTAAGTCGTAAGTCAACGTCAAAACGGAACCACTTCGATCAAGAAGCTCGTATACATGTTCTTTTGTTTGAATCAGAGATTTGGGTAGTAAGAAACTTCCACTAAATTCTTGTAAGGCACCATGGTTTCGAAATATTCTCAATACTTCTGTTAGAGTTTGGTTGAAGATTAGATAGTCACCTGTTTGTGGTTCCATTACACCTCCATGTGAATTCTTGCTCACACGATCAAACATTATATCACGGGCTAGCAGATATGGCTGATTGAATAGTGTCTCTCTTACCTGCTGCTGCCAAGGAGATGCAGGATCTGCCAAAGACTTGAGTGCCTCTCTTATCACAACATCTTGGTGTTCAACAGGAAGGAGACCACTTTGTAGCAATTCTGATGCGCCTGGTCTTTTAAAAGGGTCATGATTCAAGAGCTCTCGGATGAGCTTTTTCTCCGTTGACTTTTTCTTTTCCGAGAAGTCCGAGGGAAATTTAACTTCCTCCAAACGCATGTTGTTGAGAATCATTGCCCTCTCCATGCCCGTTCCTAGCATATAACACATTTCGAAAAAGATAATTCCCAAAGAGTACATATCAACTTTTTCGTCATATTGACCGCTGGCCACCTCCTTTGCTGTGTAGAAGAATGTACCGACAACAGTTGACAAATCCTGGTTTCCAGCAGACACCTGGTTGTTTTTCAGAAGCGCAGACGAAAATTGGGAGTTTTTAGCCAATCCAAAGTCACCAACCTTAACATTGTTTGATTTGTCGATAAAAATGTTTGTTGGTTTTAAATCACGATGGATGAATCCTGAGCTGTGAATGTAAGAGACAGCTTCGAGAACCTGGCGGAACAATCTCCAGTATTCACTGGGATTTGCAGGAAGGCCCCTCTCAATCAAATCCAACAATGTGTTGTTCTCACAGAATTCCATCTGTATGTAGAGTATAGATTTGGCTTGATGTTTTCCATCTCGAAAGTCTTTTTTGGAAATGGCATCTTTTGATTCCGACTCTGAGGAAGCATACATATCCGACTCGCAATCAGATTCATCCAGCTGAGTTTCCTCTTCGTCTTCACTGCTGCTATTGCTGTTATCACTATGAGCAAACACGATACGGTCGTCGAAGTCATCGTCATAGTCAAGCAGAGCCACAGAGTTTGTGAAGTAATCTACTTGATATGAGCTGTCATGACTCATGATGAATGAAGGCGATCTGACATTCAAAGGGCTTTCAAAGTCATCAAGATCACTTCCGGAGCTATTTGAATCGCTTTCGTCATCTTCCTCGGAGGCAATGGCACTATCATTGCCATACGAAAAGCGAGGAGCTTCCTCGACCCAGCAGCCATAGTACCTGACAATGTACTGGTGGTTCAATCGAGCCAAGGAAAAGACCTCGTTGAGCAAGTTCTCGAGCTTATTTTGCTTGTGTTTGATCTTCTTGATGGCATAGAACGTGCCCTCCATCCGATTGCGTGCCTTTACAACCTCCCCAAATCCTCCCTTTCCCAACTTTCCCACTTCCTCGAAATCTCGGGCATATCGGGACTCCGGGGTATTAGGATCGCTCTGTGAATGAGGGTAATTGTCAGAGCCTTTACTGAAGAAGCCACTTGCGTTGAACGTGTTGTATGCACCAGTCTGGTTGGAGTATCTTCGAGTGACAGAGGGGTTGGAATTCCGTCTTGCGGCATCGAGAGTGGCCTTTTGATAGCGGGACGAGCCAATGGGGCCTTTGCTGCCCAATTCGGACAGCGCAGCTGCAAGCGCTTTGCTTTTGTCCACGATTGTTTCGTTGTCTGTGTCAAAGCCGGCTCGGAAGAACTTCAGAGCATTGAGCTCGAGTAGCGTGGACCGCTTGGAAGCCTTGGGCTGTACCATCTTCCGGAGTAAGTCGTAGACCCTCTCGGCGTACTCTTCGATGCCCGAGTACTTCCGGACATCGAAGTCATTCAAGAACGCGTCGGGGGTGATGAATTCAGGCTCCAGGAAGTTGCAATCGAGCATGATCCGCATGAAGAGAACACCCAACTGCCAGATGTCTGATCTGGCCATCGTGGCCGAGGAGTCCGGTTCCGTCCAGTGGCGGGGTATGAAGTCGTCGGTGAAGTTGGGCAGGCGTTGCCTGCCGCCACGCATATGGGCGATACGTAGTAGCGTCAATGCGTACGTGGGGTGACAGAGCTTGATGAGCCGGAGGTCTGCGCCGTCCACGCCCAGGCGGGAGTCGCAGAGAACCACGCTCTGCGGGCAGATGAGCCCATGGGCGAGGCCCACGTTGTGGAGGTGCTCCAAGGCCGGGAGCAACTGGATCAACCACGTGCGCGCAAGAGACCAGTTGACGGAGCCGGCCGCCATAAGAATGTCCAGCACGGACTGCTGGTTCGGCTCGAAGTCCGTGAGAATGCGGATGGTCCACGAGTCCGTGCTGCGCGGGTCCTGGTCGAGCTGGAAGCCCACCACGTTCAAGACGGCGTCCGAGGAGAGGCCCATGACGGCCTCGAGCTGCAGCTCCAAGGACCGGATGTCGGCCTTGCCGGCCATGGTCAGCCAGTGGCGGTCTACGAGCGCCACCTCCGTGAGCAAGTACAGCACCGTGACGTTGCGCAGGTCGAGCCGCGCCTGTTCTGCCGGGGGCAAGTAGGGCTTGACGATGTACTGCTTGCCAACACCCAGGAGAAGGTCCCTGCCCTCGTAGCGGATGAAGCCCTGCACGGCCTGGAACTGGTAGCGCAGGTTGCTGTGGGGAACGTCGCCGCAGAGCACGTTGTCAAACACAAAGACCTGCGACGCCGACGACGGCGGGGGCACTAGAGCCGCGGCGCGGCCGGGCCCGCTGCTGCGCGAGTCGTCCGTGTCGTCGCTGTTCATCTGGAGAATCTGCTCGTTGGCCTCGCGCGTCTGCTTGGCCTTGGCCAGGTGTTCTTGGCGGAGCGCCTCTTTCTCGCGCAGCTCGAGCACGAGGCGCTCCCGTTCAATGCGCTTGGCGCGCTCCTCCTCGAGCGAGAGCACCTGCTCGGTGGTCTGCTGGAAGTCGTCGAGCATCTCCTTGACGTCCATGACCAATGTGAAGCAGATCTCCTCGCCGAGGTACTCCTTCAAGACGGCGTCGATCTTGCGCTCGATGAGGGCGACGCGGGCGCGGACGAGGTTCTGCGGCCGCACGATCTTGACGATGGGCGGCAGCAACGGGTACGTGGGCGTGAACGCGATGTCGAGAACGAGCGACACCACGGGGCGCAGGGCGTTTTCGTGGGACTGGAGCGCGATCTGGAAGTGCGGGCTGGCGTCGCGGCTCCACACCTTGCTGGCGGGCGTCACGTCGGTGAGGATGTCCGCGTAGATGGACTTGAGGGACGCGATTTCATCGTGCTGGCGCTCGAGTGGTTGTGCCATGGGGCCGTGGTGGGGTGTGTTGGTGGCCAGCGCCGGGGAGAGGAGGGAGACCGGGCCCTGGTTTTGGGGCCGCGTCCCTGGTGTAGCTGGAGGGCCGGCCCTGGCGCGGCCAGCTGCGCGGGAGGCACGGGCGTTGGGGCCTCAGGGCCGGGCGTTGGGGCCCCAGGGCCGGGCGCGGGGATTGTCCAGGGCCGGGCGCGGGACTTGTCCAGGGCCGGGCGCGGAGGTGGGGGCGCCAGGATGCCCGTGCCGGAAGCTTCTCCAGGGGCCAATATATAGATCAGGAGGGGGTTTGACAGCTGTGTGCTGGTGTTTTTTTCGTTTTTTTTTTTTTTTTTTTTTTTTTTTCTTTCTGATTCATCGGATTGGCACTATAAGAAGCAAACAAGATTCCCAAAGCAGCTTTCTATTGGAAGGACCTTGATACTCAGAGTGAACAAGAGCAGGCGCTGGGTCGAAGGGCCGCGCGGAACCAGGAAGCCGCCTCCCAGTCAGCTATCAATACATGTTCCATGATTCTTCATAAAGGACCTATCCAGTCGACAATCCGGGGGCTGCTTCTGAAAGGTCAACATCCAGGAGAACAAAACTTTTGTATTCTGTCACACACGACAGCCTTGTCAGGCAATCCGTTCTTTTCCGGTTACTAGGTTCTTGATGAGCGAAGCCCGAATCAATTGTCAAGAAGTGCGCAACTGATTTTTCAGGAACTTCGTAATACAGACCAGATGGAGGATCTGTCCCTGGAGGCAGAGCCGCACAAGCAGCAGCGAAGTCCTTTTTCTGTAACCTTCAAGGCCCTGCTCTCAGAACACACACCATCAGTATGTGTGCGTTGTATTGTGCACCTGGACATGCCATGCCTGTTCACCTGGCGCGGCCCAGATATTAGTGCCGTGTATTACTCCTGATCAGCACGGCTAGCTACGGACATTTGGGACAATGCCCCGAAATTATTCTACGCCCGATTGAGGCAGCCTGGCCTGGATGCTTTCTTTTTTTTTCTCCTTTTATTTTCCCCTGCTGACGCTGGTTCAGTCTGTATTCATCCTATCGCCAAGCGCAGCAGCGCAGGCCCAGAGACAGGCCCAGAGACAGGCCCTAGCGAGAGCCGGGCAACAGCTTGGGTTCCCTAAATGGGGCGGCGCCAAACCACCACAATGAAAGCCAAAAAAATAACAATCCCCCCACCAGCACATCCCCACCGAACCCTCTCACATCCCGCACTATATTGCCCAACTTTCCTGACCTGGTGACGTTCCATGGTGGCTTTGGCTCCACACGGCTTCCTGGCCCTAAACCGCAACCAGCGCCGCGCACCCTCTGATAGCACCTTCTGGGCCAGCCAGTACAACCGCGTAGACAGTTCCGGATACCCAGCTTCCACACCCACAACCAACCACTGTCTGCACAAACTGCCGTCACATGCCGCCCGTGGATCTGATCCCGCCGGGCGAGGACACCATCCGCATTCTCCTCACCACAGACAACCACGTGGGGTACCTTGAGAACGACCCGGTGCGAGGCGACGATTCGTGGAAAACGTTCCAGGAAATCACCAGCTTGGCCAAGCTGCACGACGTGGACATGGTGGTGCAAGGCGGCGATCTCTTCCATGTGTCCAAGCCATCGAAAAAGTCGTTTTTCCACGTCATCCAGCTGCTCCGGCTCAATTGCCTAGGCGATCGGCCCTGTGAGCTCGAGCTCCTTAGCGACCCGGCGCCTGCGCTTCGCCAAGGCGACACCGTCAACTACGAAGACCCCAATCTCAACGTGTCGGTGCCTGTATTTGCCATTTCGGGCAACCACGACGACGCCACGGGAGAAGGGCTTCTCCTGCCCATGGACGTGTTGGCTGCCACGGGCTTGATCAACTACTTCGGGCAGATCCCCCGGCTGGACAAGATCACCGTGACTCCGCTTGTGTTCCAAAAGGGCACCACCAAATTGGCGCTCTACGGCATAAATAACATGCGCGACGAGCGATTGCAGCGCATCATGAGAAACGGCGACGTGACTTTCCAGAAACCAAAGTCCGACGCGGAGTTCTTCAATCTCTTGTGCGTGCACCAGAACCACTACCGCCACACCATGACGTCGTACGTCCCGGAGGACTTCCTCCCTTCGTTTCTCGACTTTGTGCTTTGGGGCCATGAGCACGAATGCATCCCGTTCCCTCAATACAATCCCACCACAGGCTTCGACACCCTACAACCGGGCTCCTCTGTTGCCACAGCATTGAGCGAGGGGGAAACAGCTCAAAAACACGTTTTCATCTTGGACATCAAGAACAAGGACTACGCCATCACGTCAGTGCCCTTGCAAACCGTGCGTCCGTTCCTAATGCGAGACGTATGTCTAAAACACGAAGGTTTTGTAGAAGGCCCGGCCTCCAAAACTGACGTGCAGTCTTTTCTCAACCAACAGGTTGAGGAGCTTATCTCCCAGGCTGTCTCTCAAGCCGCGAGTAGCCCCGAAAGCGGGGATCTGTTGCTACCCTTGATAAGGCTCCGTGTCGATCACACGGGAAACTATGAAGTTGAAAACTCGCGCCGGTTCTCCAACCGCTTTGTGGGCAGAATCGCCAACGTCAACGACATTCTTCTTTATCACAAGAAGAAAACCAACCAGCCCCAGCCTGCTGACACTAAGAAGATCATCAACAAAGAGACGGATGCTCCCATCACACTGAACACTTCCATCCAAAAGATTCTCCGTGAGTACTTGGGGGACTCAAACTTGAACTTGGTCCCTGAAGCAGGCATGTTTGATGTGACAAAAAGATTCATAGAGCAAGACGACAAACTGCTTTTAACTGAATATGTGGAAAGCACCATCTCCAATGCGGCAAAACTGCTACTGAGCATAAAAATCGACGAGAATGAATTTCATCTGGGCGACGATATCCTGGTCAAGAGATCCTTCCGCCAGCTTTTGAACAAGTTGCGTCTTGACACACAACGCAAGCCACTTCAACATCTCGCCGGCTTGGAGAATGACATAATCAAACCAACTGCGCCAGCCAGTCTTTTACTTCTGGATACTGAAAACCACGACTACCCCGCGCCAAGGCTGCAGAGGCGGACGACATCCAAATTTCTGAGTCGACAGCCAAGGATCAACTCGAAAGCGTTGGAAATGGAAAGCGAAGATAGTAGCGACAATGCGCCTGAAGTGATCTCTGCATCGCGAACAAAAAGACACACCACACCATCTAGATACGAGGAAACAAGCGACGCGGAAGATGATTTTGTGATGAGTGAAGTAGAGGACGACCCTCCCACGAAGAAGACCTCAACCAGATCGAGACAAACCACGAAATCACCCAAAACCGCCAAACCGAGAGCCCGGCGAGCAGCTACAAAGAAAAAGCCAAACACTGCACAAAGTGATTTTGAGGATCTCCTCAGTCTAGGATAAAGTGCCCTGATACCGCTTTTATAAATGCAGGTAACTTGATGTATTCATCATGACGTTTTGCCAGCGACCGTGTATATTTCCCAGAAGACGCATGAATGGTTTCAAAAAAGAGGAAACTTATGGGATGAGAGGAAAAGCTGGAACTTGAACACTTGACGGCCCTATCTCAAGTTGTGAAAACAAAGGCATTAGTATGGTGATACATGACAAAGGTCAGAGATCCTACCGTATAGTATCCAATGGCATTGGTGATACGGAGAGTGAAAACTGCAAGACAGCGACAATAGTCAAAACAAAATGTGGCGTGGAGCGTACCTCACTGTTGCCAGTAATCGCTGCTTGAAACAAACTACATCACATGTCTACCCTCAAACAAAATGTCGAATAAGCTGACCATTTGCTTGTCCAGAGTTACTCTCACAATCAGGATGAAGTCACACAAAGTAAGTTCTCGGCATGGATATGTTCGAAAAGATCCACAATCATTCATAAGGCGGCAACATCGGTTCTTTCAATCTCAACATCTCTGCTAGCGTACATGAAAGAATTCGTTCTGTCTGGGAAGGGATTACGAAAAAAGGTCTATTTGCGAAGAAGTGTTAAGAACGACGAGATATTATATACAATGATATATCCTGGTACGACAAGAAGTCTAGTGGATCAGTCAAGAGAGGCAGCTTCCTCAATCAACTTTTCCATGCTGAAGCCAGTGTCTCCCTGTGTGAATGCTCTCAAAAGTTCCAATTTTCTTTCTGAGCCAGCAGAGTTCGTCAAGCCACCGTAGAATCTCTGCACGTTAAGCACAAGCAACAGCGCTTCTTCCATTGACAAAGCGACATCCTGCTCTAGCTGGCCATTCATCAAAACAACATCTGCATCTGCAAGTAATTCCTGATGGAACATGAGTGTCGTGTGTGGTTTGGCATATTCTTTATGAAGCTTGTATTCGGCCAATGATGTCAACATACAATGCGTAGTCTGGGGCCCAACGAAGCTCCATTGCACAAAATGCATTTCGTAGCCTTCTTCTTCTTTGGGCAAGGGCAAGACAAAACTGGGATTTTTGAAGGCATTGGCGAAAAGATTAGCAAATTGCGAGCCCGTCAATGCTGCGCTCATAGCTCTGTCCTTCCCTTCAAATCGGGCCTTCCAAATAAACTTGAGTTCCTTTTCTGGTAAAGAGCGGATTTTTTCTACGTCCACAAAAGAAGAGAGCTTTTTGTATGGCGCCTTTGGCATTGATGCGTCGATAGCGTCTCTGATTTTAGACTCCTTTTGCTGAGCCTTTCTCTGCTTCAACTTCTCAGCTTGTTCCTTCTCGTATGCCTCAAGATCCTTCAAAGGGTCGATAGCATTCATTTCCTTTTTTTTCGTGGTAATTTCATCCTTAAGATTCTCCTTTAGTTCCTCGATGGAAGAAACACCGATGGCTTCTGCCTTCTGATGGAGCTGGCTTCTGTATCTTTCCAAGACAGCTTCATTTTGTGAGGCTGTCGCGTATAAGCGGGAAGCAGACCTGGACGCAAGTCTGAGCAAGTTTCTAGCGTACATGGTAAATTGCTTGATTGGATCGGGGCTGCGAGAAGTCTATGATAGCTGGTCTGCTGAACCAAGCTGAGTTGAACTTGCACTTTTTTCTTGCGCATTCCGAAATCTGTCTCATTTATTGCAGGACCAGGAAGTACTTGACCCGGCAGTACAGAGTACTTCCAATGCCGAGTAAGGCAAGTTGGTGTATTTACAGCTATATATTACATTTTGATGTCGATCGTCTTCTAAAGTTACAGACGGGGAAGATCCAACGCAGTATGTATGACTGCTATTATTGCTTCTTCTCTCCCAGCTCCAAATACTGGTTCTCGGGCTCCTTGGGCCGGTATTCTTCAGGGGCGTCATTGGCGTAGCGACCCAAGGTTTGTCGAAGAGATTCAGGAATATCCTCAAATGCCAAATCATCTGTGGACTGCGCTACAGACTCGCCCTTGGCCCGGAGAAGATCTTCCAAGTTCACCTTCTCGTCACGGAAAACCTTAAGGTTATCTGCAATCAAATGTCTGTTTTTGCATCCCGGGCACTGTATGAGGACAGATCCCTTAGTGTACAGCTGCTTCGAAAACGTATGCGACGACCGGGTGTCACAGACTTTGCATGTAAAGGCAATCATGAGTTGTGGTTGTTCGGTTTTAATTTCTGCCGATTTGCTATTAGCAAGAGCCAGCTTAGCAGCCTCTCTGGATTCATTCCCATTACTCTGTGAAGAGCTGAATCTGATCTGGATCGATTTGACCGGAGCCATTATAAGAATTCTGGCCTTGCTGAGCTCCCCGTAATTCTGACGTGGCACTCTGGCCATGGCTGTACGCAACTGGAGCAAGCTTCTACGAAACATAATATGGAGTTAGTTAGTGGGAGCTGGAATTGTGATTGAAATTGTTGCTGAGTATGCGAAATGAGAAGTCAAAAACATAGCTTGCCGGTTCTTCGCGAAGGTTCCAAATGCTCACTATAAGAGTATGCAAAAAACCAGATCCTTTGTATTTGAGAGTAGGGAGCCTCTGTTTTCGTATTGCAGCTGTTAATAAATATTTATGAAGCCTCGAAGGCCAAAATGAGTTTATTTTCTGGAGCCCATACTTTTATACGGCCTTTTAACCCAGTGGACATATTATCATGGACCGACTCTAGCAAACAATCTAGCGAAATTCAAGTGACTTGTCCTTTTAAAATACTTTCCAAGTGACCACATTCATGGCCTATTAAATATTACAATTCCGAAATCATATGCGAATGTTTTAGGTTTTCATCGGCTTTTGTTGGAATTTTCCTTCATGTTGGCCCTCTCAGCTTTTCTTCTGAGCTTTTCTGCCTTTTTGTCAATAATTGGAATTCCCCAATCGTCTTTCGGCTGTGGCTTGGGCATCTCCGTAGCTGGACCCCATCCTGAAACCTTCGGTATTGGTTTGACTGGAGGAATAGTTTTTTTGGGCTTTGGAGGCAACGCTGGAAATTTGGATTCCGAGACCTTCGGCTTCGAGCCCTTGAATAGCGGAGACTGCAGTCTCGACGGATTTGCAGATGAACTCACCGAGGAAGAAGACATTCCGCCCCGTTGGATATCTGCTGACAGTCCAAGTTTTGGAAGTGATCCAATGGATAGGTCTGATTTGGGCTCGAGGTATGAAGGCCTGTACAGTGTATTTTCTTTGTATGGCTGAGTGGACTTGAAAGATTTTGTTTCATTTGCAGGTTTTTTCAGAAGCGTGGTGTACTTGATAGGACCGTTGTTAATGGGCCTGTGGTTCGCTTTCGTTGGCTTTACCAATGCAGGAAATTGGTCATTTATGGATCGTCTCGAATTGCCAATACCTGCGCCCCAAGACAGATTTCTCAAAATGTGGCTATCCAGCGACTTCGAGAGCATGGGAAAACTGTTATTCAAAGATGGAGTTGTCTCATTGTAGCTTATTTCATCGAGAGCCAACTGCAAAGAAGCTCTTTGGTCAGAATTTGTAGGTTGAAGCTCAACAAATTCGTAAAGAACTAAGGAGATATCCTGGATGTCGTTGTTGGAGAAAAGGTCACGGTATTGCTTGACGAGGTCCGCGGCAGAAATCTTCCTCGATTTGAAACCAGAGTTGATTTTCTCGAATCTTGCGAGTTTATCTGCATCGTTAAGGAGATAATGTTTGACCCGCTCTTCAAGACGACGCTTCTTTAAATTGATACTGTCATTATCTCGGTGAGGCTTGGCTTGCGATCGAGGCGTGAAAGTAGAAAGTTGCGACTGAAATTGGGCAGAACTAGCTCCAAGAACTATTCTTCCACTTTGACCAACAATGCCGCCATGTTCTTTCAACATATGGGCTGTCAAATCTAAGTCTTCACGGAACACTACGAACCGCTTTTCAACACACAGCTGTATGGAACATACATAGTGAGCGTGTCGGAAATGATCGTATAGATCGTCATAGTTTCGGTAGTATTCAGACGCCTGGTAGTTATCCTGATTGCAAATGAAACAGCGTTCGTGACGATCCCGGATGTGAACATTCAACTCGTCTTCTGAGTAAAAACGCTTTCCACGACAAAACTTACATTTGGGGTGTCCCGAAAATCCACTCTTGTCACCTTCATTCATGTGTCTCTGAAGTTGTTTGGGTGTATAAAGCTTGAGCTCAGATATGAAAGAGTTGCCGTGGTCCACACAGACGTCACAGTACTGTTGGGAATGCTCAGTTTTCGTGTGTTCGCTGAGAAACTGATATTTCTTGAACAGCTTCTGACAAACAGGACACTCGTGCAGAATGAGCTTCAAAGTATCATCCTTTACATACTGGCTGGTGAAGTGAATTTCGTACTCCTTCGACTCAAGTTGTCTGCTCTCAACGACAAACTCAGAGAACTTCGCTTCCTCCAAAATTTGTTCCGTAAAAATGACATCCTCGTGGTCAGTTCTGCAAACGAGACACGTTTTTTTTTTATAAAGTGCTCTTTGACGGAAGGAACACACATGGCAAGTCACGTTATTACAAGGAGAAATTGCCGAGTGAATGATTTTTTCAGCACAAATAATGCAATGGGCTTCATCACTATCGGGCTCAGAATTCCTCAGAGACGACTTCAACGACAGCGTGTTCTGATTCTTTGCTTTGACGCCATTTGTCCGGCTCACCCGGCTATGTGCTTGGCTCATAAAGTGCTGACTCAAGAAATGGCAAATATTTTCACCGTTGTGCGCTCAGGTATAGTCCAGATATATGTAGGGTCCGCCGCGACTTTGAAACTCCAAAAGAATAATTCACCAGCTAGAAAACCCAGAATAAAAATTGTGGTATATCTTTATGATAATTGCTATCATTGAGTAGTCCCTATCATTTGGTAGTCTAGTAGTGAGTCAAATTCAAACATTGAAAGATGGACAAAGAATCTGCCGGAATTCGTGATACTGCTCACCTAGTGCGCACCGCTTTTGCTTCACCTCCAGCTTGAATACGTCAAGCGATTTGATGGAGTTATAGTGATAGATAATTCGTAATGACGATATTCTCTTAGCCTGAATTTCTACTGGGCTAGTAGTGAGCTCCGTGATGAAATACCAGGTCGTTTCCAACGAATGTACGAAAAGATCAAGGTGATAAGTATTTTCTTAGTACCATAAACCACTGAAATCAGTCATGGAATTTCAATTGGGTTCAGCCATTGTGGAAATCATTTATATGGAAAACTGTTACAAAAGGTATAAAGTTTCATTCCGCCCATACATCGCTGACTTAACCTTATCATTGAGATGTGCGACGCGCGATATCTTCAATAATTATAAGTCGCAACATCAATTTCTCGTACCTTCACTTTTGGCTTACATCTTAACGGAACATAGCACAATCGTCAGTCTTTTCACGCTGCAACCATTTTTCATTTTCTCGAATAAGGAATCAACAATGCAGCTTTTAAACGCTAGCGCTGTCACCAACATCTCTCGGTTAGCCTATAACCCAGCACTCTGTCTACCTCATTTGACTGTATCGTCTTTCGACAAAATCCCGTTGCCTATAGAAATTCCAGGCCACACCCCGGAGATAAAGGGAATTGTGCTTGATAAAGATAACTGTTTTGCTAAAGACCACGACGACAAAGTTTGGCCTGCGTATGCCGAGGCCTGGGAAAGACTCCGTCAGTTTTACCCCAAGGAAAAATTGTTGATTGTCTCCAATTCTGCCGGCACAAATGATGATGTAGACTACCGCCAAGCAGACAAGCTCGAAAGGGATACGGGAGTCACTGTGCTCAGGCATCCAACCAAAAAGCCGGGGTGTCATCAGGAAATATTGGAGTATTTTGCCCAGCACGGTATAAACAATGCTTCTGAAATTGCTGTTATTGGGGACCGCTTATTCACTGATATTCTCATGGCCAATATGATGGGTGCATGGGGCGTATGGCTCAATGAAGGCGTAGAGCTCAGTGACAAGATCTTTCCGCGCATGGAGAGACTCCTCTACGCCAAATTGGTGACTTCTCGGGAAGAGCCATTTATGCCGTCTATCCCGAAAGATAGCGCCTAGCTATCTGATGGCAGAATCGTGGTCATGTTGAAAGACGTTATTGAAGAACAGAAAGCATCAGTTCAATCAAAAACTTTTTTAATTATCCAGCATAGTGTCTGGGACAATTTGTATTACTGATTCAGTGTTTGTCAGTTTTGTTTGCGCCAAACAAAAGAACTGACTACCGGGGAATTGTCTGTCCCACAGGTATTTTTTTTTTTTTACAATTCGGATAAAACTTCGCAAAGTGAGCACTACTGGGGACCCTGGCGAATTCTCTTTTTGGGTCAAGTCACGCCGATATTCAACTATCTGCGGCCGCATAAGTTGCAGTTTTATTCCAAGGAAAGGCCGAGTACATGGTATGTTTAACACTTCTAGATATTGGCTAAGGTATAATGGTTTATAGTATAATTGAAATTTCCAGCTTTGTCTTGCAATGCCAAAGTGTATGAACTGAATGGTTATTGCGATGACAAGACTCCAGGCCTTGTTCACTTTAGTGAGTCGAAAACTATTCCAATATAAATAAAGGCTGGAGTCAGTCGCTCCGTAAAATATTCAAGACGATCACAATAAAAAAAACTATTAGTCTCACTATTCTCGTCCGGACGTATAAGCTGACTTGGGCTGTACAAGCTTGATTTGTACCATCGCACTCGCTGTATTTGAAATGTTAGGGGAAGAAAATACCCAGGTTGTCTGCGAAAGTTTTGGCTTTATTGCAAATACACTATTGTACACACAAGGTAATATTGTCAAGTCTTCGCCCATATAAAAAATTGTAAATGAGCGGGAATCTGATTCTTTTCGATGACCGTTGCTCAGTCAAGCTGTGCAGAGAGCCTGCTCCCAGTGTTACCAAAGGTTCTTATCAGGGTGCTCCGTCTGACCCAATTCCCATTGTTTCTCATGATCAGACGAGCAAATCCAGCAGCACAATTAGAACTGAGCCTAGAGCCGGATCAAAGGGCTTGTCAGAGGAACAAAAAAACCTTGTCGGTGATGATCAAGAAATAAAGCATACTGTACCACTGTTTCGGTCCTCGGACTACAAACTTGTATCAAATATTTTTATTGGCCTGATGATGTTTCAGTACATTTTGATATTCTTCGCTATTCCTTTCAGTGAGGTTGATAACAGACCTGCAGCTTCTGTGCTTCTGTGTCTTCTTGGATACTTACTGGTATGTTCAAACAACTTTTTAGCAATATTTCGGGTGGACTCTTAGTCTTGTCTGAATACTCTCTGGTTTCAAAATTTCTTACTCTATCGTGATATGAACTAACCACCAGTTTTTACTTTGTGTGCTCATGATTCCAGCAGGACTCATAAATGTCCCGACAAGTCTCTCCTTTCAAAGCCTGTTGATTTCATGTTTGCTAAAAACTGTTGATTTCGCAGCCAATGTTTATTCAGTGATTCTCTGTCTTCGGGTGAAGCAGCCCATGATCGAGTATACTTTTGACCTGGATCGACTCCCAGTGCTGCCTTTGGATATCACAGTCTACATACAGATAGTCAGCTGTTTACTTTTGATTCTGTCAATTGTCTCTCTCTCCTTCGCCGTTATGATCTTTCTCTTCAATTTTGCGTATTTTCGAAACAAAAAGAGCTACGAAGCCATGGACAAACTGGGTAAAAAATTTCAAGACACCTTGCTAGTTTGACCACATATATTCAAACATGTTTATTCTCCAAATACATACATTCTTTCCGAGCAACCTTTTTAGAAGTAGGCCATCCACAAAGTATCTGCAGCTGCAAGGTTGTGTGGATTTACAGCTTGTGCGATCAATTCCAAAACACTTTGTGTACTAACAGAAGAGCCGGTAGATCCCTGAGCCATTGAAAGAACTCTTTTGATCACAAAATCGACATTAAGCATGACGATCTCCCGGAGTTTGCTGTCCTGAGGAATAGGTCTAGGTGGGTCCTGCTGAGTGCACCAAGACATCACCTCATCCCTGAAAAAGATGGTCAAATACTGATCCAAATCGGACTTAGTTTCGGTTAACGCCCTCGCAATTGCCAACATGTAGATTGCCAAAATGCCCTCAATTCCCGACTCGCCAATGAGTTTCTGAATGTTTGGCGTCAACCGGAACGGCACCATCTCAGCGTTGTAGAACAAGGGAGCTGGTCTGTCCCCACTAGACCCATCCAACGATGCACTCTTGCTTGCGATTTTACAAGGTAGCATATCTGAAGTCCAAACGCTACCCGAACCTCTATTCACATGAATCTTCTGTGGCTGGCGAGTATTCACACACATCATGTATGTCGAGAAGATAAACGAAGCATACTGAGCAGTAAATTGCTTCCGGAAGAGCCAAAAGTCCTCAAAATTGGAGTAAAGATCAACAAAATAGTTTTTGAGCACAGTGGAGGGAACCAAAAGCGTTTGAATTGCGCTCAAAATCTCGACACGGATGCTCATGATTTCAGGTTTTGGAAGACGTGGATCAAAGGCTGCCCGTAATTTCTCAATAGTGTAGATGAAAGGGGCATCACGATCCTTGCCGTTCTTCTTGCAAAAATCCTCGTATATCTTCTGCATGCTGATATCTCGTGAGTCGTCATTAACGATTCGAATATGTGGCGACAACGGTACAGCAATTGGAAGTGTAAACAGGATATTGCGACGACGAGTCTCGGGCTTTTTCGATAAATTGTCGTCAAAGATTCGGAAAAGCTGGAATAAGCATTCCTCACGGCGGCAATGTCTAGCAGCTGGGAATTGTACTGCAAAGCTATGCAAGCTACCATTGTGACCTCGTATCTTGATTCTCTTGTAGCAAGCATTTGTACCTCGAGCTAAGTCAATGGTTGGCAAAAACCGCTCGATTTTCACGAAGTGGGTGTTGTTGTCTTTGTTCAACAAGTATTGCCCAGGAACCTCAATGTCTTCAAATTTTTGGTGATGGAATTCACTTAAGTGAGGACACAAGTTCTCTAGATTAACCTCAGTGAACCTTCTGTCCAATTTGTCTTCAAGACGGTCTCTCCATCTCCTCAACTTTGCAATATAGGACACCAAGTTTGGCTTCCCAATCACCAAATCTTTTTCAAACTCTGCACGAATTTGCTTTGGGAGCACTGTTTCTGCAAAGCGGGTGATATTGACTTCAGTCACAGGAGGCAATTTGGCATCCTCCCGAGGATTTCCGAGTCTATTGAGATACTGTACTCCATCGTTCAATAAGGCGACACCCAATCTGTATGCATCTTCATCCGCCGTACACTTGAATCTTTGGTTGATTTGATCAACGAGAGACTCCAATGAGAGAGCCAACAAAGGATATGCTGTTTTCAAAATGCCCATTATCTCTTCCACATATTCCCAAGACCGGCGAATTGATTCAGAAGATGCAGTTAGTTTAGTGAGAGAGCTCTCTGACAGTGCCAAGCGAGATTGATCTTGAGAGGGCTTATCTGAATTGGTAGGCCCGTCGTCCGTCTTTTTATCACTGCCTTCAGTTTTTTTCAAATCACTTCCTTCCAAAGAAGTATTTTCCAGGTTAGGATCTTTCCGTTCGGGTTCGGCTGAAGTGTCTTTCGGATCAATCGAAACTGGCGAATTTGATCCAGTTGACCCCATTTGGCGAGATTTTTCTAAGAATTGGCGCTGCTTGGCGGCAAAGTCTTCCTTAGTTGTTCTCAATTGGAAGTGCAACGCCTGAGGATAACTTTTAGCAATTCTGACAAGAATCTGTCTAACCAACTTGGCCTCCTTGTAAGACAAAGACGTAAGTAATTGAGGAATGAATGTGATCCAATACCATACAGGTACTTCACCCTTGAAGTTTTCAAACGCTTGCGCTAATGTGCCTGTTGAGTCGTCAAGACTAATCAACCAAAGAATTCGGGCTAATAACTTTCTAGTTTTACCATTCTTGTAAAGCCCAGCAGCTTGCAAGTAACACGAGATAGCGTTATTTGCATAGACCAAGTCGTTTGGATTCTCCTTGAAGCGGCGATCGTTAAATGCACCCCATTCTGCCCAAGCCTTCGGTAAGTTAAGATCAATCTGCACCGAGGTAGCAAATGCCTTGTTCGCTTCATCCTTCTGATCGAGCTTGCTCAAAAACATTCCTTTCAATGTAAAAAATTCCGCCTTTTGCTGTGTAGCGAAATACACCAAGTTGGTGTTGCGAATCACATCAAGGCCAGTGCTGAGCTCAGCTTGATTCAGGTAATGACACTTAACTTGCTCTTTCAATTTGAGAAATGCTTCCTGAATTTCGATGTTGGGAAGTTGATAAATTTTTGTGAGTTGACTGATGCACACTTCTGGCATGCTGTGCTTTCTCGCTACATGTGCAAATCTGTTGATGACCCAAGCGATCTCGTGAAAGCCTCTATAGGCATAGGAATTTGCATTGCCATCCGAGTTGTTTTGTTGCAAGATTGGGATGAACGGCATGTAAACCTTGTTGATGACTTGGAATGCATGCTGTCTCCATGTAACAAGGTCGTTCCAGATATTGATATCGTCCCAAACATTCGGAAGTCTTTCACGCCAAACCTGTAATACCCTCTTGAGCTCTTGCGATTTCACATCTAGATTCTGGGCATTTGTCGACACCAAACTAGAGTAAACTTGACTTGCCTCCATAAATTCCACGTATTGTTGGAAAGTGTGAAGCAAAGGAATGTGCGCGTCTCCAAACTTATGCGGCAAACCATGCCATTTTTTCAAAGCCAACTGAATTCCCTCATCGCATAACCTTGAGAGTTCTTGAAGGGTTTCCTTTTCTTGTCCATACCCTTGTAAACAAAGGAATGTTTCAAACACTTGACGACGAGGGGTTGGCACATCCATCACACTCTTCACTGTTTGTTCGAGCGTATCCCTGTCAGCATTCCAGTCTGCAACTCTCCATCCACATTCGAGAAGGAGATCTGAAAAACCTTCGTGTTTTGCGAGCTCCGTAAGGATATCCCATTGCTGTAGCTTTTCTGCGCACAAAATCCAATGGTCTTCCCAGAGAGAGTACTCAGATTGACCATATGGTAAAGCTCCACTTCTGGCTTTGATCTGGGCTGTCTCGTACAATTGTTGAGCTTTGTCCCACAACCCGATTTGCTCGTAAGAAAGAGCCGAAATTGTTTCGGAATACTTGGCACGTCTTCGCCAGAGTCCGTAGAACATGTCATCCTCTTTCAAAGTCGCATACAATTTGCAAAGAGCATCTTGCGTTACCTCGCGCACCTCAGGATTACCGCCAATTGTGGAAGCTTCGATATTTTCGAGGATATGAAGACCTTGAGACCAAGAATTGAAATTGCTTGCAAGACACTCGACTGCGAATGGTGGTAGCTGGATTTCTTCACATTGAGAGATACCTTCCAACAAAGATTGTACAATGTTTGGCCGCAGGTCTGCCTGTCTGGTGTGGTAGTCTTTGGACAACAAGATAACCAAGAATCTGGTGAAATCAAGATGCTCAGATCTTGGTATAGATCTAAAAGCAATTGGAAACACCTCTGACCAAACACGGTGCACAGTTTCGTTGCTTTGATAAAAGATATCAATCAAAGGCTCTAACACTGCGCCTGCAGATACTTCAGAAGTTTCCTTCAAGAACTTATTGTGAGTGCTCAAGAGCTCGTCCAAATCTGATCTAACAGAATCCACCTCAATATCTTTGGCTTCGTAAGGAAAAGCAGTCAAGGGAGATAGTTTGAAATTATCAGCAACCAACTCAATCTTTTCCTCAAAGTCAAAGGCCCCGAAAAGTAATTGCAACGCCTGATTCAACCAAGAATAGTCGGCCAAATACTCCCAATTTTGTTCCCTGATGACGTAATAAAGCCTTTTGCTGATATCCTTCTCTAAGCTGTTGCTCAAGATTGACATGAGTTTACGACGAATGGATACTTCTGAGGACCTCGTTCCTACTAAAAACGGTTGCTCCATTCTTACCGTCAACTCAGTACAACTGAACGCCTCATCCTCAAAAATGTCAACAATAATTTGATAGAACTCTTTTGACAAAGTCGGCTCACCACGAATTTCGAAAATCATCATCTTTGCTAGAATTGCTGCCTTCTCTTTGGTCGTAGGAAACAAATCCGTGCGAGAAAAAACCCATGATTTTACAATTTTGATGATCTTTTCCAAAGTATCCTTGTCAAGGGATCTTTCAATCAACTGCGCAAGAAGTGATAAGAAGACACGTCTTTGATCTCCGAGGCTCAGAATTCTCATGGAACACAAATTCAAGATTTTCTCCAAGAGCTTTGTCGTCATTTTAGCTTCATCTCCCGAAGTGCTGGAGTCTTTTGAATTCAGAGCACCCTGATGAGTAATGGATATGTGATCTTTACACAACTTGTTAAAGGTTCGCATCAACATTGGTATCAATGGATCAAGAGTCGCTGGTTTGTAATTGGCCAATGTCCAAGACAACGTGACACCCGCCGCCAAGGAAGTTGTGTCCCCAAGATTATCTGAAACGGTGGTGGTTAAGAGATCCACAAAAGACTTGAGTTCAGAATTATCCTCATCTATACCATCACCTTCTTTGTGGGAGTCAATTGCCTGTAGAATGATGCGCAAAATTCTTTGAAGCACCTCTTGTATGTCGTGATTCTCAGACTTGACGCATTTTTCCAACAATTTATGAAGATACTCAAGATTGGCCAATATCCACTCAGGTTTTTTCCACTCAAGAACAACACCTAATACTTCTAAAGCATTCAAGCAATAGCCCAAGTGACTTGATGAATTCAAGTCGTTCGAGAACAAAAACTTCTCGAAAAATGTTATCTTAACGGACACGTCAGGCAAATGATTGGGACTCAAGAGGTCATTCAAAATTCCCAATGCTTTTTGACCCAATTCACTTTCAGATGCACGTTGAGGACTGATACACACATAACGCACCAAAAATGTGACGCATGCCTCCTTCTGTCCGAATGGTATTGTGTAACCGTCAGAAGTAGTAAAGTCATCGACATATCCAATCGAGTTCCCTTGGTTCTCCTCGGCTGTTTGTATGACATTTTCTTTGCTTTTTTGTAAGGCCTTGGCCTTGTTCTCCCAACTAAGAATGAGCTCAGCTAAGTCTATGGCAAGAACTTGGTTTTCTAAAGCCGTATTTGCCAAGATTGTCAATTTGCCCATCGCAGTAATTATGTTCGAAATGAAGTGCTCTCTAGCAACATAAAATTGATCTGGATGTTGGTTAATGAATTGGTAAACGTTCAAAACTTGTGTAACATTGAAGCCATCCTCAGAAAGAACTCTTCTCGGCCACTTCAACCAGCTATTGGGAGACTCACCATTCACAAGTCTCAAAGACATGACAGGTGCAAGAATATCGAGAGCTTGTCTAACCAAATGTCTTGAATCGTTTTGATGAGTTCTAAGGAGGGCAACAAAAACCTGAGTAGCAACCTGTGGAGGAGTTTCATAGGCAGCAATGAAATAGGACGTTGTAACATACGCCACTTGCTTTGTAATATTATCCTCCAACTTGATATAGTTCCAGCTGAACTTGATGATGTCTTTTCTGTAGCATTTGACCTGTTCTGAAGACCACTTGAGTAACATTGCAGTACTCTCAAGTAGAGCGAACCTGTAAGAATCTATCTTTCCCGATGTTCTGTCTGTTATGATATCATTAGTGGACTTCCAGATATTTTCAGAAAACTTTTCCAACCAGTCTGTTTGAGTTTGAAACAAAGCATCCGCATTGCCGAATTTATCGATTTGGTGTAAATAGATACAGTCAAATACTTTCTTCAAAAAGAATGATTTAGCTTTTAACTGGGTATCTTGAGCAATGAAATCGACACAAATGTTCATATACTCCAACTTTATTTCAATGTTATCCAGCAAAACAACATGTTCAAAAAAGAAGTTTTCAATATCAACACTTGCTTTTATGTCGAGTTCACACATAATATTCACAACTTTGAAAAGCAAATCTTTTGTTTGAGGCGTCTTTCTTGCAAAGTTCACACAAATACTTTGCAACTTGGCAATCGCTTGCTCAGCTTGAAGGTGAGCAGTTGAGATCAATGGCAAGCGTGACTTGATAACGATAACTGTCTTAACAAGCTCTGATAATGACTCTAATAAAGGGGCTTGCTCGTTGAACCATTCAGTATCATGATCAGAAATAGCGCCCACTAAGTCAACTGTATTCGCAAATTTTGTGACTTTTATTTCGTCTCCAGACTCGTTCTTCACGTCCTCCAAGATACTCGTCATTCTCGCTTTAGACACCTCGCGAATTCGAGGACCATCGTCAGCACCAGCAAAGTAAGCCAACATATTTCCTAATTTTCGGTTTTTGAAATTTGTAATGTAGTATTCTAAACAGTTTTCGGCAAATCTGTTTAAAAATTTGAGAACAGGAAGTCTGAAAGGGGAGTCTTCGTGACGATCCAAGTGTCCCTCCAAGTACTGTAAGGTGTTAATTATTTCCTCCATGAAGGTATACGCTTTTGCTGGCAACAAATGAAAAATATTGAGGATGGCCATCACGATTTGCACAGTATGGTTATTTTCCAAATCTTGGCCAGCTATCAGACGAAGGGTATTAATTTGAGCCCATGCCATTAGGTGATCAAGCAACTTACGCCCGATTTCAACTCTGAAGTAGGAAATCAACAACTCCAAAAGTCTTGCAAGAGCCTCAAGGCCCGAAACAGTCAACTTTTTGTGATCCGACAAATTCATGAGCATTGGACGAAGTCCATTTTGCAACAATTCCTTCGGAAGCTTGGCGCTCTCATCCAAGCTAGATTTCAACCCAAGGTGTGCTGCATTAATGATTTCAGTAGACTTATTGCAGAGAGCCTTGAAGAATACTCCAAGTATCCTGATTCTTGCTTCAGATAGCGGTCCGAGAGAGAACCCTGGCTTTGTTAGTGCTAGAGAAAGCAATCTAATGCATACAACTCTAAGCTCTATCAACTGCTTAGATGTTCTGTGTTCATAGAGACGATGGACGTTTGCTAAAGATTCATCCTCTGCATCCACTAGAGCCAAGGCTTCAAGCAAAAGTCGATTCAACTCATCATTGAATGTAAGAAACGTATCCTCCAACCCCAAGCAGTATGTTATAGCGTCGATGTTTCCGATTTGCATAGGAAAAGGTAGAGCTCTCAATGGCTTGCCAAAGATTGGAGTGAGCAAAAGATGCTTTGAGGGCCCCATTATAGTGGCAATTGAAACATTGGTCGTTTCAGACAATACTTTCAAAGACTTTTGCGAAACCTCTCTCACGATAGGCACTGCACTAGCCAAGTCATAAACAAGCGCGCCAACCAAAGTTTGAAAAGGTTTTTCGAGCATCGTTTCTTTTGAAACACCAGTGTTACATTCCTTCAAGATATTCAAAACCAAATTTTGTGCCAATCCTCGTACTTCAAGTGGAGCAGTATCTGGAGTGTCCCGTAAGATGAAGAAAATAGACCTCACAAGTTCAAATTGACGTTTAAAAAACCAAGATGGAGGGATGTTCAAGTCCTCAAACATAGTCTTCAAACCTAGAACCCCACCAAGTTTTGTGTGGTAAAACTCACTGTAGCAGCAATGTGTGAATTTGTAGAGCATTGTGCGGAATGTTGGCGAGAAGAGGGCATTTTCATCGGATCCGAAAAGAATAACAGTAGTCTTGTAAAGGTTCTTAATTGTTTCAATACCTTTTGCGCGAACGTTTTTGTCCCAAAAACCCAAAGCATAATTTATAGCATTAAGGAAAACAGTCTCGCTAATAAACGCGTGTCCTTCTTGATCATTAACGGAAAATGGTCTGTCTTTTTTGATTTTTTGGATTGTAGAAGTGCCCAAATAGATCAACGTGAAGTGATTTGTGATATTGTCAATCAACGTGCTTGCTTCATCGGCTATTTCGGGAATTGACAACGAAAAGAAAAGGACCTCCAACAATTTTGCAAGTAACTCTTGTTGGCAACCGAATTTTGTACCATCTTTGATATCTGAAGGTTCCAATTCAGGAAAGTCTTTCAATTCTTCCGCCTTTAACAATTCCACTTGATCTTGTATGTATATACCATAGTCTTGTGGAATCGGATTCGTGTCAATGAATAACTTTAAGATACTCGACAAATACTTATAAGCACTGATTCTGTAATGTGCCTTCAGTCTTGGATCCTCAATCAACTCGATCGCAGATTCAATTCCAGGAGTAATAGAGAGAGGGACTTTGTCTTCAAACCCTTGAATAGAAAAGAGCGTTGCGATGTTCTGATCCAATTTCGACTGAGGTTTCAAAGTATTACATGGCTTCAAGTGTTTGTGGTTTCTTCCACCAAGTTTTCCGAGAATACGAATAGCAGTGTGTGAGTGTTGATGATGGTATGGCACAGGCTCCAAATGTTTCCATAATGCGGCCATTATCTCATTTATCACAGGAGCAATCATTGGGTCAAAATACTCAGCGGTCAAATTGTCAACACACAATTCAAACGTACGCAAGCCTTGAGTAACAAGCTCCTGTGATCCATTAAGTGCATACACCAAAGGAGTCGACAAATAGTTCAAGTGAGGTACCAAAACAGACAACCTAACTGGGACAGTTAAACACAATTCAACGTAAATATCTCGCTCGTAAGGTCGCTTTGAATTCGTTATGAGTTTGTTAAGACTTTCCAACAATACTGGAAGGATTGGCATAATTTCTTTGTATAAATTCTCAAAGCGGCCTCCACTTATACTTCTGAATAATGTCCTGACCAAGTAAGAATAAAAAATGGGTTCCTCCGCCTTTGTAGAGAGTCTTAAAGACTCTAATATCAATTGATTCAAGTGGGGAAGAATCACGCCTTCATTAGCCGTTGGAAAGAGATTGACTGACATGAAACAAAGTTTGAACAACCTGATTAGAATGTTGGACTTTATGAGATCGGCCTTATCAAGTTGGTCCAATTTACCGCGAAGAAAAGACATTAATATTCCCGAGAAATTAGCTGATGTCATTTCGCTAGCCAAAAAAAATTGAGGAAGATGCAAAAGGGCGGCATTTTCGAGCATAGAATCGAACATGAATGGAAGCTCATCGCTGACTATTTCGTTAAAGGATGCAGGGTCAATGTGGATAAAAATAGTGGCGAAAATTTCCATTAGATCTTTCTCCTCTTTCGATGATGTGATTGGAAGGTTTGGTCCGCCAGTAGAGAAATCGAAAACCTTGGCCTGCGCCAATTGCTTTGGTTTGGAGACAGAAAAGAACTTCAAGCAGCTTATTCCACCCCGAAAAAAGCTTTTCAAGATCTTGATTTCCTCTAAAGAAGTCAATTTGGCCGACTCATTCCACTTGTCGTAATTGACAATCTGGCCGGGCACATTCGGGTCCTGCACGGGTTGTGGTGGCACTGGTGGGTTGCAATTCTTGAGACCAAAAACAACAGATTTGAGAAAGGTCATTAATGTGCGGAAAAGATACCTTGCGTCTTTAAGGAGATCTGAATTCGCTGAAACTGAAGACACGGATATAGGCGAGAGTTCCTCTATGCTGAATATATCCTCGACTCTCATTGGATCAATCACATTTCCTGAAGGTGGTTCATCGGAATCAATGTCCATATTGTCATCAGTTAAATTTGGACCACTGTTCCGCAGACTTGCCGCACTTTCTTTAGGTGATTCTTCCTCCGGTTTTTGATCATTTGAGAAGCCCATATCCATAGCTACTTGATCATCAATTTTGGAGCTGTACCGTTTAATTGCAAGTTTGGCATCAGCCTCTTTCACTTTCATTTGATTTTCGAATTGTTTGTGTTTCTTCAAAATGTAGTGAAATTTGCGATTAAGACTCTGAAATCGTTTAGCGTAAGAATCAATTATCATCATGAACAAATGCCTACCTTCAAGCTTACTGGGCAACTTCATGATTCTCTCCACCAAGTTGAGTAGAAGCTTTGCACTCATGATTTGTACCGTAAGAGCCAAGGTATCATCCTTTAAAAGCGTACAATATATCTGCACAGTCGACCAGATCTGCTTGGGAGTGAGTTCGTTACGGACATTGTGTATGAAATCAGCCACAGTAGAGTATGCCAATGGCCTTAATGTTTCGAATGATGTCAATCCGTGGCCTATAAGAATCTTCTCGTCGAAGAGCAACTCAATTTTTGAGATGAATTGTGTGCGGAATGGTGTGGACAAGATGTGGCGTGTCGCGTGAAGTAGTTCTTTCCTGGCCACAGATAATTCTGCCGGACAGTCCTGAAGAAGTCTTAAAATAACATCGGGAACAACCTTGGATTGAGTCGCAGATAGATTCTGGCTCGCATATCCACGGATGAAAACATACGCAAGGAAAGAGGTTGCCTTCACTTGACCCAAGATAAAATCCGAGTATGCCTGTCTATTGGTGATGTCAGGCAGGATGGAAGTGACGGACTTTGAGGTTTGAAGGTGCTTCTCGCGATACTGCTTCTGTTGCTCAACCTGCAACATTAAAATATGGATAATCTTAGGCAAAAACCCCGGAAGAGATGTCTGGACTAAGCTTTTGTATGAGGAATACAAAGACACCATGGTAATCGGGCACTCTGCCAAAACTTTGAAAGACTTCATGGCTTGGCATAGCGTCTTGGGGTTTTCTTTTTCATCAGAAAAAGAAGATTCCTTGCTTTCGTCTATTTCGGATTTTGGCGACTGCAGATCTTGTTGCTGGGAAAAGACCTCGATTAAAGCTTGGTCCATATTGTCGTAAACCTGGTTTATAACTTCAATGAACAGGTCAACTTTCTCCACCAACAGCGCCTTATATGCTTTATGCAAAGTGGTAATGATCTTCATACACAAAACTCCATTATCCTCGTTTTCTTTCTGCAAAATAGTGGTTAAGCAGGTCAAAATGTCCTCAGAGTACGGCTGGAATGTCTCGGTCATGATCGATCGATGGATGATCTCAAGGATCAGACTTCTAAGCTTGTTCTCTGGGCTGTTGCTTACATAAGCAATTGGTACCAGATTGAGTTTTTCAATGAAAATTGGAACGAGATTCTTTAAGAAGTAGGCGTACTCTGTGGCCCCATTGAAGGCCTCGATCATATCCAAAAGCTCCAGCAATATGGACTGCGACTCCTTGTAGTTGCTCTCCGCATTTCTAATGCGGCGAACAAAGCCATCGATTTGCTCCATATGGCTCATCTTAGGGAAAGCTTGTTTTTTTCTGAATTTTGGAGCTATGAAGAGGTGTAAACAAGTAAAATTTAACCGGCGCGGTCCAAAAGGTGGAAAACGAGCGAGCTCGATTTTGGTTGTGGCACGTGATATCCACGTGATCCTGTCGTGGGGCGCGCTTGCGCGTTGGTCTGAGTCCGGACCTGCCAACTATCAAGTCGTCACCTTCATACTATGGCTTCCCTGTGCTGATACTCTATGATGCTTCCAAAAGTATTCATGATAATTTCGGAAAAAATGTTTAATGAGGTAGATAGGTTCGGATAAAAATTACTGAATCGTCCTACTGGAATCCAAACCGCTACGAATGACATCAAGTCCCTGTTAACTCAAACTGATCCGAAAAGCATAAAAGAAAGTTTTCTGTTCTGAGTGTGATTCCATCTTTTTTGATGGGGCCTCACGCAGTCTTCGGGATTCTCGTAGCGTAATGTCGATAGCTCACAAGGGAGCTCTGCACAATCTTTTTCTCTTCGCATGGGCAAAATTTTTCAATAGAATTGAAACTCAAGAACTTCGTTGACCACAATATTCTTGCTTAAATTCATATCTTTTATCAGGTTTTTGTTGAGCTCAAGTTTTTTCTTTATTAGTCGGCTAGAAAGTGCAGGAAAGCCTGGCGCGTCCACTTTTTTTGGTCGTTGAGTAGACCAGAAACTTAAAATCATTCAGGTAAAGCTTTCACCCTGGATGATTCATTTATATCATGGCATTGCAGTGAAAGAAATTTCGCTTCTTGAAAAAAAAATCTCAGTCTCGAGAATCGTTTTTTGACAATTTAATTTACACTCAAACTTTTTACAAAAACATTGGGAATTGTTCTGCAATGGCATTTCAGAATTTCACTATTCTGGAAAAGACCCTACGCTTGGTCAACTTTTTTTTAATACAAAGGTGTATAGATTCCTCCTAAACGAAAATTGAAACATTTTCTTTCGTAAAAGAAAATTGATCAGAATATTTTTATTCCCTCATTTACGATTGCGAATTGTTGACTGGGTACTGCTCCAAGATCTTTTATAACACATTTAGTATCATCCAAGATATTGTAATGCCACGAAATCACTGATGAAATCACCAATGTGGATAAGATTGTGGAAAAGAAAAATAAACGGTGAAAAGTAAATAATTTAGTAACTGGCAAATGATCGAGATAATGACAAAATCGTCATTTGCGTAACGATCACAATGCAAAATTAATTTCTGGTTGTGTCCGCAGCTTTTATTTTTACACTTGAAATTAGAAACCTTTGACTTTCAAGAAGACACATTAAAGTTCTGAATGTTCTTAATCTGACATCCACCCGACTTACTCAGTAATAATGAGTTCTCCATTCAAAACATTACTTCTGTGAATCCCGCAACACTTGCTCAGTTAACCCTCGCCATTAATTTTGTGGATGAATCTGAATTCGATTCCTTTTTTTTCTTTTTTTTTGGTAGATTCATCTGATTAAAGGGGCAAAACTATATAACGAATATATATAAAAAACCTTTAAACAGCTCCCAGCTACGTACCAAGTGTCTTAGATTCCCAACGGTCAAACAAGAGAAACGTTTAAGCGTATGGAGTGTCAATAAAAACATAGTCAAGAAATACCAGCCGACAGAGAGATAAATTTTGAAAAAAGAAATGAAGGGATATGTATGCTTCTGTAGCCCCCACCTAGTCAAGAAGAAAGGCAGTTTGCAAGGCGATCAGCACGCGTTGAAGCTCAAAACATATATGTCTGCGAAACAAATAAGAGATTTTCGAGGAGTCTTGTGTTGTTGAGTGACCTGAAATCTTTTTCTTACAAGCCATCTGGATGAAAAGAGCTGAATCATATATGTGTTTGGCGGTGCAACGTTGCACTGAGTCTTTAAGTACCGCATTGAGTCAACATTCTTCCTCCCCTCTTCAAGATCAGGTTAAAGCGCTTGCTTTTAGATTATGAATGGACCTTTTCAGTGTTTTGGTCAACTTTCAGGGGCGACTTTCAGACTTCATCATCTATACATTTCGAAAAAAGATTGCAGCACCACAATTTCGCATATGGTCTCCCACTACACTACTCGGTGCGGCCCTATGCAGCTTAACTAGCGTTGATCGGACGGGAAACAGTGCTTCCTGCATGGTATGGCCGCAACCAAAAGATTTTTTAAAGGTAGAGTTAATAATTTAAGCGTAATATGGTTTTGCGATTGCTCAAACTTAGAAAATTTCATTACCTTGCATTTGTCATTATTTGCTGACCTCAATTTCTACTATGCCGGTTGTGCATTATCACCCTTATAAACTTATCCTAGGAGTCGATGACGTAGTATCCAATACATAAACAGATACGGGCCAAGAGGACCGTCCAGGTCGTGACTAAAGGAAGGGAGCGAGACGAGTTTTGACACTCGGTACGTAGCTGGGGGCTGTTTAAAGCTTTATATATATATATGTTATTTGTATAGTTTTACTCTCTTAATCAGATGAATCTACCAAAAAACCACCCGAGCCAATGATGCGATCTATTATAGGTGTTTCCTAACAGTTTTTGTTTGTGGTGAGATTTTACATCCCTACTCCACACTCCGGACCTTTCAATCGGAATACTATTTGCTGGTCGTTTCTGAACGAGCACAGGGTGCCATTCAGTTTATGTGCTAAAAACTAGTTTATCAGAAAGATATTGAGACATTGTCCAGTGTATGACCGCAAAGAAGTTGCAGGACATGGATGCTGGTATCAAACGCGTATTTGCACGCATTGAAAAAGAGAAGAAATATATGACCGGCTCGGAATATCCTGTGATTCAGCCAACAAAAAAGCATGTGGAGGTTTCTAAAGATGAAGATGTGCTTTCATGCAACTTCGAATCTACATGTTTAGAAAGATCAAAAGTGAGTAGAAAATCAAAAAAGCCAAAGTCATATAGCCATGGCAGTCTCTGGAATTTTTGACAGAATAGAATCACATAACGCCAGTAATAAAGTAGACCATTAATTTATACGTTGTCAGGGCATTCAATTGTCATTTAGGAATGAGTATTGAGCTTGTGGCTATGTCTCCTCCTAATGATTCTATCACCACATTCTGTCTATGAGGCTTATTTTGACAACAATATAGCCGGAAATTTTGGTGATAGATGCAAGATGTCTAGCTTGTGAAAGTTTGGTTTCAAAGCACTCATCGAACATCAGAAATGTACCGCCAAAGGCCTTCCCGCGGTCGAGCCTCGGAAGTCTAGTGACCCGAGACAGACATACGGTCGATACATAAAAATGTTGCTAATTTTTTCTAAGCAGTGTTAATTATTCAAATCTGAGAGTAGAATTAGGCCGTGGCATTGGCTATTAGATGACGCAATACGCATGTATCTACTTTGTACATCATTCTACTATTGTATATTTTATAATTAGCTTCCAGCCATGTTTAATTCCGTCGCAGCCCCATATTTGTCCTTAGGGTGTTCCATACCCTAATTGATCGTCTTTCAACACTTCTCGTCTAGCGCCATCAGTTGGCGATGGTCTCTAAAAACTCGGAACAGCAAGGCAAAAAATGTAATTACCAAAAACAGAAACGCTGTCCACGAAAGGGCCTCGGCCTTGGAGCCCCGCTCCACAGAAATATAATTCAGAGTGGCAGCCTCGACAAATGCTTCGGCGCTGACGATAGCCTGGTGTTGGAGCATAGCGCCTAGGCCCCAGACAAGACTGGCGAGAAGCGCGGCCGCCGCACAGATTTTGCGTGCAATGACTTTGCCGGGAACAAAAGGCATTAACTGCCAGAGAACCACAATCGTCAACAAGAGCACGATTACGAGAGCCGTGATCAACAAATACGGCGTACACACCAGACTTAACGCGGATGCAATGACAACTAGACTCACGCCATCTGTGCTGGAATCGGTGCTGCTAATAGTTCCCAAATCTGTAGTGTTCTTGCTGGTGGTGCATACCATGTCGCCCGCCGCGCTCGCACACAATGTTAGGTAGTTGGCGCGGATTGTGAGTTCCGAAACACTGGAGGTGCTATTGCTCAGTGCGGCTGATTCGATGACGGTATCATTGTACTTCATTTTTATTAGGTAAATGGACAGATATGCTGACTCGGTTGAGGCACCTCCAATAAGTAGGAAGCCCAAAAGAAAAAAAGAGATAATGAGCGAAATGAGCGAAAAGTACTTGTGTATAGTTGCTACCCCGAACATGATTGGACTTATTCGGGGGAAGCAGAAAAGACAGGGAAGGCACATCTCTTATAGTTCTTGCGAGTTTGGGAGGTGTGCAGCTGTCACTAGGGGGGTGTTTCAGTACAGCTGCCTTACGGGTTTAAGGTATGTCTTGAGTTGCACAGCCTTGAGGAACGGCTGAAACTTGATAGCCAAATGGAGTCGTAGTTTTTTTTTGCAGTGTTTGCAAAGTGTCGCAGCTTTGTGTGAGCCTTTTTCTGGATTTTGAGAGCGGAGCACAGGCGTGGGGCTTACTTCGCGCGCCGATCTGAGACAAGCCTGACATACTTTGGTAGCACTGTGAAATTTCACTACTAGAGCAGTCTGTCTCAAGTTTTGTTGCTCAAAACTCAAGATATTCCTCGTCAGGGTGTGTGTCACCGGTGTCGCAAAAAAAGAAAGCTTCAAGACATGATCCCATAGTTATTGTAATCCTGAAGCGCAGTTATTCGTAGGCCCGTAGTTTCAAAATGAGACTGCGAGGTCTAGGTATATAGAAATCACTGATTGGGAGACCTCAAGCGAAAGATGGCACTATTGATGGTTCAAGGTGTGAGTTTACTACAGCTCTAGATTGATGAGCTCTTGACTCATTCAACATGAACTTAATCACGCCTTTCATCGCTTAAATAATTCCGCGGGCACAGAAAAGAACAAACAAACAAACTCAAGAAGGCATAATCCGGTTCACTTTTTGATTAGGTGCAATAGTGCATGTTTTTGGCCGGACTTTGCGACCATACGGAAAATAGCTCCTGAGAACACTGTTTTGCATGGCAGAAAATCCAACCAAAGAAAATTTTTCGGATTTGTTTTTAATGACATTGTCTTTCAAGTCACTCTTCATGATCATATATTTTAACCGCTATCTAAGTCTTGCAAGTGAATGAATTAATTGTTCTGGAAGCATTCAAAAAGAGAAGCTTTCGGTGGAATGAACATTCAAGTCACGATAAAACCAGGAGACGGTAGACACATTATCAGAAGTTCTCCGTTTTTAAATGAATAGTGCCTTGAATACCGAATGCAAATAAATGTTTCCTGCAAGTGACTCTTATGCATTATCATTGAAATGGGGTATATGAATTGACGCTAAATTCTGCGACAGCCACAGTAAGAGAGTATACGTCTGTATACGGAGCTTGATCTACTGAAGGTGGAGTCTCGCTTTATTAGAATGTAAATTTATCATATCCCTTGAGGCCATGGATGAAACTTTAACCCAACAAACACAGTATACTTCACAGAAGACTCAAATTATTCCCAACTAGGCACTCGCAGTGTATATATTCACGATCTTCTTTACTATCCAGTACGCGAGCAAAAGGAGAGTACCTGGAATGGCAAATAGCGTCAAAATCTCGAATCTTTGTTTCAACTTAAACTTAGCAACCACTGTTTGCATTGTCTCGTCATCATCAACGACAAAGGATCCGGTTTCGTAAAAGCTTTTCATAAGTTTATCTTTCTCACACCAAACATTGTATAACCAGTCTTCAAACTGTTCCAATGTTTTGGGATCAACGTCATCGACATCCAAATTATCGTCGTCCCCAAGCGGTATGTCTTTAATCGGGAAACCTCTAATGAAATAATTGACAGCAGACGGGCCTAATCCTTGCAAGTATAGTTTCTTTAGCGTGAATTTCTCCTCACCATATTCGTCGGGGTTTAATCCCGAATAGCCACAGGACACATCGTAAACAACAGCTAAAGTATTTCTTAGCAGTCTCAACATGAGAAAAAGACCCCTCGCTCGAGGTAGCAACAAATGGTTGAACCTGGGCCTGTCCATCTTGTCTGCGTATCTATTCGACCTTTCCCGCGTATGGGGCGAAAGTACAGTTCCCTCTGGAAAAATGACAAGTTGGTAGTTACTGATATCTTCGGAATTGCCAGACATTCCTTTTGGCCACTGCACAATAGAAGGGCTGGCGCTGTGGGAAGAGGAAACAAGGGACACGCCTGCTGCAGGGCCCATTCCGCGAGCATCCGCGTCGATGGCCAAAAGCCTGTTTGTTAGGTTGACTTTGTCATTTTCCCATTTTCTCAGCAAAAACAAAAAACGGAAGTTGAGCATTCCGGGCCCCAAAAGGGGCACTCTCGATAAGCTCTCCTTGATGACAATGTAGATTGAGTTTGCCAAGTTGCTAGTGTATGCCAAAAACCATAAGAAAATCCAATCCGTGTAGATCTGGTGGTTGGAGATGAATATGGCGTTCCGAGACAAACTTGAAATGAGGTTGCCAGAAGCATCGACTCGAAAAGTGTTCAGCTCCGGCAATTCCGTGGCTCGGAATGAAATCTTGATCTTACAGGGACTCGCAAAAGATGTCACAAACACGATCAATTGCAAAAAGTAAAACTTGGTCAAATCCATGCACGTGTAATACCACCTGGGGATGCGGCGAAGCGTTGTCCACACAATAATCTGATCCACACGAAGTGCAAGAATGCCCAGGACAAACACAACCACACATACTGCCGTCCGGAAAAAGACGAACGGCCAGTGGTTTCGTGATAGAAGAGCCATGACCTGTATTCAGAGAGTAGATGAGAATAAAAAGGCACCAAACCTGTTAAACCTGTTGAAATGTGGGTAGTCACAGGGGCCGAGGTCAGCGGTTATGGAACAAACTGGCGTCGTATTGTTTCGACGACACGCCTGAGGAAGTCGTCTGAGATGATTGGGGAAAAAAGTGTGGCGTGTATATGCTGAAACTCTCTTAGTCCGCGTTTATAAAAGAATAGTGTGCGATGGGTGTAGTGATAGGGCTTACTCAGAAGGTGGCGGGTCTGGCGCGCACTGGGTCAGAATGACAGAAAGGCTTGGAGAGTCGATGGTGTTGTGTGCAGAGCTGAAAGTTAGTGAATAGCGTGCCATGCATCTGGTGGAGTGTCAATCTTAATGATCTTGTTGAATGCCAATCTTTATAATCTGGTGGCATTTCTATCCGTATGATTTGGTGGAACTTAATTCATGGGTCGTGTGTGCTATAAATCTAATTGCTTTATATTTCACTCGAGACCTACTTTCTCCATTTCTTTACGTGAGCTCAGCTTTAAGTTCCGTTTTGGCCAGACTTCACCTGAATATGGGCATCACGAGATGCAAACGCCAAACAGCGTGGGAGCTCTGTCTGGAAGAGACAGGAATAAAAATTGGAATTCTTTCATCTAGAGCCCCACATATAACCTGAAAATTCTTCCATTTAAAGCCCCACATATAATCTGAAAATTCATGTACTGTTCTGGGCCCAGGTGCTTGCAGGCTGATGTTCTGCTGGGGGTGTTATTACTGAAATAACGCCTCAAAATTGGTGGGTTCCATGTATGCAGCTTTGGCGTTACAAAACGGTAAAAGAGCCTCGACGGAGAATGCGCATGGACGGGATATTCGAGCTTTTGCTGTTATGGGTTTAGTGGCAAATCCTTTGGGATTCAGAAACAGAGCTGGGTCCGCGGCCCGGAAGCGATGAACATTTGGTTGCGGGCATGTATATAAACCCAAGAGCCCGGGGTTTCATGGATTTCGGGGATCGTGGCATCGGCTTGCCAATTGAATTTCTGCAAGCTCCCAAAATATAATTCTTGGTCCGGAGGAAGTTACGGACATCGTGGAGAGTACTTCTTCTGTTCACCCGGGACAGAAGATGCGTGGCGGTATACTAGCATACAAGCATAGGCATGGTATCGCGGAGTGCACCTCGCATGTAATTCGCAACCCGTCTTCGCCTCCACATGCTTCTTCAGAATTATGCCGCAAAGAGCCTGATCAAAATAGCTGGTCTCTCGGAATAGCTCGTTTGTGCTGCTGTTTATTGTTGGCCATATTCTTTGCTTGTAAAGGGGACAGGGGTCGACAGCTGTCATCAAGAAGCGCGGTCACGTGCGCGTGGTTTGGAGCAGTCACGGCGGCCCGGCGTTATCGTGCGCAATCGCGGAATTAATGCGCTTACGCGGGAGTCATCACTGCTCCATTGGAAATATCCCCACCTCTTCGCAACCAGACTATATAAATATCCGAGTTTCTGCATCCATACAGGCTTACCCTGGAGTTCCCAATTCCAACTCTTTGCAAAACTCACTTCGGATCCGACTCTCGCCCGGCCTGCTCCACCTTCTGCTCCTCCACCACTGATGGCGCTGCTAGAAAATGAATGACTAATACCTGCGCCGAATCTCATTAATACATCTCAAACCAATTTGCCTTCCAGAACAGTACCCTTCGGCCCATATTTCACATTCTCCACCCTACTTGAATCTGTGGCGTTCATAAGCAACAAGCAAAAAAATGTCCGAGATCTAATCTTTAGCAAGCTCTCTTGCAGAACTAGCTCTGCAGTCGGATCACCCCCGTCAACAAGATCCACAGTCTCTTCATGAAAATCGAGAAGAGAACAAATCCAAATCTTCAAACGAAGGTACTGACCTGCCCGAAGAAAAAAAGACAATAAATGAAAAAGATGTGGGCGACTGCCACAATTCCGTCAATTCCGCTAATTCAATACGCTCAAAGAATCGCGTGCCCAGCAATAAAAGAAGGGGATTGCTTTCCTCCATAACAATCATGCCGGAGTACCATGATCCTAGAAACTATCGCCCCATGCACAAATTCATCATTGTGTGTGTCGTAGCGTTTGCAGGTGTTTCCGGGCCTATGGGCACTTCCATCTTGCTTCCTGCTGTGGACGATTTGTCCACCAACCTTGATACCACCCTCACCATGGTAAATGTTTCCATTGGAGTATACATGCTTTCGGTGGGAATTTTCCCAATGTGGTGGTCGAATTTCTCTGAGAACCACGGCCGCCGAACCGTCTATGTCATATCATTCTCGTGGTTCCTTGCCTTTTCCATAGCATGTGCCGTTGCCCCATCCATCGGGGCATTAATTGTTCTACGGTTTATGGCGGGAATTGGAGCCTCTTCCGTTCAAGCATGCGGCGCAGGAACAGTCTCTGACTTATACATCCAAGAGGAGCGAGGAACAGCCTTGGGGCTTTTTTACTTGGGCCCACTTCTTGGACCTTTTCTCTCCCCCATCATCGGAGGTGCCGTGGCAGAGGCTTGGGGCTGGCGTGCCACCATGTGGGTCATGGTCGTAGTCTGTGGACTAAATTTGATTCTGATTATCTTCCTCCTCCCCGAAACACTACCCAAGAACAATTTCGAAACAGCTAAAATGATAGTCCGTGAAACATTGGATAAGGATGAAAACTTATCTGAGCACAGCTTGGAACGCATCGCCACAAACCTTTCTCAGACTATGTCTCTACAGCGTCAAATTCGGGACGAGGAGACTCCCGTCGACTTTTTCACGCCGTCATTGCTGCGGATTTCCACGAGCCAGTCCGCATACAGCAAAAGAATAAGAGACCAAGAGTTGGCAGAGCTTGAATCCAGAGACCCAGCAGAAAAGAAATCCTGGAAATCTCACATTTACGATTATGCGATTAGGCCGATGCATGCGGTTATTCTCTTATCGTATCCTCCTGTCTTGCTCATCATCACATACTCAAGCATAACATTCATGGGCGTTTATTTTTTCAACATCACGATCTCAAACTCATACGCCAAAGCCCCCTACAGTTTTTCCCCGGTCATTATTGGTCTCATGTATATCCCCAACTCCGTGACATACTTCATAGCTTCGATTTATGGAGGCCGCTGGAATGACTGGCTCATCAAGCGCAGCGCTAGGCTTAATAATGGGGAGCTTCGTCCTGAATCAAGGCTTTCATGGAACATCGTGATGGCCGCTCTCGTCTTTCCACCAGCATGTATGATTTTTGGCTGGTGCCTAGACAAAAAACAGCACTGGGTAACTCCACTAGTTGGAAGCACCTTGTTCGGCCTAGGATCCATGATTGTTATTGGCTGCACATTGACTTATTTAACCGATCTTCTACCGGGAAAAGGGGCCACAGGCGTGGCCTTGAACAACCTCGTTCGTCAGATTTTGGCTGCGGTTGCGACTTTCATAACTGAACCTTTGATCAATGCTTTAGGCACAGGTGTACTATTTTGTATATACGCTGGTGTCGTTTCTGCATCTGTGTTATCTGTTTGGTATTTGAAAAGAAAAGGCGCCATTTTGCGAGAAAAGTATGACATCACGTCTTACTATGCAAAGCTCTAGCCTTGAATTAGCCTTGGTGGATTGACCGTTTGTTCTATATATTTTTGACTAAGACCAATGTCACGCACCCACAGCCGAGCAATGTATAATTTCATCAAATAAGTAATCCACATTCAAGCCCTCGCTCTTCAAGAGCTTGAGCTGAGATTCCATTACTTTAAGAAGCTCGTCGTAGTACTTCACATCTTTGATTTTCCACACATCCACATCCTCCACTAAGAGTGACCCAGACGCGTGTTTCTTGATCAATTCAACAAGCAGTTCCATTTCGGATATAGACCATGTCACAAACCCACTAGAATCAACAGTCTTCGAGCTCTCGCGTTTTAGAATTGGAATGATGCAAAACCTATGGATATTCACAGCACGTTTGATGATCAGCACATGAACAATGATAAGATTCGAAAGGTAATTCACGATGTCGACTCTGGTGGATCCATGAGCATTTGAAGTGAGCCTGCCCACAATTCCAGATAGTTGCGATGACAAAGCATCGAGAATAGCATTTAAGCCTTCTTCGAGTTTTCCGAAACTCAAATAAAACTCTATGATGTTGGCAATCTGTTCAACAGTCAAAGTAGCAATTGTGTGAGTAAGGTCAAACAGTAAACCCTCCTGAACCTTCATCTTACGGTTGGAAATCTTCAACTTTACAACATCGACTAGTAGCCGTAATTCCTCTGCCTGATTATCATCGGGCTTGGCACTTTGAATCCTGTCAAAAACACTGGTGAGTCTGGCGTCTATGTGTTTGATGAGACCAACTGCACTCATGTACTCATTATGAGCCAAGTGAACGTCAACTTCGTCGAGCTTGTCCTCATTTGTTTTGAGCTCAATGAAAAGCTGAGCTGGGTTCTTGACGTCCGCACTTGTTTTTTCTTGTTTCATGAAATCATGAGACCGGTTCCTGGAATGCACACGTGCAGAAAGATCTTTCAAGATGATGTCGGCGCTATTTCGGTGAGAGTTGGATCTATGAGCACTGTTTGAGTCCCTCGCGTGGGGTGTGCCCTTCTCTGTGAGACCAGAGGTCCGCAATGAGTCCCGAAGTTGCCGCTTATCGGTGCACTCATCCATGATGCTGTTTGAGCTTGCGTTTCTGCGATGGCCCGCGTCTTGTGTGTTCCTTGGTCTTCCATCCTGCTCCTCCATAAGACGCTGTTTCTTCGAGACCTCGGCCTTGCCTCGCTGGTAGGCATTCATGACGCGCATGAAATGGTCGTAGCGGTCTGTCTGGTAGACATAGCTCAAAGAGTTCGAGCGTAGATTTATCACGTAGCCCTGGGAGTCGTCCGTCACTTGCTTTTTGGGTGGGGTGATCTGGGTGATTTCGACTGCGGCGAGGGGCCAGAAGTGCGCGGCCTGGAGTCTCTTTGAGCTTGAGTCCTGGGTTTTCTTACGAGTAGCCACCAACACGGAGTCATTGAGCAAGAATAGGTGAATGGGCTCAGATGGCTTCCACGTGCCGACGTTGATGCCATGCCAGCGGCCACTTTCGCCCAAGATGTGGCGGCCGGGCATTTCTTGCACAAACTTCTGCGCACCATCTACATGCTTGTACAACAGCTGCAACTCCGCCGCCCACAATTTTTTGTAGCATAATGACGGACGAGCGGTCTCTGTTCTGTCCCTTTGTTTGTCTCGGACCCACCAGGCCATCACGCGCCGCATCAGGCTCGGCAAGCTCGAGCTCCAAGCGCCGCTCCGCGGCGTCTGTGAGCTCGCGGATGATGCCATACAACTCCTTGGTCAGAACACGGAGCAGGAGAAGCTGCTGCTGCGTGACCTGCAAGTTGTCCGTCAATTGGAGGATGTTTTTCTGGTTCTCGTCGATTTTGTCCTGGACCCGCTTCTCCACACGCGCCCGCTGGCCCACAAGCGACTGGTGGAAGTCAGCAATAGCCGTGGCATCCTTGGTACGGAGCTCGGTGCGGATCATGTCCACCACGTCGTCTTCGCGTTGGTTCCGAGGCGGGTACGCGCGCATCAGCGCCACGTCCGAGTTGTTGGTCGCCGTGCGGTACACCAGGGCGTTTGAGGGCAACGGGGGAAGCCCCGCGGCATCGAAATGGGGGCCGTGTGCTGCCGTGGCCAGTGCGTGGATAGACAAGCGGCGGTTATTTTTGCGTATTTTCAGGGCCGCAGATCCTGGAACAGCAAGGGAGTTGCCGGCAGGGGGTGCGGCTGTGGCGGCGACGGATTCTGTGTATGGCGCTGCCGTGCTGGTGCCAGCATTGGCGTATGGATTAGCTTGGTGTTTTGCCCTGTGTGGCTGCGCCAACTGCCACGGCGCCTTGCTTTTGCGGTTGTTCGATTTGGCGTCTGATTTCAAAGGCAGGTCCATTTCAGGAGGTAGTACGATTTGCGGGACAGATTCCATTTTGTAGATGTTCGTATAGTGGGGGCTTCTATGGCGGGCGCTGTGTTCTTTGTAGCAAGACGTGTATTGTGCAAGCCGAAGAAGATTGGGTCTAAGGATGAGATCGGGGTGGATTGGCGTGTTTGAGATAAGCAGGTGGTGTTTGAAGGTAAAAGTGCGAGGTAAATGTTTGGGGAAGTTGTGGGAAGAACTCCGGCGGGTATTTGCCGTGGTGGTGATCGTAGTAGTAGTGATCGTAGTAGTATCTAGCAGGCGTTGAAAGTGCGCGGTGTGTATTGGATGCACGGGTGTGTGGCGCCCTGGCCAGGAAGCTAGATGAGAGAAGAACGCTTGGCCCTTTTTTGTTGTTGTTTTTTTTGCTGAGAGTTGATGGCTTGTGGTTGTTTGGATAGGCGATATTGATGCATACCCAGGATTTCTGCCGGTGTCGGGCTTGGACTGCATGTGCAGAAATTCAAGTAGGACGGCGCTGTGGCTCTTTGGGCCTCAGGGTGAAGCATGACTTTTATCTGGGCTTTTGGACATATCGCCGCGCACGGCCATACCAGTGTTTTCTGTTGCATTCCGATATATGTCAACAGCGACGACCTTCTTGACCCTGTGGCCTGGGATTATGTTTTGCATGACTTCAACGGGAACGGTGGCATACGTATCTCTGCAGGTGTATTTTTGTGGGTGAAATATGTGACCAGTGGTGGTGCGGTTCTGGCCCCACGAGTAGTGGCTCATGTACCAGCATCTTGGCGTGATGGGCGCCTTAAGGGCATAAATGACCCAGGGCTGGTTAAAATCTCCTACATAGAAGCTGTGCCTCTCAAATATAAATTCCCGGCTTTGAAACTTGGGGAGCTCTGTCCGATGGCATGCTGTGACAAAAGTGAATTTTACCCGGCCGTATTGCCTGTCTCAGTTTTGAGTCTTCAACAATACGTTTCGGGGGCTCTGCAATTACATGACTCACCTTGCTGTGTCGCAGAGACTTTTGAAACACCGACCGAACCTAGCGCTCTAGCGCAGCAATGGAATGCAAACAAAAAATTCCGTGCTTTGCAGCAGGGTATATATTATCGAAAACGGCCTCAATTATGTGGAACGCGTCGACAAGACCAGTGCCATCTTTTCGCACCCATTCGCATCGCGCTGCAGCAGTGACGAGCAAGCGTTTGGCACGTAATGAGGCCGAAAATTGATTTGGTTTGACTGCACACAAATTCTGGCAGCCACGGACTGGTTTTGCCGGCTTTCAAAAGCGGCAGCCATAGCGTCCTGGTGTGTTTTCGAGCACATGCGAAAGTGGCGTGCAGAGGTGTACGCGGAAAGCTCAGATAGGCATGTGGAGGTCGAAAATAGAGGTGTACGGAGAGCTAGAGTGAAGGTGTGCGGGAAGCTAACATGAGGATGCGAGGGAAGTCATTCCGAATGAATGTAGGCAATAATATTGGGGCGAAAAGTTAACCTCAGCGAATGCGGAAAGCTATTTTGAATGAGTGTGGACAGCTATTTTGAATCAATTGGGGAAAGCCATTCTGAATGAGCGCGGAAAGCTATTTTTAATGAATGTGGACAGCTTTTCTGAGTGAATGTGGACCGCTGTTTTGAATGAATGCATAAAGCCATTTTCAATGAATGTGGACAGTTGTTCTGAATGAATGCATGAAGCTAATTTTTATGAATTTGGACAGCTGCTCTGAATGAATGCATGAAGCTATCTTGGATGAATGTGGACAGCTGTTCTGAATGAATGCATAAAGCTAATTTTTATGAATTTGGACAGCTGCTCTGAATGAATGCATGAAGCTATCTTGGATGAATGTGGACAGCTGTTCTGAATGAATGCATAAAGCTATTTTGAATGAGCGTGGACAGCCATTCTGAATGAGCGTGGAAAACTATTCTGAATGATTGCGGGAAGCTATCTTGAATGACTGCGGAAAATCACCATAGACGAATGCGGACAGCTAGCAGAAAAGAAGCCAGTATAGAGTGCGAAAAGCCATCACAAGAACAGGCGGAGAGGGCGTGGAAACCCATCCCAGATGCATGCGGAAAGCTATCCGTTTATGCACAGAGCTACCATGAAGTCACACGCCCAGCGAACATAAAAAAAAAAGCAAATCGCTATGGAGCATCTGGCCCGTCTAGACGTGCTACGGCAGTGCTCGCCCGCAGCGCACGAAATGTCCGGCCGGCCCGGGCCCGCTCGATTCGCACCAGGCACAAGCCATTCGCCTGGAGCCTGCCCCAGGCCGCGCGCCCAAAGTGGCCCCATGGCATGGGCCTGACGGGTTCAGCTCGCGCCAGCCCGACCAGGCCGCACCACTGATCCAGGCGCCTCGGCCAGTGGCCTCCAGGCCCAGAGACGAGAAGATACACCAGAGCACCCTGTCCATAAAGTGACCCACGCCCACGAAACAGAGAAAGAAAAACAACCACGAAACAAAGAAAGAAAAACAACCACAAAACGGAGAAAGAAAAACAACCACAGAACAGAGAAAGAAAAACAACCACGAAACAGAGAAAAAATACCAACCACAACCACAGAGCCACACACAATACTCTTCCCTCCATACAGGTGTCTGGCACGGCGTTCCGCCGGTGCTGGTCTGAGCCGCCCGGGCCGCCCATAGCGCGGAGGTACGGGTGTGCCTGTCCGCGCCAACGCTCAACTCACAAGTGCCATTCCTTTACCCCCACCTCTTCCTCTCCATCGTCCCGCAGCCCCCTGTCCAGCGGCCAACCCCAGCCCATGTCCCTCGCCAGCGCCGAGCTCAACTACCTCATATGGCGCTACTTGCAGGAAAGCGGCTTTGACCTCGCCGCGTACGCGTTCCAGAAAGACTCCGCGTGTCTCGACTACGAGTACTCCACAAACAGGCTACTTCCCGCCATCCAGCCCGGCTGCTTGGTCAACTTGGTGCAGAAAGGCATGCTCTACACGTTCCTCGAGGACTCGGCGGCCGGCAAGCCGCTGCGGCTAAATCTCGTGGACTCGGTGCTCAAAGACAAGACGGATTTCGACGCCGCCCAAGGCGCCGAATGGGCTCGTGCACCGGGCGCCCGCCCCAACCCCAGCGCCCCTGCCGGCACGGACACAGACACGCCCGACGTGGCGATGCAAGACGCGCGCGGGCCGGAGGCCCCCGGGGCCCTGGCGCCGCCGCAGCCGCCCGGCCCGGACCTCCCCTTCCAGACCGCGGTGCTCCGCGCGTTTGCCGCCTGTGCGCCCAGCTTGCTGCTGCACTGGCACCCGTCCACGGACGTGCTTGCGCTCGGCACGGAGCGCTCCACGGCCGTGATCCACGCGTTGGGCGCGGCCGGCATCGCCGAGACCGTGACGCTCAGCCACCCGCCCACCATGGCCGGCGGCACGCCGGTGCCCAGCGCCGTGTGCGCCGTGTCGTGGTCGCCGCAGGGCTCGCTCGTGCTCACGGCCGGCGCCGGCGGCGAGATCCGCGCGTGGGCGCCGGACGGGCGGCTCAAGAACATCGTCAACTCCGTGGCCAGCTCCGAGGGCGCGCCGGCAGGCGTCCATGCGCTCGTGTGGAACACATCGGGGCTGCTTGTGCTCAGCATCAGCTCGCACAACTGTGTGGGCGTGTGGGAGGGCGCCACGCTCGCGCCAGTGCTGCAGTGGGCCGAGCCGGAGCCGGCCAGCGGCGAGACCCACGCGTGCTGGCTTGGCGAGCTGAAGTTTGCCATGACCACGCGCAAGCACGGCATCCGCATTGTGGCCGTCAACGCGGCGCAGCTGCCCGCGGAGGCCTTGCTTGCCGTGGGCCAGCTCCCGGGGCACACGCACAGCATCTGCGACCTCTGCTTCAGCCCGGTGTCCAAGCTCTTGGCGTCCGCGTCGGACGTGGACTACGCCATCAAGGTGTGGAACAGCCTGCTGTCCGAGGACGCGCTCGAGTTGAACGTCGCGGCCGAGCGGCTGCCGGGGCTCCTGTACCACACGCTGCCCATCGTGGCGCTCGCGTGGTTGAGCCGCGCGGGCGACGTGCAGGGCAACGAGCTTCTCTCGGTGTCCATGGAGGGCTCTGTCAACGTGTGGGACGCGTTCTCGGGTGACGCGCTTGTCAGCGCCAACGTGTTCAAGAACCCGGACAACTTCGAGTTCCCCGAGGACCAGCCGGACGTGCACGTCAGCACAAAGAACTCGTTGGTGTACGCCGCGGCCGTCGCGCCCAACAGCCGCGTCTTGGCCCTCGGAGACGACTCGGGCAACGTCACCATCTGGGACATCCACCCGGCCCGGTACAGAGGCACGCGCGAGTTCTTGCGCTGCTTGGGGCTCTTTGCGGCGGACAGTGCCGACTCACCGGACGTTCCTGTGGTGGGAATCTGCGATCTCGTGTGGGACAGCAAAAGCCGCTTTCTTACCGTGTGCTACAAGGGTCGCGAAAGCGTGATTTTGCTGTGGGACAAGAGCTGAGCCGGCGGGCTGGCGACACTACTGGGCTTGTAGACAAGATCGTGTATTTTTTTAAAGGGAAAGGGTTAAATGAGCGACCGTAAAGTCATTGACGTTTTCGCCCACGGGAGCACTGGCCATGCGCTTCGATGGCTGGCCACATTCCCGGTTCGTGGCTGTGTTGGAAAGAAGTGGGTGTTCTCAAAAGAGAAGCTACCTCTAATCCGGCCTAAATCCACGGGGGTGCTTCTTTCGTAGCGTTCTAAAGTGCTATACAGCCCTTAAACTGAGGAAGTCGCCTCGGCAATTGCCGAAGATGCGGTCAGCGAGGCGGCTTGCGCCGCTCTCTTGAGAGTGGGGCTCGTGGATGGGAAGAAATACTCCAAATAGCATGTGGCCAAGGAAAGAGCGGCAAAAGCTAACCTCAACAATGGCGGCTGGGACCCACCGTCACTGCCCGCAGGCCTGTTCACAGGCTCCGTCAAATAACTTTGAAGCGCCAAAAAAACCGACGACCAAGACAAAAGCTTGTTTCTCATAAACATCGCTGCCATGGGAAGCGTCTGCGAGATCATGGAGGAGGCCTCCGATCTCGGTTTGGCTGGCTTATGGGTATATCTAGATTTGTTAGTATTCCTGGAACGACGCCGTGGACCTGTGGGCGACCGACCTATTTCCATTTGAGGGGCTCTGGCCTCAGCTCATCTTGGTTTTTGGTTCATGGGCTTTACGTACGGGACTACCAAGTCGGCTCTTTTCGGACTCGACATATTGTGATACTTGTTGCTGAAGACGATGGCCAGAGACCGCCTCAGTACGATAAGTGGGCGGCGGACGTGCTCTATATGCACTCCGCGTCTTGGCGTCAAGGCGTGGTGGCCGCCACGCGAGCTGTGCCTTCGATATACGGTTGCCAAAAGCGGCCCCTACATCTCCGCCTGCTCTCACGCGGAGCACTTACATGACGCAAGCCCTTGGGTTCAGTGATGTGCGAACAATGAGAGTTAACACTGATTATTTTCTGTTCTTCGCACGTGCGCTGCGAATGATTTTTGGTATGTCACGAACAAACTGGTCAAGACTCGGCGCTAGACTGACACGCGAAAGGTGCGTAATACTGGCGCCAGTTTTTGTGCATCATTTGTATCGTCCTTACAAAAGTTTGATTGAACTTGAGGCATAAAACTTGTCTCGATATATGTAAGAAGACCTAAATCAAGCATACATTGCGGGTCCTCACCTTATTGGTACATATTTATTACAAAATTATGAAGTTGAAATGAGCTGACATCTACATGATCATTCATATTGGATGACTTGATTTTTTGACAAAGTAATTCTTTTCAATCACTCAAGGTTGCTGTGATGAATAAATTCTTGGTGACACCAGATATTATATGCCTTAGTCGACAAGGGCATAAATTAGAGCATGGCATTACAAAATACTGTACCAACTCTTTTATTCTGCCCACTATTTATTAGTTTCTAGGTCTATATTCCGTCACCTTGAAATATTTTTGTAGTCGGCAGCCGACTGAAAAAACGAAAACGTCTTCTGCTTATTTTTTTTGCAATATTTAAGGCCCAAAATTCGGAGATCAATCGGGGTTTCTCATTCAATTAAAATTACGACAGAACCACAAGTATTGTTCGGCAATAGTGATATTTGAGAAATATGACCAGCAAGCTCGTTTCCAAGGTTCTCACTAGTGGGCAAGCCCGCAAAAGCTTTGTGGATATAGCGGAAAGTGCAAGAATAGCTGGAATGTCTCCCCCAGGTGCTGAGAATCCCGACGGTGTATCTCCTCACTTGTCCGAAAATGAGAAATGTGGAAAAGGTGGAGATAAGGAAGACTGTTCTTCTGGTATCTGTGCCGACAACTACGATAATCATCTCCTGATAATATTTGATGACGAAGAAGAAAAAGCAAAGGAACATAAAGAACAATATTGGTGCGTATCAGAAGACATAGTCACAGATCAGCCTTTTATTTCTCTTAATCAAAGAACAAATGAGCCCATAGTTGCGAATGTGTTCATGCAAAGTCGGGATGAAAGACCAAGTATTATATTGGATGAAGAAAATGTAGAGAAGAACCAAACACAAGCTCTTAGCCCTAACCTTCAGCCTTCAGTTGCAGAAATAAAGTTCCTTGATGGGGAAAAGAATCTCAACAGTCCACTCACACCTAGTGCCAAGCTATCTAAATCCCTCTTCAGTTCTGTGGACAAAAAAAAGAAAAGGGATATCTCCTTTGAGGGCATAAATGAATATGAGGCTATTTTGTCTTTGGCTGCGAGAGACTCCGTTGTCGTTGATGACTCAAAAACCAAACATGGGATTTGGAAGAAAAATCCAGAAAACCTCAAGCGTGAAATCAAGGGTTCAAAGTCCAGCTTTCTTAGTTGGTTTCAGAGGCTGAAATCTTCTGACAAGCACTTTGATGGTGATAGTTTGGTGCCAGGCCGTGATCATGTGCACGATTCGTGGAACCCAAACCATGGTCCTGATTTGTATCTCGGCACAATTGACTCGAATGACCTCTTGCGCTTTCAAGAATTGGCGCAGCATACAAAAATCAAATTCAGGTCAAACCAGCCTTTTGAATCTTCAATTGAAACCTTTGAGAGGCCAGTACCACTCTCATGTACTCAGGAACAAGGCAGCCGTATCAATTCTGACGATCTTGAAAGAAAAACAAGCAATAGGTCCTTCGCACATGAAACACCTGGCTTGGAGGCACTTTATTTGACGGATGAAATGTGGCCCATTTTTCATGTGTGTGGTTCAACGAGTTCAAGTAAAAATAGAAAAGCTACTCGCCTGCTAACTCTTCGAGGATCTCTTATTTCCAAACCCATTCCATTATCACTTTTTTGTGATGAAGGGGTTTCTGAAGAGGGTGAATTTGCTGTCACTGAAGATTCTTGTACGGATGGCACCAATTCAGACAGAATGTCATTTGGAAGTGAAATATGGGATCCTCAGAAGATTCCACGTTTTATTAATGGTGACAGCCCTCGTCTGGACCCGAATGGGACTCTCCATGAAGAATCTAAAAATGAACTTGCGAGCTCCCCCCATTGTGCATCCAGAACCAATGACTGCAAAACTAGTGATATTACACAACGCAGGTCGTACAGAACGTTCTTGCGGCCTCTATCATTAGTTCCAAGTTGCTTGAGTATCTCAGGGATTTATGATTCAGATGAATGTCATCAAAATGCACCGCTCGGCTATATCACAGACGAAGGCTTACTTTTGCAACCAATTCGTTGCGACTCTCAGTTTGAGACGCATTCGAATTGTGAAGCAAATTCCTCTGTTTCCAAAGGAGGGTATTTAAAGGAGCTCAAACTTGTCAAAAAAAATCTCTGTGGAAGCCCCAGAGATGTAAAAGAGTGTAATTCGGAACCCACAGTGGATGGAGAACCACAAGTACCTCACGAAGCACAAACTTCTAACTCGCCTGTCAGTCTGCCTGCCCCTTGCAATGATGCCTCTCTGGCTCTATGCATTACAAAGACAGATCAAACCATCCCAAAAGAAGTAATTGAGAAGATGAATCCCGAAGCTTATCAAACAGAAGATTGCTTTAATCATTACACATCAGATCCCATTTCCAAGATCGGGCAATTCTTCCAAAAGAACAAAAATTCTAGGCCAAACACGGATATTAAGACATCAAAAACCCCTTCAGGCGTATGTGATAAGAGACATACATCAGTTAAGCCCTTGTGGATTGCGCTTCAACTTGACTCCGAATGTCGAGAAATGAGATTGAAATTTGTGAGAGGTGAAGATATATATCTTTTCTCGCACGCTTTTCAAGTGCTTCGTGCTACTTTTGAATTTAGCGACAATACACTCGAGCTAGCAAATAATCATGCTTTGGAAAGCAGCGTTGAATCCAATTCTGAGCATGGACTCACACAAGTGAAGACAGAGACCAAAAGACCATTCCTTAAGCCCATAAAAATTACTCGAAAGTTCGTTTCCTTGGATAATTCCAACTCTTCGGAACAATTTGTGGCTCCATTTCATTATAAGAGATTTAGACAATCCGTTTCTGGTCAGGATAAAAGATGCATGGATAAGAAATTATGGGCCAACATTATTTTTTGTCGCCAAAAGGTGGCTGAATTTAGATTGCTACCAGTCTATGATAGCCACACGCAAGCACTTGATAGCTTCCGCGAGTGCTTCAAATTTTGTCGAGAAAATTATGCGGTCGTGGCTAGAAAACAGATCTTGGAGTATGTGACTCACTTGATCGAGACAAGAAACGAGATTTTATCCATTTTCGAACTTTTAGTGGATGTTGGTTATGGATATACCACCCTTCTTGACTTTCTCGTCCATACCCCCGAGTCAACAGAATCTTTGCATGAGGCTCAGAGTCGGTTAACAAAGTTGTTAGCTACACTTACAAGTACTTGTGCCCGCTTGAATGAGGTTCATCTTTCGATTGCATACATGAAAGAAGACTTCACCAGATACGTTAGCACAATGGTCGACCTCGCACAAACTGCTGTTCTCGGGAGAATCGAGAGTACGGACACGTATCAAGATTTTTGTCTGGTGAGCTTGGACATCCTGGCAGACGTCAGCGACTGGCACAAACACTCTCAGTTTGATTTATTCATTAATGAGCTGGAGTTTTTGATGGATCGCATGGAACTCTTTCAAGCATCAACACTCGAGGATGTGTTGAATACGTTACTGAACTCACACAATATTGTTTGTGGAGTCAGAGCAAGCCTAGAACTGAATGTCCTGAAAATCGAATCCGGAATTGCCAGAAGAAAGCGCGAGCAAGCCAATCAAAAAGGTCCCCAAGGTACTTCTGACCATGTTTTGACTCAAAAATTTCATGATACAGCGCCAGTGGCCGCACAAGAAATATTTCTTGTGCCTGAAGGAAATGCACTCAGTTCTTCGGAAGCATATCTGTATCAAGAATATGTGAGCTGTCTCTCGTTGACTGAGTAAGAACCTCACATTAAATTAACAAAAGCATTACATAATTGGAGTGGACCTCTAATTCTAATTACTAAATAACGAATCCATCAATACATTACTTGAAATTAATCGCGGCTGCCCGCAAAACTCTTATGTTGTCGGTTAGCTGAAATATCGTGTGTCTGCGTGGTTTAAATTTCACGATGAGCGAAAAGACTTGGCGAATTTGGAATTCATGACCCAGGGTTCCTCACCAGAATTCGAAGATTTCCGGTCTATGCCTTGCAGTGAACGTGATATTTCCAATGCTTCAATCAAATTTGACTCATTAGGCTATGAGTTTTCTTAAGTGAGGTTGCTTAACAAATGTAGTGATGAGCCGGCATTTTGTTGTGAGCAATCAGGCTATGGTTATGTTATTGACCATTGGACGTGAACTTCGAGCTCGGATGCGTCAATTTTTTTCGAATCCAAAGCCACGAGGCTGATGGAAATTCGGACATAAGCCTTTTTTCGATCACACACAGAAAAAAATTGATCAGTTTGTGACTCGTGATGTAAAAATACGCAATTCTTTGGTATTATTCATTGGGGATAATTTTGGTCATCCATTGCGCGGAACAAAAATAAGAAACCAACATGTAAAATTGGGAAGACCAGCCGGGTGCACGAGGGAAATACTTCATCTGAAATACTCGCCAAGTTCCCAATGAAACAGCTTGAGTTCATTTAACTTTCAGGATTGACAAAATAATCATGACTGACTCGTTTGATCCGTTTCGAAGCAACTAGGCGATACGTGCTGTCTACCTGAAAGAAAACCTGTGACATCATATATATTTTTTAGGTGGCTTGCGTCCTAATCCAGCAATACGCATAAATTGAGCTGCAACATGGAAGAGCCCTTCTGCAGGACTGTTTATTTACGTCATCAAGATAAAAATAGTCAAATGGAACATCATGTAGTGGTGTTAAAAGTCACGAAGAAATCAGCCCATGCAGAGAAGGAAGTTATGCATTTGAAAGAATCCAAACTCATCTTGTCCCATTTCCTTGAGAAACGGTGAACATTTTGCCTTTCGAGTGTGGGGTCGAGCTATGACGAGAACTGATCCCGAAAAAACCTTCGCTTCTTCTCGTCGTAAACCTACGAAGAGCTCACGCGGATGTAACCGCGATGCAGTATGGCGCAATGCGAGAAGCAGATTTCTATAAATAAAGGACTTTCTCTGCCCAATGACGTATTTGAGCCAAAATAGATTTGTTTTTTCTTGGCACTAAAGAAGAAGCTGACATGCATGACATGGGTTGCAATCAATAGCGGACTATATTAAGGTGTAATTCCTGCTCCCATCTATCTTTTCTTCCATTCCTCCATAGAGTATATCATTCCACACTACAAATGCTTGCTTTCACTGCCTTATTGTCTCTCGCTACTTACGTCTTTGCTGACATAACATTTTCTCTCACTGCTAAGGGTGACAACATCAACTCCAATGTTGGTATTGATGGCTCCTACTTGGCCTTGAACAACCAGGCTGCCACCTTCATTTTGCAAACTCCATCTGGCTACCTCACAGCCAATGGAGAAGATGTTGTTCTCACACCAAAAGGTATCATGCTTGGTAGTGAAGACAACCGTTCCAAGGATTTTGGTATTGAGAATGGCATGCTTAGAAGCGGTGATACCAACGATATGTTCGACTTCTACAGGTGCCCAGATGGAACCCTTGCCAACTTCCACTGTACCGATGGTGTTGCCGTCACTTTGTACACTGGTGATGTGACGGAATCCACTTCTACCGCTGTTGAGGAATCTACCTCCACCGCTGCTGAGGAATCTACCTCCACTGTTCCTACTCAAGAAACTTCTTCCTCTAGTGAGGAGGCTTCCTGGTCCTCCACGCAAGCCTGGTCTTCGACTGAGGCGGCCACCACTTCCTCCGTGACCCAAATGCCATCCTACAACAGCACCGTCACTGACACCCACTCGACTTTGGTCACCATCACCTCTTGTCTGGACAATGCCTGCTCCCTGGCTTCTGCGAGTGCCTCCACTTTCGAGGGTGGTGCTGCTCAAGCTAAGTACGCAGCTGGGGCCGTTGCTCTTGCCGGTGCCTTGTTGTTGTAAGGAGCTACTCAAGGCTGCTTTTGAAAGGCAATAGACAACTGATATGCGCTTGACGCTTATATATTGTTAAAATGAAAAGAATCCGTCTCTCCTGTTTTGAAACTGCATTGGCACCTGTAGAGAAAAAGTTTAGGGCTGAGAACCCATGGAACCTCGCGCATGAATGGTGTCCGCTGTCAGGGTGGGGATCCATCTTGTGATTGAGTCGTACAGCAGTGTCTCTAGATTCACCGACGCATGGTATACATAACAGAATTAAATTATTATAAGAATTGAGTTATATTATATATATTATTATATATAAAATTAAGATTATGTTTTAATAAAAGGATTTATTAACATAGTAGCTAGCTAGTTAGCTATCTATCGAATACCCTTCGGGGAATATAATATAAAATATCATTAAAAGGATAGATTTTATTATTACATATACTTTTATTATTCCTCTTATTTTTCCTTTTATTATTTTATCATATATATATTTTGGTGCCAGCTTTATCTCTTGCGTACTAAATCTTTCTGTCCATAATACTGAGAAATGACTGCTAATACCATGTCTACACACAGCTGTGCCGTATGGGAAATTTGAGCTCCCTCAGTAGCCCCTTGGAAAAGCTTTTGTCGCAACTTAAGAGCTTTGACCCCTAGTGCCCTGACAATCGCCATCTCTTGATAATCCATGTCACAATCTAAACGCACAAATGTAGCAAAGATCCAATCTGACAAAGACTCAGGAAGAGAGCCCAGGAGCCATTTGGTGTAGTAGACGATGAGCTTTATGATAGTAGGATGCTCGAGCACGTTTTGGAAAAACTCTTGCGATGGTACCGGTGTAGTAAACACTAGCTGTCTCCAGCTGGCAGCCGACGCTGGAACTGGATAAGATGCGTTTGAAGGATCATCCGGCAAGGTTTGCAAACCACATTCAACAAATTTCTCTTTGGGTTCGGTACTGCAGGATTCAGTGGTACCTGCCTCTCGTTCGGTCAGGCTTGGACTCTCGCTTGCCTCCAGATCAGGTGTATCTTTCACTTCATCTTCAGCTGGATATGGCTCTTCGGAATAACCTGGTTCTTCTGACTCAAAGTCGAGCTCCCCTAGAGATATCGCATGCGTGGTTTCCGGTTGGGCTATGTGAGTTTTCAGTTTCTCTTCATAAAGCCGATCTAGTATTTCTGCCATGTATTCATCTGCGAGTGGCGGTGGCCCGGGTATTTCAGTATCTGGCTGCATTTTTCTTTCTGCTTCTTTTTGGGCTCGGACCACGAAATGACACACCTGATCATGTTCGGCTTCTTTTCTGACCGACGCTAGGTACTCGAAGACCAGTGAATCTTCCTCCGAGGGCGCATCGAGAGGGAACGCCCGGTGCTGGCCAAAAACTTCATCTAGTGGTCCCTGAGTATACAGAGCACGCAGCACCTTTGCCTTTTTTGGCTCATTTTGATTTGCTCCGACAGCTCTCTTGGACATTATAGTCTGGGGTAGGAGACGCATGGTGAGACCGGCATAAAGAGCATCATCTCTCCAAACAAACGGTCATGTGATCCGCATCATGTGACTGTGTTTGACGTGGCTCTGGAAGAATAGCTGGCAGTATACCTAGGACCCTTGAAGCTGACATTCTGTTTGCTTTGAGAAGCTTAGATTTGCAACAAACTGTTTAGATGAAGGAGGGTGAAGGAGTAGGCTAAAAGAAATTCACCGAGTATGATGTTGTAGTGATGCACGTGTCTGTCAATCAGCCCGACACAACTGAACCCAATTCAGCATTCTCTCTATATATCGTATATTTTGATAGATGCCCACTTGCACTTCTCATGTTTTCGCCTCATCCAGCCTGTTTTCGGCCCCAGTTCCCATCTCTTTCTCTGCCCCATTGCCTGCTTCTTCTTCTCCCTTGCTTTCAGCATCTTCTAGCTTCCGCTTTTTCCTCGCAACCACAGGCCCTCTTCGAAGCTTTGTGAGGAGATGCTCGTCGAACTTCGACTTGCACGTGGGACAAATCCCCAGCTCTGGAATGATACTCATGATGCACAAACATACCGAGCACACATAGCCAATGTCCACTGGCTTCCCCAGAATGAAGCAGCTGGCTTTGTAGTCAACGTTCGAGTTGGTGGGCAAAATTACCACCGACCGGAGACACGGCTCAATGAAGTACGCAGTCGAAAGCGTCTGGATGAGGCCCTTGGGCTCCGTGATATGCAAGTACACTCCCTTGGTGGCATCCGCTGCCTGCTGGAGGTACGGGGAGTCTAAGCGGCCAAGCTTGGCCACATCGATCGGCACCTTCATTTTCTGCGCAGCAAAGATCGAGTTCATGATGGCGATGTAGTGCGTGTCGTGGCTATCGCTAGCCGACACTATGAGTATACGGGAGTCCAAGGATGTGGGCAGCACGCTCCCTGCGTGCACCGAGGGCTCTGCAGAGCCCGTTGAGTTCACGGCCGATGTGGTCGAATTGATGGCCGAGGCCGTGGTGGTCAGAATCGACTGGTCAAAATGGAGCATCCTGTTGGTATAGGTGAGGGCCATCAGCAACGCTCCAGATAGGGTGGATACATTCAGAAATTTCAGGTCTCCGCTTCCCGGGGTGGCCAATCGGCGGAGCTCTTCGTTTAGCTCCAGAAGTACAGCCGTGTCCACCAAGCGGAATTGGCGGTACATGCCCTCATTTATAAGCGTCGCTTTAGGCTTTTCAGATCCGCCCTCACTGTTTTCATCCACATCCTCGTAGCGTCGCCCAGTGCTCGGATGAAGGAACCGCGATCCAAACGGCAGGGACGCGATCACGGCCACTTGGTTGCTATTGTTAAGAGCGAGATGGGCATTAAGAAACACTAGAAGCGATTTGACGGTTTCCTGGATCGAAACCTGGGCTCTTATGGCATGCCACGCCGTCGGGCTAAGATCTAGGATCACCGTGAGCAATGAGCAGTTTTCACTCACGTCCTCGGTAACCGGAAGTTCGGCAAATGCACTTTCGGAAATCTTGTCCATTTTCGCCTACGGTTTGATTCCGTATGTTCAGCGGACTCAGATATGCTATTATATCTTGTTGCCTCTCCGGATTCTGAAGCGGTGCACTGCTTTCAAGAGCTAACTGGTAGCCTGCAGCAAAGAGTCGCGAGGCTATAGAAGCTAAAAATGCAGATCCAACGGATTTGAATCTAGATTCGAGGATATTCGAATTTCGATCACTTTATGAAATATGGTCTGGCCCAGTGTTTTTTGGTCTGCCGGGTATTGTATGATATAAGAATCCATCATGACTATAAGAAACAGATTGTGAAACAGAACTTTCCAACCGCGTAGAATATTGATGTTGAAACTGCGAAATGATCAGTAGAAATATAAAGATCACAAGTTGTTCGATATGTAAATCAATTTGCCTAGACTTCGAAAGAATGAGAAAGCAGTAAAGCCCTGACCAGTCCTTCAACTTGATCAGGAGGTCGATTTTTAAGAACACACATGTTGGTTGTTTCACATATTTTTCACAAAAGGGTGTTTACCCCCTCGAAAGGTTTCTACATCGGCAGAACTAAAGACAATTATTCTCCATCCAAGCAGGTACTCTTGACCCCCGCTACATACACTTGAACCTCCCTATCGGCGATTGTAGCTCATCTCATGCTTTATTCTCGTTCACTCATCTATATATGCTATCTGGTCGGCTAAACCGTCCCTTTCTTGCAGTCATGCTTTTCAAAACTTTCTTGAACAGTTTCCTCACTTTCCGATATCTTCAAACCAGTCCTCGGGACGAGCCTTGATGAAGTCAGACATGATCTTCTTACACTCAGGGTCGTCCAAGTTGACTACCTCGATGCCCTTGGACTTGACCAACTCCTCGGCGCCAACAAAGTTCACATTCTCTCCCAAAACTACACGCTTTACCCCATACATTATACATGCACCCGAACACATGTGACATGGCGACAACGTGGTGTACATCGTACAATCCTTGTACAAAGCACCGGGCAATCTGCCCGCATTTTCCAATGTTGAGATTTCTCCATGCAAAGTAGCTGAGTTCTTTTGAATCCGCATGTTGTGGCCCCGACCCAACACTCTTCCATCCTCATGAATGAGGGCCCCTCCGATGGGAATACCGCCCTCTGCTAAACTTTTCCTGGCCTCCTCAAGGGCAATTTGCATTCCCAACTTGTCATCAAACGGCATTTTATAAACTTTTTTTTCTTCGTAGTGAGAGCTCCGGATAATTTCGCAGGTCTTCTCATCTGACAAAGAGAGTACCGCGCCTTCGCTTTCACTTGTATACACGAATAGAGCCGTTCCGCTCCGCGGCAACAATCATGGGGTGGGGATTCGTAACCATGATGAGGTCGGTGATTGTATCGTGGATCGGATTTTGTTTTTGAAGTGTATTATCACGCGTTGATGGAGCAAGTTTTTCGTAACTAATGCTCAACTTCAGATTTATCTGGCTTTTCGTAAATGTAGCGTTTCTCGAATCAAGCAACAGCGTTGACTGACTGATATCAGTCAAATTCCACAAAATGATACGGTTGTCATTTGTGGATGTGGCAATAACTTTGTTTGCATCACTATTTGCACCAGTTTCACTGAAAAAAGCCACAGCAGTGTTGCACTTATTGGGAGCTTGGTCAAAGTCCAAGGTGAAATTGGCCAAGATGCTATCAAGCGACGATTCCTTGGCGAAGTCCAATTTTTGGAGATTGTAATTTTTAAGTGTCGGAATATCTTGGTTGGCACTGAGAACTTCCCTACACTCAAAAGAAGGAATTTCCCAAACCGTTACATCCCGCTCATTTATGCCGCCTATCATTGCAAAATGCTCGTGATCTTCTTTTGAATTCTGTTTCGAGGAATAGGGGAAGAGCACCAACCGCCTGATTTCAGTCGTCTTCTCACCAACCTGATCTGATACAACTTTCCAGGCCTTGAGCAAAATTTCAAACCGGATATCCCACAAGCTTAAAACTCCTTCGCTTGTTCCCAAGAGCAACCACGAACTGGTTTTCGAGATGATAAAAGTGGTTGGAACACCATGTTGCGGCGGATTTTGGAGATCAAAAACTTTGGTGGTCTTAATGATGTCAAAGGCCACGATCTGACATGTGCTTGTTGAAACCACCAAGAGCTCTGTGGAGTTCATTTGAGCAAATGATACTGTTCTGGCAAATCCACTTTCTAGCTTGAAAGCTCGTATCAATGCTAGTTTTGAGTAGTTGAGAATTTTATGGTTTTTACCTCTCGTCACCTGAACTCTGAATAGGCGAATCTGCCCATCAGCCGTAGCCACAGCAAATACGAAGCGATGGGGAATGAAGACAATATCCGTTATCTCCTTACCCAATTCGAGGGATAACACAGCGGTTTTTGCCGAGACAGTCTCCAATTTCGAGGTGTCCCAAACTTTCAAAGCACCAGTTTCTGAGCCACTGACAAAAAATTCCGAAGACGGGCATAGAGCAAGCTTTGTGATAGCCTCTATGGACTTGGATGTGGTGGTTGTGTTAAAATGCGTCACTGGAGTACCTCTTACATAGAAAGCCATATTTTCTTGAGCGTTGTTTACCTTGTTGCTCTTAATAAGAGGGCCAAATTCAGGGAAGTCATCGAACGACGGTCTGAAATCAAGATTTTGTAGGTAGGAAAGAATGTATGGATTTTTACCTGCAAAATTGTGCCGTATGCTAACTGAGATGATTCTTTCATCAGTAGCACATAAAACCTTGTTCGTAGTCATTTGTGAGTTGTTTTTGTTTGATTCGTAATGATGTTGGTCATCACTTTTCGGCTTAAACGCATCATGCGATGGATTAATTTCAGCAAACACGTTTGACTCGTTTGTTTGAAGTGATGCTTTGGCCTTGGCACCGTGCGTAAGAGAAATTGTCCCTGTCATAATCTCAGCAATGCCCCTTTCAGAGACGCTTGTCAGAGGATTGATGCCTGACACAGTTCCTTTTGAGCGGTTCGTCAAAGTCTCGGATTTAAACTTTAGTTCACAAAATATATTCAATGGAGGAATGTTCACGCTAGTTGCAAGCCTAAAATTTGTGTGGTCGCCAGATTCGGTATAGGCCCTTGATCTATTGATTCCTGTCAAGTATGTTCGCAATGTTGAAATCTTCCATAAGTCAGTTTCTTCCATACCAACAGACTTCAATTTGAGAATCCATTGTCTGTCAGTATGAGAAAGAGAAGTGTCCACAATAGGATTTGTCTGGCCTGTTGTAGAAGCGCTGGAAGCTCCGGCATATATAGACTTTCCCATATCTTTCGTATAAGTGACAAGTTTTCTTTTCCCTTGGTTTTTGTAAAACAAAACACTTGTCTGCTTCCAGAATAGAGATTTACCAGAAGACTTAGTGAGCCATGTAAGTGCCATTTCAAAGACTTGTTTAGACAACGGTTTTGTGAGACACGGATATAGTTGGTTCCAAGACAAAACCGAGATATCATAAGTCAAGAACGACTTGATGAGTGGATAAAGAAAACAAAATCTGTCTGCATTCAGTAGATTACTTGAAATAGATAGTATCAAGCAGATCACCGATTGTCTAATCCATTCATTTGGCTGCAACAAAAGCATAGTTGTGTTTGATAGTAGCTCCTTATAGATTGAAAGGGCATTGAATTGGGCCTTGGGATTGATGATCCGCTCACTTACAAAGTAATTGAAGATCTCCAATACTTTCAAGACAATAAATGGCTCGTGATCGCCAAGGGTTTGCACTAACAATGGAAGAAGATACTGCTCGAAAGCCAAAACACCAATAAAGCCTCCAATACTCTTGATGGATGAGAGGAAAGCAAGCCGAAGGTGGAAGCTTGGGTCATTCAAGTAAGTGATCAAATGAGGTAATATTATGTCATTTGTTTTATCGACTCCAAAGTATTGGCACATCGGAAGAATGTTGGATATCAACCTGATGCGGACATTTACATTTGGGTCTGTCAAAAGAGCTTCTGTGATATCCTTGATGTCATTTTCACATCTGATAGAAACAGCTGCGACATTGTGGGAGGCACCATCGGGGCCATCTGTGCCCTGCGTTGTGCATGACGCAAAACCCATGAATCGATCTGAAATCTTCATGAGGTGGGGGAAACATGCGGAAAGCGTTGACTTCACGTGATCGAGATCTTCTCTCATGGAGGAGCTCAAGAAGGCGAGGCTCTTGAGTTTCGGGAAAATATAGTCCGGGAACACGTGAGCGTTGACTGGATTGACGCTGGAGCAGCTCTGCAACAAATTTGTCATAGCTAGAATGGAGATGCTAGCAACCCTGGACGAAAAGTCCGGCGTGTTTGGGAAGCGCGAGGGGTCGGAAGCAACGGCTTGAGGTTCCCGTGAGACTTTGTCGATGAACTCGTCAAGAAAGCTGCATATGAAGGGAAGGGACCGGTCCAACTTGGCCTCGTCCCCGACATGCTCTGACAACGCCAATATGATCTCGCAAGCCTTGACTTTGTTGGACGTGCGTCTGATTGTCCTCACCAAAGAAAACACCGTGTCCAACAATAGCAAGGCTCCCTGGGCACTTTGCACCGAGGCACTCTGAGAAGCAGCTCCGATGGAGTATTCGCGGGGCATTCCCTTGAGACTGAGCTTGAGGTACGGGAAACTGTCGTCTTCCTCACGTCCACGCACGCGGGGCTCGTGATAGACAATGCCAAGCGCAGTGACGATGCTGTCAAACGACGCGTAGATCTTTTCGATGCGCAAGTCGCTGGGGCCGAGGGTGTCATTGTCGGCGTCCGCCGCGTAGTTTTCCGCGGTGTTCAAGTCGGTCATGAAGTCGTACAAGAAATCGTAGAAGAAGGTCGGGAAGAACGAGTCACGGTGGGCGTCCAATATCTGCCGAGCCGACCTGCGCTTGGCGGGGTCGAGCGCAAGCAAGTTCCGTGCCATTTGCTGCACGTCCGGGTCCGAAATGCCCAGCACGATTGGCTCCTGCTCGCCCTTCTTGTACCGGTACAAGTCCGAGAGTGTGAACGGAGGTTCGCCATCCATGTAGAGCTCGGCTATCACGCAGCCAAGCGAGAAGAGGTCCGCCGCGGGCGAGAGGCGCCAGCTGGCGCGGTTTTCGGGGATGTCCGCGTGGCCCGCCTTGCTGTAGAAGCGCTCGGGCGCCACGTAGCACGCCCTGCGGTTGGAGCTGTCGAAGTAGAAGACGTACTCGCTCGGGTTGTCCTCCGGCAAGTACACGGGCTTGGTGTGCGCGGCAAAGTCCGTGAGCACGAGCCAGTTGGAGCTGGACACAAGGAAGTTTTCCGTCTTGAGATCGCCGTGGCACACGTGGAGACGGCCGTGGAGGAGGTCCATGGTCCGGAGCATCTGGAACACGAGCCAGCGTTTTTCGATGGGCGCTAGGAACGGCCGGAGCGAGAGCCGGTCGTAGAGATTGGTGCGCACCATCTGCCGCACCAAGTAGCCCGCGGAGTCGGTCTCGATGATATTCCGCCACACCAACAAGTTGGCGTATGGCGCGAGAAGCGACGCCTCTTTTGCCATCAGCTGCGAGGCCTCGTGGAGCCGCACGGGCGCCTGCGGCGGCTTGATGAAAATCTTGATCACCACAAGCGTGCCGGAGGGGGCGTGGTACGCCTTGATGGTTTTGAGGAACCGCGTGTTGTTCACCACTTCGAGGAACCTGTAGTCTGGGAGCACGTCCACGTACGAGCGGACGGCCACGGTGTGGGCGTGGGGAGCAAGGAGGGAGAGATTCGCACCCATGGCGGGACGGGTCACGTGTGTTTGCGGCGGGGGCCCGTGCAGAGAGACAGGGGTGAGGCGGAGGGCGAAAAGCAGAGGTTGGAGGGGAGGGGTAGGAGGGTAGAGGTAGGAAGGTGGAAGGGCATATGGGAGCAGCTGAGAGGGCCCGATAGCCGGCAGAGAGCGCGCGCATTGTGCAGGCGCGCGCGCCGGGCCCTCTGCCCGCTGCACGGCTGTGCCGTACGGTGGCATATATACCCATAGGCGGGCCGGTGCTGGACTCGGGTTTTCTGTGTGTTTGGGCCCGGCGCTCGGCAGTGGCGCGGGCGTGGTGGTATGGACCTGTCTTGCTATGTCTGTGCGGACACTCCCCGAGCTGGCGCGGGCCAGGCTCCTGCGCCATGCCCCGGCCCCAGTCGCTGGAGTGATTGTTCCAGTCGCCATTCTCTCGTGCAGTTCTTCTGGGAGTCCGTGGTGGGATTTTTCGACCAATCTGTGGACACTCTTCGGTAGTCTGCGGTGCAACTTTTCTGTCATTCTGTAGCACCATTCGGCTACCAGTCTCTGGTGCAACTCCTCTGTCAGTCTCTGGTGCAATTCCTGTCAGTCTCTCCTGCAAATCTTCTACCAGTCTCTGGTGCAAATCTTCTACCAGTCTCTGGTGCAGCTTTTCTGTCAGTCTCTGGTGCACCTCCTCTGCCAGTCTCTCCTGCAACTACTCTGCCAGTCTCTCCTGCAAATCTTCTACCAGTCTCTGGTGCAACTCCTCTACCAGTCTCTGGTGCAACTCCTCTACCAGGCTCTTCTGCAACTCCTCTACCAGGCTCTTCTGCAACTCTTCTACCATATCTCCCTCAACTCTCCTGCCAGTCTCTCCTACAACTTGACAATTTCCGGTGATCCTGCTCCCAGCAGTGCCACCGCACACACGCCCGCTGGCAGGCCACGGCCACGGCCAACACGCTACAAGTGCCTGTGGCGCGAGTCCACGTCGTCGTCGGAAATGTCAAAAGAGTCGATTCTGCGCAAGCCCACGGTCTCCTCGCTGTCGTACTCGGCCCGCGAGAGCTGCATGGACCTGCGCACGGACGAGAAGCCGCCCACGCCGTTGTCCATGGGCCCCATGTCCTTGCCGGCGTGCAGGCCGAAGATCTCCTTGTCGTGGGGCTCGGGCGTCTTGCGTGAGATGTTGAGCAAGTACACGCCGGAGAAGATGATGAGGAAGCCGATCAACAACGAGATGATGTTGATGGCCGACGTGGTGTTGAAGCCCTGGAAAAGCACGAACGACGCGGCGAGCGTGCAGGTGGTGAAGGTCACGTAGTACAACGGGTTGACGAGGGACGTGTCGAACTGGTCCAAGGCCTTGTTGAAGTAGTTCATCTGCGTGACGATGCACACGCACACGATCACGATGAACACGTACGTGGACGCGTGGGAAAACTGGTTGTTGCCGGCAAACGTCAACTTCAACGCAATGCCGAACGCCTTGATGGCCATCACGGAAATCAGGCCCACGCTGGAGCAGATCGAGATGTAGATCATCGGGTTCGTGTGCCCGTATTTCGGCACGATCTTGTAGATCGTGAAGAGCGAGTACACGGTCACCACGAACGCGTAGAAAAGAAACCCGGGCCGCGTGGCGTACGTGAGGATCTCGTCCACCGTCTCGATCTCCTTGTCTGGCGGCGCGTGGAGCACGATGATTACCGAGCCCATGAGGCAGATGGCACAGCCCATTTTGCCCAACGTGCCGAGCTCCTCCTTCAAGAAAAGCGCGGCGAGAACGGCGCCGATGATCACGGACAACGCGCCCAACGGCGTGACCAAGATGGCCGGCGCAAATGTGTATGCGGCGAAGTTGGCCACCTCGCCGATGGCCATGGTGAGGATGCCCGCCCACCAGATGGGGTTCTGCAAGTACTGGTGGCCCGTGGCATTGTCGGAGCCCAAGCGGGACGACGTGTCCATGAGGCCCTTTTTGGTGATGATGAACGACGTGCCAATCGCTAACGACGACGACATGGCAAGCGCAAGCCCGATGTATTTGTCAGCGACCATGCTGTGAGGAGGTGGCGTTATGGGGGTTTGTGGGTGGAGCAGCCAGATCTGGAATCCTCGTGTTCTGTTGACCGTGCACACGTCCGCGCGCCGGTTTGCATGCGCGGCGTGGGGCCGCAATGGCTGGGTAATAATATTCTTTTTTTTTATTGAACGGGGCGGTGGGCTTACATTCGCGGGTTTTGGGGCTTGGGGTTCATTGGCGGGGCTATGCGGAAGGACGCGGCCCGGGTGCGCTGGAACATGAACGGCCGTCGGCGAAATGGCCGCTTATGCCGGGAATGCTGAGGTCGAGAGACGTAGATGGGACTAGCGGGTGCCAGTTCAATCTGCAGAGGCGGGAGCGCTGGGCCGAAACAGTGAGCCGTAGACAGCAGGAAGAACACGTGGGATGGATGTATGAAGCGGGGTTGATTTGGGGTTTGGTTTGGGAATTTGGGGACTTGGGAAGTTGGCGATTTGGCGATTTGGCGATTTGGCGATTTGGCAATTTGGGGTTGATCTGGAGGCCCAGCAAGCTTGGTGGCTCAGGCAATCTCTGTAGTGCTCTGGTGCTGGCTTATTAGCTTATTCGTAGTGAAACAGCCCGCTTGCTCAAAGTCCTGCGTGGGGCACATGGTTTTATTCCACTGGCTGTTTAATCAGGTGCGAGGTTGTCTTTTTTCCGTGGGCCTTGTTCTGATAGACCAATATACTCATTCGGAAAACTGGCTTTTCCACTAACTTGATCTGGTTCCCGGATCTTGATACGGTCTTGTCTCATCGTTGCTCCCGGGATCGACGACGGCACAGGTAAGTATTGGACCGAGGACAATGGGGCACTTTTGAGCTACAGACGAACGCACCCAGAGGCGAGATGGCCATGGCATCAACAGATTGATCCGAGGGCCCAAATCCAGGGCTTGCTCCCATAGCCTACCAAGGCCCAAAATTATAACCAAACTACATCAATGCTCTCAGTATACCTTTCTCGCATTTCAGCGTCTGCTTTGCCCTGCCCAATTCCCTTGATTCAATATGGACAACCTGTCGCAGAAATGCCACCTTTAAAAGCATTACCCTAGAGATTGGTAGGAATCATTACACGTCTGGGTGTCTTCATTTTAGAAATGCATCCCCGGCGTGGCCCTAATCTTTCCTAGTCGTTCACACCAAAACTTCTTTCGTTGAAGCAAGTTGCAAAAAGATTGCAGCACCACAATTTCGCATATGATCTCCCACTACACTACTCAGTGTGGCCCTAGGCAGCTTAACTAACGTTGATCGGACGGGAAACAGTGCTTCCTGCATGGTATGGCCGCAACCGATAAATCTCCATGGAGGTGCAATATAAAGTGTAAAAGCAAATTTGTCTTTGCTTCGTTGCTCAAACCTAGGAAATTGCATCACGTAAGGCCTGAAATTTTTCATTAAAATCAAGTGTCTACGCTTGGTCGCTTACATAAGTCCACTACAACCATCTGAATAGTTTTGCCCCTTTAATCAGATGAATCTACCAAAAAAAAAAAAAAGCGAATACTACAGGAGGCCTATCCTAGGAGTCGATGACGTAATATTCAATACGTAATTAGATACGGGCCATGAGGACCGTCCAGGCCGTGACTAACGAAAATAAAAGGGTTAACTTTCGTTGATTTTATTCAAGTGGTTGACATTGAGATTGGGTAGAAGTCTTTCTGAGGGGGTCACCTCCTCTTTGGGATATTCCGTGAATTGGTGCTCGCGCCTTCTCACCTGAGCCAATGTTACGATCTACTACAGGTTTTTTTACAGCTTTGCTCCTTTGTTCAGATTGATCTTCCAAAAAAAAAGCCAATTAATCATGATGTTAAGGTGTGACGGAGTTGCGGGGATGGTCGGAACGCTGCGTGTTTGCTGACGTCTCGTCGCTCGATTCTTTCAGTACACTGAGGTCATGGACTGACTTGTGTAATATATATTTGTATACTAGTATATTGGTAATGAAAGTTATTATTCTAGAAAAAAAAAAGAATCAATGAAAGGCTGGGTGTCGGGAGAATTGTCAAGTCAGTTCTAAACGGAATGGTACTGGCCGCATTTCGACAAAAGTAGGGGTACGTACTTTTTGAGCTCTTATACATGTTAATAATTTGTATTTTCTCTCCTATATTTCAAAGGAAATATAATGTACGTACCTTCACAAGTTGCTAATGTATATATCTGGAAGATGCGGAAAGTGCTTTATACATCATTTCATAGTCTTGTTCCTACAATCAGATGAGTCCAACAAAATAAGTCCTAGGAAGGCTTATAAAGTCAGGCTCCAGATAATGGCGATAGAAACTTCATTACCTATACTAGTCACGAGTCTTTCGGGAATATTCTGTGAGCCATGACAGTTGACACGTAGTCGATGTATATTCTGGTCAAAGATTCTTCGAGGGAGTCACTTTTTCTGGAAGAATCTTGAGATAGCGGGCACATGCTTGCGTGATTTAAGTATCAATATATTTTCTGTGTACACTTTTTCTTTTCTTTTTGAAGGTTTTAGCTTTGATTGTGTATGAGACTCACGTAGTCATCTGGCAAAGATATTTTTTTTTATTTCAAAGAAACAAAAGGGCCGAAGGGCTACAAACAGCTTTAATTTAAATGAATATTAAGGAACAACAAGGGCCAGCGATATTGTGACTTAATATGAAATTCTCATAGCAAACACTAGTATCAGGTTGTGTATTCCGTACTATGTGTCCATTCCGTAACATGTGTCCATTCATATGCGTCACGATATTCTTTGTTTTTGAACAGAAGTACCAACTTTCAGAGTATCACTCTCGCACTCTTTTGATCTGCCTCCGCCAAAGTGAATTTGGTTTCCGGTCTCTTGCTGAAAGTTCTACGTTTCCGGTCTTGTATTTGCCATCCCGAGTCTCAAGTATCACTCCCGGATATATGAGAAATCCCGCTGCAAGTCTCGAAATGCTTAGCGTACATAATTTGATCCTCTTTAAGAGTTTAATGGAAATTCCGGGTAAGGCTCGAATAACGCTTATAACTCAGATCCAGAACAATTTCCAGAACAGCACTCACCGCTGGTTTCTCAGCATGTATTCTGAAGTAGCCTTAACTGAAACTCAGAACTTGCAAGCTCCGCAAAAACCAAGTCCAAGAGTGAGTACTTTCTTATGCTGTCTTTTTTAGCGCAACTTATGCTGTCTTTTTTAGCGCAACTTATGCTGTCTTTTTTAGCGCAACTTATGATTATCGTCCCCTCGATGTCCTCCAAAAACAGGAAAGGACACTAGAAATAGTGGATCTGCTAGCCAGATGTGCAATATAAATCACCAGATGCATAACTTTGGTAGATGTTTTACTCATAGTCTGGGTAAGTAAGCCTGTTCAAGTTCTTTTGCAAGCATTTCTACGCGTCCTACGTTGAGCTTTCCAGCCAGATTCCTCTGGCTTTGCGACAAGAAGTAGAGAGTTTTATATTTCATTTGTTTTTACTTGACAGGGCTTGGCTTTGTAAAATTTGAACATCATATTCCACAACTAATACTGGTTTCAAAATAGGAACACAAGCCGTGTAGCCACGCTTGGAGTCTAACGCAAGGGGAAGAGCAATATCAGTTTAAGTGGCGCCATCAAAAATTCCTGAATAAATATCGTCGGTAGCTGAAGAACATGCAAAGCTTCTTCCGATCTTTACTTTGCCTGTTATAGAAACGGAACCAGAGGCGCAGAGGCGAGAGGCTACAGGAATGGATTTGGAATAAGTGTTTCCAGCGTGACCCCGACCTGCCGCGCTAGTCCACAACGAAACAGAGTTGGCAAGTTTTGAAGAGTCTCCATCAGCTTGAAATGTTGCTAAGATTATGGTAGAAAATCCCTCGGACACTGAAGATCCCAAAAAAAAAGCTTGAATAGCTGTGACCGCTGATTTTTCAAATGTAATCAATGAGCCTGAATTAGTAGGACACTTACACCAAGGTGCTTTGTTGAATTGAGTTATTTAAAAACATTTTACGAGTGAGCTGGCCTACTCGCGTTTATATGGGATATATGGGTTTTTGCGTCGCTGATGGCTGCAAAGTTTTGCTTTCTATCTGTGGGTTTGAAACTACAGTGTGCGGGAGCATCCAGAATAGGGCAATTAAATCGAGCTACTTGATAAATGGCTTAGGGCTAATCGAGAAATTTGGTAGAGAAGTTGAGATTTTCGAAGTCACAATCTGCCTGATATATTTGCAATACAATTACTTTGCCATCCAGATCTTGTGAAATAGTTTATTGCGAAAAGCAATATCAGACATAAGGTTTCGTCCCGTGTCAGCATGAATTGGAGGCTTTGATAGATCTGCGATAAAAAGATTTTTTCCCAGATGCTGAAGTCACACCATCTAGTCCGAGTTTCCTGGTTTGGAAGCTTATGGTGACGGTCTATTTTTCAAGTTCTTTGCCCAGGACGTTCCTCAAGCGAAAACTAGACTCAAAAGTTTCCAAATTCACTGCGTTATTAAGTAATAAGACTTTAGCCTGAAAACATGATCTTCTTTGAGAACTTGCCATTTTTGATTTAAATGTGGTTCAACGTTTGGAAGTCTCTGAGGGCCACGTGGAAACGAATTTCGTGGGGTTGATTACGTCAGAGCCCACGGGTCTTTGTTTCTATAATGCACATTCTCAAGTAAGGCTTTCCCCTTGTGTTTTAGAAAGGGGCAGAGATAACGTTCCAAAAAAAGGTATTGCTTGGAGTTTTAGTTGGAAAGCTTGAATCAGAGGATTTTTGGGGACGTTTTGGTCTCACGCACCCAGCCCTATTGTATGGCTGAAAGATACTTTTTCAACTACACAAAAACACCATCGACTCCAATAGACAGTAATATGTTCTTCTATCTCAAAAGATGTAAGTATACATACACTGTACGAAAGTTGACCACAGCAGCCTTGAGTGTGGACTTATCATATTCAGTAGGATTGTTACTCGAAAAGTGTTTATTGATGGAAGCAAGCTTCGGGCGAAACGCTTTATATATAATTATGTTGCAAACAGCCTGCATTATTTCATCGAGGCAGAATCTCAAGAATTGATCGGGGGAAAGAAACGCATCCGCCAAAATTATGAAAGAAAAAAACAGTGTGTTTCAAATCCAGTCCCGAGAGATAGGAACTCTCCGGTGAGTTTGAAAGACGAGAATTAAACATCATCAGCCGGCCCCAAAGACAGGCTGATTTATAAGCTAAAGCCTAGGAAGCACTTTTCTTGCTCTTCAGGATTTCTCTCGAGCTTCTCAAGAACGACCGAATAGTCTTCGGAAAGTCCCCGGTCTCTTTTGCTTGTCTGGGCCACTTTTCTTGCGTGTGTTCATGTTATCATTGTCCAACTTCTTGTTGATGGCGCCACAAACAGCCTTCAAAAGATACTTTCCGTCGAAGCCTCGGCCGTCGACTCTATGTTCCAACCAGGGCACGGTATCGACAATGTCACGCGAGAGATCAGAAAGATTGTCATCCAAGTATTCGAGGTGTTTCTTCGCTTTGATATCGGCGCCAATCTGCACAAATTGGATTCCAAAAGAGTTGGCAAGGGCGTTCTTCTTCTCTAAGTTCTTTACGATCCACCGCACCACGGTCTCGACATCATCCGTGAACTCGCCGTCTGTGATGGCGATGATATTCACGGGTTTTGTCTGAATGGGGTCAAAATCCTTGAAATATTCATAGGCAATCTGCTGGAGCTTGCGGCCCATGTTTGTCAGTCCCGAGGGAGGCGCACTGTCAAACGCATGTGCTATTTCGTCTGGCGTGCATCCCTTAAGGCCTTGTGGCCTATTGATGAAATATATATCCTGGCCGTCGTCGTCCCATTCGGCACACAAATTGCTGAAGGACACCAAGGCGTCACGTGCACTGGGCCATGGCACGATGCCAGAGATTTTTTCCCGCCATGCCATCAGGCTGCTGTCATCTACAAGGTACACAATATCGTAGCCTTTGAGGGCACTTAATTGGGACTCGGGAATCAGGCTGGTGGTGACCGCCCGAGGCACGTTGCGAACAGGCGCAGATTTGGAAGCCAGCTTGTCATTTACTGGAGAGTATGGTGGAGGTTGATGTACAGACATTTCTTGTTTTCAGCTGTTTAATCGATGAGGTGGAGAGAGGCTTGATTGAGCATTTTCAGGTTGCCTCCGCATTTTTTGGACCAAGTGCGCACTGCCCGGAGACCTGGAGAACGATGACATCATGCAGATAGCCGGGTTATGAGCTTGGGTGCAGAAGCTGGCGTGGGTGGGCCTCAGGTGGGATTTCAGGAAAAGACGGGGCAGATTTAATGATGTGAAATTGGGCGGTTTAAAAACGTCAGTGGGATACTTTTTTCATGTCCTTCCTGCCCCATTCCTGGCCCTGCTCAGTGCGTGCGTATTTATTAGCCACCTGGCTCTTGGAGACGAGGCCACTTCAATTGCGGGAACTCATCTCCCGGACGTTGCCAGAAAAAAAGAAACGTTCGGCTCCATGAAAGAGCTCATTTCGACAGGTGGGGAATCCGGATTTAAAAGGCATTGAGAAGAGAAAAACGGTGCGGTCCATATAGGGTATATGCTTATGGTTTTCAAGGCTGCCACCATGCCAAGAAGGCTGAGGATAGAGGCTGAAAGACAAGACCACCCCTGAGGGAGACATTTTTTGTTGGCGTTTGTTCCCTCTATTTTGCCATATTGCTTGCCTAAGGGAACTGATCAAGGGAACCATGTCCTTGAGAATTGAGTCGTGCATACAACAAGTCGGACCACGACCTGTATTCACAAACGAGCAAATACTCACAAGCACTGCTTTCTTCGGAGGCGTCTATCAAAAAATCATGGTATTTACTCTTCGCAGGCTCCGCACTCCCGTCACGGCGTTTAAGACCAGCTTTTTTGTGAAAAATTTTAGACGAAGCTAGCACGAGAAGACCAAAGTATGAGAAGGAATGAAAAGGAAAAATTACGGAACTGAGATAACTAAGAAGTGAAGGCAAGATGAACATACATATCCCCGCAGTCACGGTCAAAAAGCTTATCGTAGCCAGGTATCCTGCATGGCAGGGAGCGAAGCCGCAGTCTAGTCTTGGGGCGTATGACGGCACGCGTGTCATGGCAAATTAACGTCAAGCTCTAGGCACAAGACAACCAAAGAAAGAGAACAGCAAGAACAGCCATGTTGCCAAAAAGAGGCAGACAATAACGTACAACATTGACATCAGAGAATGAGCAAACACTGAAATATAAAGAACACTAATTTCAAAAGCCCGTGAGCAAACATGGCACAAGGCAAGCCCAAGCAATTAGGACAACGCGTCATTTCCCTATCCCCTCCCAGAAACCCACCAGCTAATTTGGGGCCTAGCGTCTCCGCCCATATTAAACGCGCGGCGCACCCCTCGCACATTTCTTTCGCGTAAGATATCACGTTCGCTCCCCACTCCCCGCCACTGCAACTGTCTACTTCTTTCTTCCACAAACTCCGGTAAAAACACACGAACGAGCGAAAGCAAAACACTGAGATTCCGTAGTTACTCCTGGAAACCGCGCCTACTTTCAACACGGTTGCCTGTACATCAGTCTTTTTCTGCCGCAGAATCCCGTTTGGCCTCGCTTATTCTGAGCCAGCAATTAGACGCCATCCGGAATCCACGACCTCTTATCGCGAACAGCAGCGCTTATCGGCCCACGGCTACAGACCCATAATTTCGACAAGCCCGGCGCCAGGATTGCAACCTGAACACCCAGCAAAAAATAACAAAACAAATTGCAGCAACATCACCACTGTGACTTTGTAAAAATCAAACGCCTAAAAAAAATGGCCCGAGACCCAGCTCGCTCGTCCGAATCCCCGGCGTCCTTCCGCAGGCTTCTCTCGTCACACCACTCGATCTACAACACCCTCACTGACCCTCTTCTCGAATGCACACTGCCCCCACTTGGCGCATCCAGAGGCCCCTTTCCAAAAAGCCTTCTGAGAACTGTGTCGCGTATGGACGACGACCTGGACGAGCGCCTGGTGCCGCTGGAAATCCGGGCCCCGCCGCTAGACGATCCGTTGGCATCTTTTCTGTCGTGGCAGTCCATCAATATATCGCTGTTCCACGACATCACAAGACTGGTGCGGCTCTCGTCGCCGCTTGCGTGCAGCCAGTCTCGGCCCGCCAGCGCTTCCATCTTGTCCAACTCCACCGACGAAGACGCGCAGGCAGAGTCGCTTGTTCTTGTGCCGTCGCTCAAACAGCACGTGTCGCCGCTGGTCTTGCTCTTCGAGACCGACGAGGAAGACGGCGCTGATGAAGAGGCCCCTTTTGCAGAGAGCCCCGTTTCAGGCAAGCTGCGTCGGCTCGAGGACAGGCCCCCCATCTCTTCCAGCACCTCGCAGAGACAAACTTCTGTCGGGTCGGACCGTCTGCAGACGTTCATCATGCCCAGGATGCTGCTCTCCGACGAGATTGGGTCGGCACGGCTCACAATTGTTAGCTCGGCCAGCGTAGCCTTGGACGGTGAGATACAGGGGTTGGCAGCATACGTTCAACACAGCCTGCCCATCGCGTCCTCGCGCTTGACCATCTCCCGTGTATCGCTTGAAAGGGCACCCTTGCTTGAGGAGATTTTAATGACCCGCAACTCGGATATGGTGCTCGTCATCAATGACGGGTGCACGTGGCTCTCTGTCCTCACGAAATCGGTTGTGGATTTATCTGGCAAAGGCACCTTACCTGCATTTACTGTGGTGAACCTCTTGACATCAGACTACTTCGCCAGCCTTTTTGATATCATAAGCAGCCTCAGACCCGCCCAAGTAATCAAGTCTCCGTCTTTGAGCAACAAGACTTTCTTGGAACGGGTGCGGGGTATCGTTGAAAAGGAGTTGAATCGACGCAAATCTCACTCAAATTGCGCCAAAGCAACTCCGAAAACTCATGAAGCCAACATGGATTCACATCACTCGTTTGTCTTGAGTTCATCCGCCATAAAGACTGACTACAGACATATGGAGAAGAAGATACGCCACGAGATGGTTTTCGCACCCGAGTATCATGCCGTTGATCCATTACAAATTACCTCTGGCTTGGGGCATTTAAATGTCTTGATAGGTTCTTTGAATGCTTACTTCGTCTGCGGCTCATGTGGCAGTACATCTGAGAAATCCTCCTCGGCGAATCGCGAAACTTTATGGATTGTTTGTACTTTTTCACTTGGAATTGGGTTAGGTTTTACTTTGAGCGCATTGCAGGTATTCAAAGCAATGAAGGCCACGTTGTTTCTGGATGCCTCACCAAACCCAGTCGCTGTGAAACATCCCAACTATGAATTGAGTTTCCACACGATTTCGGACGCATTCACTGGTTTATTTGATCAAATGGGAACTCGCATCAACGACATGCTGCAAAACGTGTTACGTAAATGCTCGAGCAGTGGGATATTGAGTGAGGGCCAGTTCGAGGCTTTTTTGCATGAGTCCAAATCAACGGGCAGTGCTGCAATCCACTCTGCTGCGAACGGGTACTACAAAATCAAAGCTCTTATACACGGATGGACTGAGTGAGCCGGTTGATTGATATCCCTTAATACATCGTGGGTGAAGTCAAACCAGTGGCATCTATTCCTGCTTAATGGGTGGTGAAGAGCCGGTGGCCAATTTGCTTACCACGCGATTGGTCGGGTCTATCGGTAGATTTACAAATCAAGGGATCTTCTCAAGCAAAGTTTTGGCGACCAAAGAGCCCTATGTTGCGGGTCGGCATTGGGCAGCTCTTTTGTAAAAACCCCAAGCTACAATTGGCCTTATTTAGTGAATGAAGATCGGAATTCGCATATATACAGGTGCCGTTCAGCTGGTCATGAAGCTCACATTTTTGTAGAAGTCCAACATGGGGTTGTCGCCCTTCTTGGTAGTGGTTGCCTCGATATCAGCCCACTGGTGGAGGAAGTCGCGGTGCAGCTCGACCTTGGCCAACTTGCCCGTGCACTTCCTATACAAATCACAGGCAAGACTGAAGTCGGTGGGGAACATGATGTCAAAGTAGCCCTGGTGGCACAAGTGCGTGGACACGTCGACCATTTTGTCCTGGATCACCGTCTGGACCACGGGCGCATTGTAATAGCCCGGAATGGCGTTTGTCAAGCTGTGGAAGTCTGAGCAGATCAAGGAATGGTTGGGGAAGCGGTACTTGAGGATCTGGAAAAATTGCAAGAGCCTTGTTGGGATGAACTCGCCTGGGCTCAAGTTGTCCTTCAAGGGGAAGAGCCGGTTGGCCCACGCCAACTTGCGTGTGGAGTGAAGGAGCGGGTGGATCTTGTCCTTGTCGGTGACAAAAGGCACCACGCTCTGCAACCTCTTGAGGGTGCCCTGGAAACTGTCCACTTGCGGCAAGATGGGGAAGTCGCCGTTCTCCCGCAACTGCAAGAAGGCCTCGGTGTAGTGGCTCAATTGCGGCGTGTAGAACTGGTAAAAGTCGCCCTCGCTGTCAATGAGCACATGGCCCTCGTAGGGCTCGCCGGTGGAGATGTCGTAGCGCACCACGTCGTGCGCAAAGTTGTCGAAGACCTCCAAGGCAATGAAGAAGCACGGCTGGTCGACGGTGTTGTCCCACTTGAAGATGGACTTGTTGATGATCTCTAGCTTGCGCGAGTCCAAGCCGCGCGAGACCAAGCGTTCCGTGAGCGCCTGCGAAAACTGCTTGGCCGCCAACTGCGACGAGATCTCGATGATCTTGTACTGCGTGCGCGTGTAGATGTCCGGCTCGGTGGCCTTGATGTAGCTCATGATGTTGCACATCAACGTGCCGTTCCCGCCTCCCATCTCGTAGATGACCAAGTCCTCGTACGGGTAGCAGCCGTTGAGCTTGTAGTTGACGATGATGTGGCGCGCCAAGGCCTCGCCGTAGTAGGGCGAGAAGAGCTCGGTCGGCGTGTGCCACAACTGGAGCGACTTCTGGGACTCCGGACGGCCGGCGGCCACGACGTCCTGCGTGCGCACGATCTTGGCGTACTTGGCCATCCGCGAGTCCGTGGGCTTGGGGGAAAGCAGGGGCTCCTTGTCGAAAACGGCAAGCTGCGTCGCCGCCGGGTCGCCGGCCGCGTGCTCCGAGAACCCCGGGGCGGCGGGGCCCGCGTCGTAGCGCGAGTACGCGTTCTTCCACTCGTCCATGAACTGGTCCACGTCCTGGATGTTGTTGTAGTCAAACGGCGTGTCGTTGTGGAAGATCTCCACCTCCTTGGAAAAGTACCCGTAGTGCGGGTTGTATAGCGAGTCCTCGATAAAGTCCGACACGAGCATCTTGGTCTTGCGGGGCCGGTGCCTGGCCCGCGCCATCCGCGCCGAGTTGGTCTGCGGGTACCGGTCGAAAACCTCCTGTGGCCGCTGGTCCTGGAACGGGTAGTTGGTGGCACCCCGGAACATCCTGTCCAAGATGTTCACCGAGGCCCCTGCTGCCTGGAGCGGGTGGGCCGGGGGCTCCGTTTGTGCGGGCCCGGCCGCGCCGTTGATGCTCCGCAAACGTCCCGAAAGGGCCCCGGGCCGCAGCACTTGCACGTCGTGGTTGGCCTTGAACGCAAAAGTCTCGGGCGTGATGGAGTACTCGTGGTGCCGCGTGTCGTGTTCCTCCTTCAACGGGCCCTTGGCGAGCCTCTGGAAAAGCCCCCGCTTGAGAGTCGCGTGCCTGCCCTGTCGAAGCATGTTGTCCTGGCGGAAGTCGCTGGGCGTTGGTGCGTGAGAACTCTGGGGCGGTTTGTTCTGAGATGGCCCGTATGGATGGGCGCACCGTGCGAATCTGCAAGCCTGTGAGCAAGGCCGGCGAGCGGGCCCGAAAATTCGGCACGGCGCCTGCTGCCCGCGGATCGGCGTATACTCACTGCTGTGCTGGCGGAAATGACAAAAAGAGCGTCTGGCGGGTCCAAGCGGCTTTTCCGTGGGGTGGGCCGAAACAGCACGTGCGGGCGCTGGAGCCCGTGGTGCCTGGTGGCCCGGGCACTGGCTTCTGCTGGCTCTACATATCGGGCCCGGTGCAATTGCAAGCGCCCTCGTCACGGCTTCGAACCTGCCAGCCGCCAGCGGGTCTACTCCACTTTCTACTCCACTTCCTGCCCCCGTATGGGTGGCCCAGCACTGCATCCAATGCCCAGTCGGGACAGCAAAGACGGGCCCGTTCATCGGTGGGGTTCATTGTCTTACTTAGTCTCGCTACAGCATGACACCGCGGAGCGGGGTAGTATACTTGAACCATGTGGTGACAATAAATCTATCACGCTTAACATCAAAGTCGATTTGATACTTTGCTTCTCAAACGATAATGTGATACTAATAAACTTGAACCTATTGCTGATTCTGCTCCTGCTGACAGTATTATACATGATGGATTTATTGTTGTATATCATCACAATTACCAGAGAAATATTTTTTTACTGATGCTGTGAATAATAGCACTTCTATTTTCATCCATAATGATTAGATCCCTTTTCTGGTTTAGTATATTAGCTTTATATATTAGTTCTATTTAATAAACTATTATACACTCCCTCGCGTATGATATCACTTATAATCATGAAAGAACTAGAATATTTATATACCCAGCTTGCTGGGGATTCTCCAGGTCATTTTTATTAATATATGTCTTTTGGCTACTATTAGTATAGCCCATGAATGATGTTGCTATTGTTGATATAAATATCGTTACTCCTATTGTTCATACTAGTGTACGAGCTCAATAACCTCCATAATACAAAGCTATAGCTATATGTAGATATAACAAACGAAGAAGAAAGATGCGCCGTTAGCATGGATATATCTTATTAATCATCCTGCAATTACAGTAGGGTAGCTCTTGTCTGATACTGCCCTCCAAACCGTACGTCATAGTTTCCCATCATACGGCTTTCCATGGTTGACTGATCTCTTAGTTGAAATATATGTATATTATACTTGAATCCTTTTCTTACTATTTGTTACACCTATATCCATAGTTGAAAAGCATTACTGAGATATAAATCTAGCAATGAGTTCTAGATATTACCACCCCATCTCCAACTTTGTTAGGTTTAACCACCGAAGGCGGTTAGGGGTAATTACCTTCAATATCCATGGGATGGTATTTATCATTAGGAGATATGATGAAATTAGATTCATCTAATCATTTATGATTTATATCTGCTATTTTTCTATATTCTCAGTAATTAAGATTAAATTAAATTGATTTCTAAGTGATTTTTTATGATGGAAGTTACACAAAAGGATTTGTTTATGGTTCATAATAACTATTTAGAAATAGTTTGACCTTCAACTTACAATATACTACGTATGTTAGCAACTTTTCCAAGGTGATGCATTTCTATAATATGTGTTGAACCACATACAGTACATGCTTGACCAAAACAAGTTTGTTGTGAATTAGATCCTCAATCAGAGTTTGTGATAATATCTAGCATATCCCCGGCTACGCCGGGGATAGCCCTCCGGAAGGTATATTGGAATCTATTTTATGGGTTTTAAGCTAGTTAATAACTTCAAATGTAGTTGATTCATAAAAAGTTAATTGTATATCTGAATTTATAAAATCGAAACCAATTTTTTTAAAGCTTGTCTCATCGTTTTTGATTTATAATTATGTGCTGAATACAGGATTTTTTTAAAGCTTGTCTCATCGTTTTTGATTTATAATTATCTGCTGAATATATGTAAGACCACAGGATGCTCGAAGTAATTAAACAATGTACCCAAGTTTGGGACGATTTGATGCAAATGAATAGTAATTAACAATACCATTTACCCCTGAGTTATATCATCTTGATGTATGCTAATGAGAGTGTTTGAATAAAGTAGTTCTACTTTAAAAAAACCATATCAAGTTGGTTCTTTTACTTAACCCATTTTTCTTTGGTTTTTCAACTAGTTCTTTGATAGGTGCTTTAACTAGAGACTATGTGCTTGTTTCCAAGTATTTAACCCTTTATCTAATCTTTTGTATGGTTATTAAACATTGAAGCTCCTAAAAAATTTATAGTGTTTTCTCATAGATATAATTAGTGTTTTGTCTCTATTAAGAGTTAAACCACAAGTTTCTAATAGTAAATTAGTTGTATTTTCTCTTATTTCAATACATTCTGCATGTGTTGAGGTTGCTAAAATTACAAAGTCTTCGGCATAACGAACATAAAACATTCTTCTAAATGAGGAATCCATGTTGTCATAACCATTAATTTTACGCATTTTAACTAAATATTGTATTGCAAGTGAATATTTTTTATTCTCGATAGCTTTTTTACGTTAGTATTGTAATTTAACATTTTCGGGATTATGTTTTTGTAATTTACCTTTGTCGAAATTTTTAATATAATCTTCTATATATGTATCATATAAATCTAAGACTATGTTAGCTAAAATGGGGCTACAAATTGTACCTTGCGGCGTTCCAATTCTAGTTTTAACTATGGTATTATTATTAGAGATAGGATAAGCAATAACCCTATCTATGAGGGATCTCATATCGGATACTCCTGTTATATATAATACCAGACATGAAATAATACACTTTTCATGTTGTTTAATGTTTCCCTCCGGAGGGGGAGGATATCCCAGGATACGCGTAGCCGGGCACGTTTAAGCCTTTTTTTATATTAATACTACTTTATATTACTTTGATACGACCTGAATAGTTTTTCAACTAATTCTTTAGTAGGTGCTTTAACTAGAGATCTAATATGTGCTTTTTTTCATGTATTTAACCGGGCTCAATAGTGCCGTGTAGTTGTGTGGATTCTATCCTCTTCCACAGGCACATGGGCACGTGCGTACTAGGCACATGAACAAACTCGTGGTTCCCGAGAATTCGTCTTCCAAAGGCCCATGGACAGGAGCACAATAGAACGCATCTTTTGGGCCCGTTCCCCGCCAGAAAAAACTAACGGCGCCTAGATAAAAAGACGGTGTTCTGGGCCTCCCCATCCGTCTTCTGTTTCTTCGGATATCTCCGCTTAGGTTGGAGAAAGATGTACACGGCAGAGATCATTTATTTTTTTGGTAGATTCATCTAATTAAAGGGGCAAAACTATATAGATGATATATATAAAAAACCTTGAAACAGCTCCCAGCTACGCACCAAGTGTCGTTTTATTTTAGGTTTGGTACTTGTGTATTCTCTCTAATGATCATACATATTGAAACAGATTAATTAATGCTGAGGTCATGTATAAAAAGAATTAAAGCCCCCAAGCGTGTAGAAATCATGTGTTTTGAAAGTGAAGATAAACTCAGTTATTCAGAGCGAGAACTGTGTCATTTAGATCAGCAAAGCGACACCAGCAGCAGCGGCGGCACCGAAGATACCAGCGCCAACCAATTGGGAAGCACCAGCCTCGGAGGAAGTGGAGGTCAGGTTGGTGTAGTTGGAACCGTTAGAGCCGTTAGAAGCGTTGGCAGCGGTCCACGCGACGATGACGGATTTGAATTGCATTTACTTGGGAAAAACTGTGTCATTCTCTCCATCAAACTCGTCGATCGTCTCGATGATCGTCTTGATGTTATCGATGGAATTGCTGACAGCGACGCGAATCACCCGGTCACTCACCCCGGCAAATCGAGCAACCAACGTTGCACCCTCGGTGATGTAATCAACAGAAATCTCGTCCTTTTTCAACACAGGGTCTACAGCGATAGTGTCACGTGCAATCTGCGCCTGCTTGGCGGTTTCAAAAGGGATGTTCAACGTAACTATATGGTCTAGACTCGCCATGCTTTATGTGATGTGATGGAGCAGAGATGGGCAAGTTGCGTCTGGGCTTTCAAGACTTCTGATGTGCAGGATGCTGGCAGTAGATTTATCTTTCTCGCCTCGTAACATACACTTTTCCAGGGAAAATACGTGGATGGGAGTGTGGATTTGGCCTATGTTGAGTTTGCGTGCTTGGATCGGAAAATGAGACCAACAACGTGCTCAGGTTTTAGGGTGCGAAAACGGGACCGCGCTATGGATGCATAAAGATCTTTGTCATTAGTTGTATTTCGTCATCGCAATTTCTGTCATTCTATGTAAGAAGCGACCAGTTGTGTGTATATATATTAGTCTTCCGGTCTGGCGCAATTTCCACGCTGGAATCTGTAAGTGTGCTATCGCTCAATCATGGGATGCCCGGGGCGCTGGTCTGAAATCCTCTGTAATGAGGCGTCTCGTGAAAAAGACTTAAATAAGCTTTTCGAGTCGTTCTCATTCGTGCTTCAGAGATGCGTTTGTCTCTTGACTCGTATGAGCAAGGGTATCCCGTGGTCGAAACCCCTAGTTAAGCAGAGAAAGTGGCCGGTCTCAATTGTTTGACCGTATCATGTGTTGAAGGGAGTTGCCATTTCGAACATCTGTTATCGATGCTCTCTCCATTCGCCGAATCTTTCGTTCATTTCTCTTCTGTAAGGACTGTGCTGGTATGATCCATGGAAGGCCAGGCTGGTGGGAAGTTATTCGAGAGAACTTTCTCGGGAAGTCAACTGGTCATGCCTCAATTTCGTCATCGACTGCGAGCGAAAGCTTCCGTGAACGCAGGCTTGGTAGCCTGCTTTCGTCGCTTGAAGTTGTCGTCACTAGGCTCGATACCGGCTGGCGTCTCTTGAAGTTGATCAGACACATTTAAGTTGAATCTTCTCTGCTTCAATTGAACAGGAACCAGAGGCAGTTTTCTGGTCGCTGGGTAGCTTTCGGGCCGCCACGACTTTAAACTTTCGGGTGTGAAACCAAAATTCTGATTGTAAGACAGTGCGACTAGCTTTTTCCGCGACCATGGTTGAGGAAAAGTCGACCAAGACCTCCTCTGATTAAACTCAGAAGAGACACGTGATTTGTTTCGCCAATCCGTCCGAATGAATGTTTCTGTACGCTTTGGCTCGTCAACTTTATCTTCAGGAGTTCTAGCTCGTCGACTTCCGCTTCCATTCACTGCACGCATTAACGTAGAATCATGCACTTCAGGCTTAACTTCGTGAACAGATATTCCACCATCATGATCTTCCAGGTTTTCGTCATCTATCTTTTTAGTGAGCGATACATCCTCAACAATTCCTTTCCTCAATTTCTTAATTCTCTTTGGCTTGGCAACAGACAGCACTCCAGAGCCTTGTACGTCAGTATCTGGGTTCGTATGTGAGCCCGATGGCGCAACCACATTCCCAGCAAAAGCACTCACAAAACGTGTTTTGCCAGAAGAGTTGCCTGTCGACTTCAGAATCAGTCTTTGGTGTTTCATGTGCAAGTTCATGTTCCTGGTCCACTCTTCCTTGCTGACTGAATTCTGCAAACAAAGTTTCCCGGCCCTCGAAATATCATCTTGATCACCATCAAGAGTCAGAATTAGCGACATTCTACTCTCATACTTGGGACTTTTAAACGCTTCCAAAGTGCCCACACTTCTCCCGAGAATCTCTCCAACATCGCAGGTCTGCATCAATTTGTGAAAAGAATAGGACTCTCCCGGAGGAATGGATTCAGGATGCGAGGGCGTAATGCACTCCAAGCCAACTTCCTTCCTTAAAACAAAATCAATGTCAACTTCGGAAAAAAACGCACAGGACTGCGGAAGTTCATTGATTCCCATTTGTTGACAAAACATAGCTCTGGTCCACAAATTACTAATTTGCAAAAGCACAACAGTAACAAGTTTTTGGTCTTCTCGGACCATATACCGCAACTCATCGTGAACCGTTATCATCAAACGAGCATCAATTTTGAACTTCTCAATCAAATATTCCATAGAGACAATCAATAAATGCAAATAATCAACACCACTGCTTTGGATAGTCCAGTTAATTCGGGAAGTTAGGTAGTTGTTCTTATTGAGATTCTTTTGGGTCAAAGCATCAGTGATCGAGCAGCCCAAGACAGGGGTCTTTGGGCTCTCAAGATAGGCAATCGATTCGAGTGCATTAAACATCACAGATTCAGTTCCTCCATGATAAACCCGCCTTCCAAATACTTTGGAATGTGCAGTCTGTCCTTTGGTACGTTCATATAATTCCTGAGCAATTTTAACCGCAGACTCATCATCAATCAGCGCATTGCACTGCTTCAATAATTGCGTAGCAAATTTAACACCAGCGCCGTAGATACGGCCATAATTGAAAATCTTTGCGTCTCCTCTCAGAATACCCATGATTTCCGCGGTCTTGGAATGCAAATCCGTCTTTTCGTTTTTGTCTCCTTCAAGTGTCATCCACCCGAGTGCAGTGCCTCCATGAACTTTGAATAAAGCATCACCAATCAAGGAAGCAATCCAAAGCTCTTCGGAATCAACATCTGCGCCAACAAAAACATATCCCTTGGGCGCCTCGACCAAAGCTTTGAGTTCAGAGCCAATTCTATTCTTCTTACTGTTTGACGCAGTAAGCCAAGTGTTTTCAGTTGCACGTCTGGTCACGGTTCCCATGGTGCAAAGCTTGGGCAAAATCATACCCATATTTTCATGTTCCGCGGTTTCTTTCACGGTGTTGAAAAATTTGTTTTTCTTGCCGGCTTTATCAGCATAAACCACGAATTGTTCGGTGATTCTGCTCCTGTTGCCCATCCAATAAGACGCGGTTGCGTTCAAACTCAAAATATTCGCTGCGTGCTCATACTCAGAGGTGAGAACACCACTTTCAAAGTAACGAAGATAGCTCTTGCTCATGATCAGAGTACATCTGCTCTTAGGGCCTGCAGGATGAGGGATCTTGAAAAGCTCGAAATAATTACCATCATCACGAAGTTCCGGAATCATGCGTTCCTGGTCTTCGTCGCTCAATTTGGCGATGTGGTAGTTCTTTGCAAGAATTTCCTCCACGATCTCCTCTTTATTTGGAACCTTGAAGCACCAGCCAGCGGAATCAGTCCAAATAAGCGGATACCCCTCCCATTTGAGACGCAATAGGAGGGGAGTTATTCTCGTACGCACAGTCAAATTGAGCTGCTTGCTTGACTCGCCCGTTTCAGACTTCACCGTTTTGAACAAATCTCGGTACCACTCGGGGTATCCGGTCATGAAAGCCTGATTGGCGACCGGCGTTCCGTCCTTTTTCATCCGAGGGAGTTTGAGGTTCCAGTTCATTTGTTTGAGCCAAGGGTCCTTTTCGAAGTCGGGTTTCAAGGACTCGTCGCCTTCCTCGATGTAACGTATAAGCTCGCCCACTCTTTCCAAGAGAATCTTAGAGACTTGCTCTCTATTTTCCTGATAAATCTTCTCCGCACTCTCGATGTAATTTTCCCACTTCTTCGTGGTGGGTAGGAAAAGCGAGCCCATCAGACGAAGGGCAGCAAACGAGACAGGATGCGGGTTTCTCCGGCAGAATTCTGGAAAGACTTTTTGGGTCACTTGATACGTGGCGTCGACGTCCTGCGCGCAGTACTTCATGAGATACTGGAAATTATCAATGATCTCGTTCAAGTCGGTGCTGGAGAAGAAATCACGGGCGGCCTTGTCCATCGTGATGCCGCAATGAAACTCTGCCGCATTGGCCAACGAGTTTGGTGATCCCTTGTTGAGCCAGGGGTCATCTATAAGCCCCTGAGCCACCTCCTTGGCCGATTCATCTGCATCGAACTCCGGGTCCAACAGCTCGTTTTCGCTGTCTTCTTCCAGCGGCTCGGCCTCAGCGGCTTTCTTGTTCTTTTTGTGTTTGTGGTACAAGGGCCTTTGCTGGGAGCAGAACCCACTGGTGGCGATGTGAAATGCCATGGCGTCCATGAAAAATGCTTTCGACCGTTTCACGGAGTATTCCTCCTTCACCCTCGCACGGTCATAACTGACGTTATAGCCGACCAAAAGCTTCGGTCTTTTGTGGGTTTCGAACGGGATGAGATGGTCCCAGTCCGTGCCGCCCTCGCGGTAAGAAGTCATTATGGGCGAGACCCAGCCATACCAAGCCTGTGGCGAAACCGCGGTGGCGATCACGGCATAGTTAGTTTTCTTATAGAGCACCTCCACGTCAAACACCAACTCGTCCTCTAGGGGAACAGGCACGTTCTCAGGGGCTGCACCTGGCGCGTACCGCGTCCAGCCACTTTCAAAAAGCCACGTGGTGGGCATGTCAGGCAACTTCCTGTCTTCGGCAAAGAAATTCCTTGCCATGCTGAGGTACGGCTCCGAGTACCGGGAGCCGATTTTGAAGAAGTGCTCGTCGAGCGTGTTTTTTCCGACGAGGTCGGGAAAGTTCGGGATGTTGATGGGCTCTGTGATCTGTGTCTTCTTGCCTAGAAGATTCGACTGCTTCAAGTGCTCTCTGGCAAGCTCTAGCAACGCCGGGTTCGGCGGGTTCGCAAACTCTTCCGGGGAGTGGTTGGGAAACACCTTTTTATGTAGGTCTTTGGAAAGATACTGGATTCCGACCTGGTTGACTCGGGGCTCTTGGAGCCGTAGCGATGTCGTGCCAAACGCCCGGTTTTTGGGCATATGTAGAAGCCTCGTCCATATATGTCGTATCATGTTTTCACAAGCCACAGGCGAAGCAGCGGCTTTATTTTAGTGTGTGAGAGGCAAACAGGGGACGGATGGATGAAAGGACCATACACAGATGGACGCCGGGTGAACGAGAGATCGGGTTTTATGAGCAGCAAAGAGTGGCTGGGGATTGGGAAGAAAGAAGCCTGTCTATGCCGGCGGGGCTATCAAAGTGCAGATCTGGCACGAGGGTCCGAACTACACTGCTACTCAGGAGCCAGGAGGGACAAGAAAACAGCAATGGTACGCAGTGGAAAAGATGAGCCCATCGCACATCCAGAAAGACCAGAAAGGTAAATAGCGGTGCACGGGTGTGTGCACACAAGCCGTGGTTTGGGGTGGGCCGGGATCGGGCCAATCGGGCAAGTGGGAATCTGGCGCTGATTATGGACAAGCGTCATCAGTCGCCTGAGAATGTGGGGTGTTATTGTTTGGCGTGGTTTGCAACCCAGTGAATGGGGCGGATCTCTGGAATCCACTGGGTGCGTGGCTGGCCTTCGCAAACAAGGCTGGCAATATAGTCTGTTCCCACGCCTGTCTATTAATGGGAGGTGCCCAGCATCATTTGCACCGGAAAGACTCTTTGATCCCGAGCTTCTGGTTCCGTGTTAAATTCACCGATTATATGACCAAGCTCTATTTCTGGCGAGAGCCTCCCAGCCTGTAGCATAATGAGGCTGTGATGGACAGACCCAGCTGCGGCCCACTCAGGCATGAATTGCCTGGCCCTGATGCGAATAACCAAGGCCGCCCAGATTAGGGCTGTCGCCAGGAAGGAAGTATCTTTCCCGACGAACAAAAGATGAACGCATGAAATATGAGAACAAAATGTGACACAGAAAAGAGTAGAGCACATCGAATATTAGAATAGAATGTGAGAAGAAAATAGAACACAGAGAAGGAGAATGAATAGGGCACATATATTAATAGAACACATACATTAGAACACATACATTAGAACACATACAATATGACAATAAAATAGAACACACAGAATATGAGAAGAAAACAGAACATAGAAAATGAGAAGAGAATTGAACACAGAAAATGAGAAGAAAATTGAACACAGAAAATAAGAAGAAAATAGAACACATTGAACATTAGAATAGAATATTAGAACACATGGAATAAAGAACACGTAGAATAAAGAACACATGGAACAAAGAACACATGGAATAAAAAACACATAACAAAGAATACACATAACAAAGAATACACATAACAAAGAATACATAGAACAAAGAACACATGGAATAAAAAACACATAACAAAGAATACACATAACAAAGAATACACATAACAAAGAATACACATAACAAAGAATACATAGAACAAAGAATACATAGAACAAAGAATACATAGAACGCACAAAATATGTGAATGCAATATAGCACGTAGAAGTTGAGATAAAATACAAATCCCAGAATATGAGAATAAATCTAAAAGAACGAAATAATAACGGATGACTCTTGACAAAATACAAATCCTAGAATACAAAAATAAAACACAAAAAAACACAAACCACAACACACAAAACAAAAAGCTAATCCGAGAACACCGCCCACCCGCCAACGGCACGACACATCCGAAGACGTGAGGAAACATCCGTCTTGGCCCCATGGCCCAAACCGCCATAGCTAGCTTTGGCTGCGGGATCTTGGGGCGCGCGCGGATGTGCACTCCAGAGCGCCGCCTTCCCAGGGCACCAGGGCAAGTATTAGGGCCGCAGGCGGATGCGAAGAAAGCATCTCGAAAGGAAAGAAGCAACACCCACGACGGGCAAAACCAAAGAAAAATTATGAAAAAAAATAAAGAAGAGCCTTCGCCCCAGGCTAGCATGGGCGGCCCCGTGGCTGGCTTAATTTTCCCGAAGCCTGTCGGGAAGACGCCGTGCCGGTACAGAATAGTTGTTTGTTGTGAGACCTCCGGCATTGCCGCATCCGGCCAATAGATCAACAGCCACGGCGAATCCAAAACAACACCCCGTGCCGGGCCGCCGATCCAGCATTTTCCGGATCGGGAAGCTGGCGGGCGGCTCGCAAAACACCGCCCGCCGCACATTTCCTCTTTGGGCCGAAAGTGCTACAAGCCCAGCGGGCCGGTCCCAACGCACCCATTCCAGCCTCGCTGGGCGCAGGCCTGGGGCCCAAAACTCGCACGCCCGGGGCCTGCCGTGCGCTCGCTTGCTGCGCTGGAGTGAGCCCCAGAGCGCGGCCGCTGCGACGAGAGCACCCCCGTCAAACACAAAAAAACAGCGGAAAGAGAAGAAAAATAGACACGGAGCCGGCAGGACCATGTCACGTGATGCCCGGGTCCCGCCGCCGCGCCCGCCGCTGTCCCGTCCCTCACGATATCCGCCCCCATCATATCCGTCCCCCAGTATATCCGGCCCTGCCCTTGGGCCCTGCCCCAATATTGGCCCCAGGTGCGCGCGCGCCCGCGGAGGAAAAACAAAAACAAGCCCGGCGCCAGGAAAAAATCAACCACTTGCTTTTGCTCCCCTCAACACAAAACTGACACCCGCCATGTCCGAATTCAAGAGTTACAGAAAGGCCGACTTGGCGAAGATTGCCGCCAAGATCGGCGCCGACGTGCGGTCCAAGGACACCAAGACCTCGTTGCTCGAAAAGATCGACCAGCTCATGGAGCAGCACCCCGAACGCACCAAGGCCTTGCTTGACCAGGACGACGACTTGGAGGTCGTGACCTTGGTCGACGAGCACGGCGCCTCCACGGAAAGCGAGGACGACAGCGAGGGCAAAAGCGCCGACGAAAGCGCCGACGAGCCCGCCACCATTTCCGCCGCCTTAGCCGCCGACGACAAGGACTACAACGCGCCGCCGCCCATCAACTTGAAGGAGTGGCTTGTGGACCCCGCCATTGCGGCGTACAAGGCCGCGCACGACCAGGTCTTGCAGCTCACGGACTGCGTCGGCATGACCGCCTTGGAATGCAACGACGACTTGCGCGAGTCCTTGTCCAAGACGGTGTCGCTCAACTTCTTGGAAGCCGCCGTGGAGGCCTCGCACTTCCTCTACTTCTACGTGCCGCTCGTGCCCGTCAAAGACAACCGCTCGGTGCACCAGCTCCTCCGCGACAACATCCCGTGCTTGAACCTGTGCTCGTGGCCGGTGCCGGACGTGACCGCGTTGGGCAACTTCAGCGTCATGTCTATCCTTGCCAGCTGGACGTTGTTTGCCGTCGCCTTGCCCTTGTTGATCTCGTACTACGTGAACTTCTCCAGAAGAGTCGTGACCTTCGAGACCAGCGCCCGTTTGGACGACGACGAAGAAGAAGAAGAAGAAGAAGAAGAAGAAGACGTTCTGATGGTCATCAGGGCCTACAAGTACGACCCGTTCATCTTCGCCTTGTCCAAGGTCTTGATCCACTACTTTCTCCACAAGAACGCCGCGCTCACCAGCATCGAGTCCTACCAGGGCCTCGTGCACGCGGTCAAGAACCTCGTCTACATCCAGTTGGGCATCTACCACACGTTCCTCGCCAACTTGGGCAGCTTCCCCCTCGTCCTTGGTCTTGCCAACGTCGTGGTTGCGCTCTACTCCCAGTTCGAAGACTACTAAGAGTTCAGCCGGCCGGGGCGGAGAGGCGCTGTTCCTGCCCCTATCCCCTTTTATTTCTGCCGCCTACAACCGCTAGACGCTAGTATTACTATCTTCATCTTTGTTTGTTGTTCTCTTCCCCTACCCCCTCCTCATGTTTGACCAGCGCCTCCCTTAGTCTCCCATGTCTTTATTTCCCGCCACTTTGTCTCGCCAGCAGGGAAAATATTGATGGTTCAAGCTACTCTTGGATTATGCTATAATATATACTGGTACAAACACAAACACAATGCATTGTAGCTCCTCTACTTGACCGGCCACTTGGTCTGAATGCCTATGAGATCCAAGTCCTCGGTGAGCTCTTGTGCGTTTGCCGCGCTGGGACCAATGAACTGCTTCATGATCTTGGCCACTAGGGCCGTGTCATTGCTGTTCTTGGCCACCTCCTCCCCGTATGTTGGCTTGGGCGCTGCACGCCGCCCGGGTCTACGTTTGAGCACCATGCCATTCTCAGACGCGTTCGTGTCGGAGCCCGATGTGACGCGGTCGTAAAGTGAGCTCTGAAAGATTTGGTGCCGCCCGCCCTTACTCTTCGAATTCGGGTCCTTGGCAGGCCCGAGCTTGGACGGCGCTTCGCCTGTAATCAACCTGAATTCCTCCCGGGTGACAAGCGGCATGAAGTCGTGCACATTGGCGGTGTGCTGGTGGCCTTTGTACACCTTCCGGAAGAGCGCAGGGTCCAACGTGTATGGGTCGTCTTTGTCCAACCCGTCGTCTTTCGCAATGGCTGCGCGAAACACCTCCTTGATTTCGTTGGAGTAGTCTTGCTCCACAAAGCTCTCGTAGAACTTGGCAATGTCTCTGTTTCGGATGTTCACTGCATCGGTGTCGCCCGAACCCCCCGAATGGTCATCCAAGACTTGTTTCTGGTGATCCAAGAAATTCTTGATCTTCTGCAACTTGTTGATCATCACGAGATTCATGGTTTTATACAGGCGGTGGGAGGTCTGGTAGAAGCTGAGCGCATTCTTGAGTTTCTCGTAGTTCAGGGACAAGCGGAGGCTGAGAAGCTGCTCGTCTTTCTCGGTCTGTCTTCGGTCGTGGTATCGCCTCAAGTCGTCGTTGTTGATCTTGTTCTTGGTGGTGTCAAAGTGGATTTCCGAGGTGCGTAGCTGGCGCAACCTCTCCAAGAGCTGCTGCTTGCGGGACGCGTAGAGCTGGTCCCTGTTCTGCGCAAAGTGGTCCTCGAGAACGCTGTAACTTTGCACAAGGTGTTCTCTCCTACGCTCCGTGTTTTCCTCGTTGGCGTCCGTCACATCCTCCGCGGCGGCTGGCGCAGGGAGTGTTGCAGGCGGCTCTGCGTCGCGCTCCCGGGGGTCCATGGTGAAAGCCAGCGGGACGCAGCGCGGTTCTGCCTGCAAAACCTTGCCCGCCTGGGTGTCCTTGGTGCGCACATTAGTGTAGTCGTTTCTGAGGTCGGAGCGGACCACCACCACGTTGGACGGGCGTCTCGCGGCGTGACGGGCGTGCTCCGTGGACACGTCGATGTTGCTGTAGTAGTCCATGAAGCGGCGGTACGACGACTGCAGCGCGTCCAGCGAGTCGGACGAGTCGGAGGCCTCGCTCCGGTCGTCGGAGGCCTCGGGGTCGGACTCGGCGACCTGGCCAAGGCGCACGAGCTCCTGCAAGCGCGCGGCTGAGAGGCCCGCGGCGCCGGCCTCGGCGTGCAAGTCGAAGATGGAGCCTGCGGCGCTGGCCACCACCATGTCCACGCGCGGGAGCCGGCCCAGGGCGTCGAGCCACGCGCCAAACACCTCGTGGGGCGTGGGCGGCGCCTTCTCGGATATCAACGGGTAGGGCATGTAGTTGGGCGGCGGGAACGGCAACGGCGCCATGACGGGCCGCGCGGGCTCTCCGTCCGGCGTATCGGGCATGTTGGTGAGCGGGTCCGCGCGGCACTCCGGGAGCGGCGGGAACACGAACGGCACCATGACGCCCGGCCGCGAGACGGGCTCGGCCAGCGCAAAGAAGGGCGCCCGTGGCGGCGGGTAGCAGCGCACGGCGGCGGCAAACTGTCGCTGCGCGCCGCGGTCGAGCCGCGGCCCGTGGTCCGCAAAGAAGTCGGCGGCCCGGTACGGCGGTTTCAAGACCGGCACCGCGCTCCGCGGCACGCTGTGGGCGGCCGGCGGCAAGTCGGTTCCGAGGGGCGGCACGGGCGGGATTCCGAGGGCCCGGGGCGGCCCGGAAGTTTCTAGGAGTTCCGGGTGGTCGCGGCGCGGCTTTTTGAATATTCTGGCGAGGTCCTTGGGGGTCGGGAGGTGGGCGAGGGGCCTCTTGCGATTGGCCTGGGAGGGCAGCATTGGGCGGCTCCGAGGGGCAGGGCTATATGGTGGCGGCGGGCAAATCGGGAGCAGCGGGTCACGTGCGTGGGTGTGGCTGGCACGGGGCGTCTGGCAGGTGCAGAGGCGGGTGTTTGGGGGCCGCTGTGGTGGGCTGGAGAAGGCGGTTAATAGGAGTTGCGGGCAATGGGTGCAAAATGAGGGAGAAAAAAAGGTGGTGTATTGGGAAAGGGCGTGTGCGACGCAGTGCGCGCCGGCCGGGTGGGCTCATACTGAGCGGGGCGTATATGATAGGGGATCGTAGGGCCTTATTGACCGATTCTCGTTGGGGATATGATGGGTCAGGGGGGATTGTGATATGTTGTGATGTGTGGTGCTTTTAGCATGGTGTATGATGTATAGTTAATTTTTGAATGGAGTATATTGAAATAGGGGCATCATAACATGGGTCGTTATCACCAGGGCCTTTAATGTATGCTAAAATGTATTGCAGATAGAATATCAATAGTGCGTTATGACATGGGTCGGTGAATCAGGAATATATAGCTATGGTAGATGAATGTATACATTGAAGCGTCATAATATGGCTCGTTGTAATTAGGGTCTATAATGCATAGCTGATTTATGAATGGAATATATTGAAATAGGGGCATCATAACATGGGTCGTAATCATCAGGGCCTACAATGTATGCTAGGGTGTTTTGTAGATAGAATACATAATAGTGTGTTTTGGCATGGCTCGTTGAATCAGGGTCGACACAATATATAGCTATGATTGATAAATGTAACATATTGCAATAGGCATCATAACATGGGTCGTTATTATCAGGGCATACAATGTATGCTAGTATATATATTGCTACAAGGGCATCATAATATGGATCGCTTGAACCAGGACCTATATAATATTGAGTTATGAAATATTATAGATTTGATACATGGAAATGACAGAGATAATCGGAGGAGCCATGTTATTTAGAAAACATGGTAGTGAGATGACATGATAGTTTGAGGGTATGGTAGTGAGAAGACGCTGCACTTAAAAAAATATAGTCAAAGACGCGATAGTTAGAAGACATGATGGCTAGAACAAATTTTGATCAATAAAACTTATAATTAGAGGACGTTGTATTTTTAAAAGAAAATATAATTGAAAGAATGATGGTTAGAAAAAACATTAATAAAAAAGACCATAGTTTGAAGGTGTCACAATAAAAGGACGCACCAAGACATTACAGTAAGAAGCCACTATAACTAAAAGGCCTTTAGTTAGAAGCCACTATAGTAGGAAGACGTTATGAACAGAAGCCATTATACTAAGAAGCCACTATAAAAAAGAGGCCATTGTAATCAGAAGCCATTATCACCAGAAGACAGTATGGCTTGTCTATACGAGAAAAGGCACTCTACCAATTGTTTCTCAAATACACTCTTGTTGCAGGATCGCACAATTAACACATCAGATCTTGAAGTCGTGTCACCACTAGAAAAAAGTTATTCAATCAAAAAACACTGAAATGCGAGTTCGAGATTGGACTATGGGAATGAGAACCATGAGCATATGAGAGATTGGAGCGTTTTTCAGGATAATGAAGCTCTGATTGCGTCAGGCGATGGGCAGCTGGGCGAAACACTGGCCGTTCCAGCGATGTGTGCAGGAATGAAAAACCAGACTCCGGGTTTCTGGATCTTGTTTCAATTGCTTCATCTTGCGTTGCATCGTTCTTGCGTTGATATTTCCCCATTCAGCATATCCTATGAGTTGACGGTCTTCGGAGCTTGTCGTCGAGGATAATACTGGAGCTCTCTCGCTCTTTATGCCTCTGGCCGAGGTTTCCCTGACGATCTTGATATTGTTCTCCGGCCGAAACGCTCTCATCAGTTTTTCTTCTCTGATCTCGTTGTCTACTTTTTTTATTTTGTCCTTTCGTCCGAGACTGTGACTTTCCTCCCTTGCAATTCTGGCGCACTATGATCTTCTCGCATCGTATTCTCGCACTGCAATCGCGGTATACTACAATCTTGTTATTGCGGCAGACATCACAGCGTTTTGCGCCATACTTCGGCCGCCTCTTTGACTGCCGTTTTTTTTGCCTGTACTTGATACGTTTATTTGCTCCGAGATGCTTTTGCCTGTAATCCCGTGGCCCCAACCGCGGTATGATATTGTCGTGGTTTTCTATTTCCTCAGAACCTCTTGCCACATGTCTTGTATCCTTCCACTCCGTCGTCTTTTCGCCCGGAATCTTGCCGGGCCATTTTCCAGAACGATGTTCTCGTCCCATTTTCCAGAACGATGTTCTTGTCCCATTTTCGTGAACTCAATTTTTGCTCGGCCATTTTCTTCAACCATAATCGATTCAGCTTGGACCATAATCGATGGGGCTTGGACCCCAATCTTGCCGGGTGATGTTCTCGGAATATAATCTGGTGTCACTTGGCTTTACTAACACGGTTTCTTTTTTCAGACTTTGCTCACCACATCCCCGTTTCCCGCTTGACGTCAGATTTGGTTTCGTCTTTCCATCTGCAATGCGAGCATATCATCTTGCCTCTCAATTTTTGACTTGCAACCTGGAACATTATCTTTTCGCGCCATGATTTGGGCGGCCCGCACCGGCGGTGGCTCCAGGGTTCCCGCCCGGTGCATTCCAAGTAGCGTCAGAAAACACATTGACTTTAGGAACACAAGAAATGGAATGGATGACACAAGAAAAGGAATGGATGAACAGAAACAAATCAGGCCACCCGAATCATAGAAAGTGCAGCAGAGGATTACGGGTAAAAGGGGAGCCCGCCGAATATCCACGGCGGCTGGAATTGCGACGCACGGCTGCCCCACCGGCTTTTCTTGTAGGACCAACGTCGCGGGTGCAATTTCAGGAATCTGTCCAGCCACCACCAGTACATGACAAGAAGTAGTCACCAAAAATACTCCAACTGATTAAAAAAAAGAAAAGAAAAGAATAAGGCTGCAAAGACAAGTGGGCGCAAACAAAAAAAACGCCCATGCCCCTCCCGCCAAGCTGAAAGCACCACCCCTCCATGCTGGCTCCTAACGAGCGAGAAGTGCCCGGCCCCACCGGCCGCGTCCGCCCAACAAAGAAACCAGAGCACAGCAATATTCAGGGCCTGTCTCAACCACGAACAGAAAAACCGGGCCCAACCACGAACAGAAAAACCGGGCCCAACCACGAACAGAAAAACCGGGCC